CAGGGTCGCTGAGCACGCTCCAGTGGCTTGAAGTTGTGGTTTCAACTATCCAAGCAGTGTTGCCAACAGATTGGGACGCCACGTTTGCAGGCTTGGCTGAGCAGACCCGTATTGCATCTATTGAAACTGCATCCTTGGTCTTCCCATGGATGAAGGTGAATGTTCAAGCGTATGTTTCTTGGGGATGCCATGCCGCCAGTCAGATGAACGCTTTTCAGGCCAGCCGCAGGCGGCCATTACCTCCAACTTTCAAATGCACAATAGATCATCCTCTCATAATTGACTAGCTAGCTGCGTGTTGCAGCTGCAACTGAGGGGGCCCACTCTGTGGGGTCCAGAAAGCGAAGCTGTTTCCGCAGCTAAAAATGATGTTGGGTCTTCGTGCTTTGGTTTTGAGGCATTGTTCCATCAAGAGACGGAAGCCTTAAAGCGCCAAGACCAGAAATTGCTTGCCGCCAAGCGTCAGCGGCTTTTGAAGGCACGCATTGGGTATGGTGATTTGAACTCGCTTGCTCGAAATTCTGAAGTTTGGCAGAGGTCTTTCTGCTGCTGATTTGCAACTGCTCCTCAAGCGTGCTCAAGGTGAACCTACAGCCAACCACATGTCGGGGCAAACTTGCTTTTCATCCAACGTTTGTTGCAGGTGCTACTGGTGGCCTTACCATTTCTTCTACACTGTACACGCTTGCTTGACCACCGCTTGCCAAGGTGGTGGCGTGGCGCCAGGCCAGGAGTGCACACTAATGTGGCCACAACTGCCCCACGACTGGTCATGGCACGTTCATTGCTTGTTTCCCTTAAGCAGAGCATTCGTGTGTATTGCTGCTTTGTCACTTACTCTGAAGCCTTCTTTCGCTTGTGTTGGTGCGCGTTTGTTCTCGCATAGAGAAACCTGCAGATTTGACTTGTTCAGAGTGAATTTTGCAATTTTAATTCAAGAAGAGTAGTATGTAGGTCTGACACGTTTCATGCGTATTCCCGCGACGCGTTCTTGATTTGATTCTCTGTTACGCAATTCCCGCGTGACTTTTAGTTTGCCTTGTGCGCAACAATTGATGTCAATTGCAATTTCAGTGTTGTTCATGTCAAACATGCCAAGTTGAATTGTTCTTGTCGGACATGACCGTTGATGTGTCCACTGCAGCAGGTTTGATTGTTTTTTTCATGTGAGCAGATCTTATCTTTGCAGCCAATTCAGCTGCTTTGACAGGTGCTGGTGCTCCTGCAGGCAAACCATGTTTTCAAAGTTTTTGCGGCCGTCGCGATGCTTTCACGATTTGGAAGATTGTTTTTGAATGGATTCTTCAGTTTTATAGACACCATGTAAGCAGCGGTTTTCGGAAACTCCGTTTTTGAATTTGGGAACGATTTAGAATGTTTGTGCCAAGGTGCTGGCCCGGTTGGCGGTGCCGAGCTTTGTGTGTTATCAACGAGTGTCAGACATAAACGCGTGATTCTGACAGTGGTTTTGGTTGAAGCTGCCAGATTGGGAGACAGACGTTGTAAGCGCCGCAAGGTCTGCAAGTTGGAACATAATTCTGTCAACATGTTCGGATTGCGCGCGTCTTATGCTTCAGGAATGTGTGATGTATGCCATTGCCTTCTTATGTCACTTGTCGCAGCTACAAGCCGTTTGTTCCAGCTTGTCCGAGAGCGCAAGAGACCTGCGACCCGGCGCCATGCCTCCAAAGCGGAATGCCCAACAGGATGTCAGGGGCCCAAGGAAATAATTTTGATTTGGACATGGCTAATTTCAGGATTAAACTTACCTAGCGAAAATGGACCCTAAAGGTAGGACCTCCCCAGTATAGTCCGTCGCAGGACCCCGTTATTAGCCCGTCATAATCCCCCATATAACCTGCCACGGGCGTTGATAAATCCCATTTCGTTGTGTAAACCCCAACATGTTACATCCTATCATAAAGTGTATTGTCACACCCCCCCCGTCCCGTCGTATAGACGATCGTAGGTTTTGTCATAGTCTTGATCGTTTAGGCCCGTCAATGGCTTCGTGGTAACCATGCCACATCCTATCATGAACTGTATTGTCGTCCGCCCCGTCCCGTCGTATAATCCGTCGCAGGACCCCGTCATTAGCCCGTCATAATCCCCCATATAACCTGTAGCATTCTTTAGCCCATACTATCATAAGTCTCGACGTCGTGTAACCCACGAGCGTTTATAAAGCCCATTTCGTCGTGTAAACCCCAACATGTTAACTTCCTATCATAAAGTGTATTGTCACACCCCCCCCCGTCCCGTCGTATAGACCGTCGTAGGTTCTGTCATAGCCTTGTCATTGCCCCGTCGTGGTCCCTTTGTCGGCCGTATCACGTTCCTCCTTCAATGATGTCATAGACTCGTCTTAGGCCCGTCAATGGCTTCGTGGTAACCATGCCACCCGTCCCGTAGTCCGTCGTAGGACCCCGTCATTAACCCGTCATAATCCCACATATAACCTCCAACATTCTTTGGCCCATGCTATCATAAATCTCGACGTCGTATAACCCACGGGCGTTTATAAAGCCCATTTCGTCGTGTGAACCCCAACATGTTACATCCTATCATAAAGTGTATTGTCACCCCCCCCCCCTCCCGTTCCGTCGTATAGACCGTCGTAGGTTCTGTCATAGCCTTGGCCCGTCGTGGTCCCTATGTCGGCCGTAACACGTTCCTCCTTCAATTCTCTGGCCCGTATTGGTGATGTCATGGACTCGTCTTACGTGGCCCGTCAATGGCTTCGTTTTAACCATGCCACGTCCTATCATGAACTGTATTGTCGCCCGCCCGTATAGCCCGTCGCAGCTCCCGTCATGGCTCCGTCATTGGCCCGTTGTCCCCCAAACACATGAAATATCCCTCGTCCAATTTTTTGGTCCATGTTGGTGACGGCGTGGACTTGTCTTATGTAGCCCATCAATGCCTTCGTGGCGGGCGCCGTCGTGTGACCCATGGGTATTTATATAGTCCTTCCCGTCGTATAGTCCATCCTGTCATGAACTGTATTGTCGCGCCCCCCGTCGCGTCCCTCCTCCAATTGATGCATGGCCTGTCGCAGTCCAGTCACCCGATCCGTCGTGGAGTAGTTTTGTGTAGCCCGTCACAGGTCTCGCAATGGTTTCGTCGCGGATGCCGTCATATAACCCATGGGTGTTGTTTATATGGCCCACCCCTTGTGTAAGCCCCAATATATCATATCCTGTTGATGATGACCTGTGTTGTCGTCCCCCCGGTCCCGTTGTGCAGCCCGTCGCACTAAACAACACATTCTTCATCATCGAACAAGGTGAGTACGAAGGAGAAAGGCTTCTGGGTTGAGGATAAAGAAGGACTTCAAGGATTTATGTTAAACAACGATGAAGAGATGTTCCGGGTCCTCGAGGAGAACGATATGTTCATAGCAAGAAAAAATATTGGGGCGGAGTTTCAAGTTCAAAAAAAAGAAAGGAAAACACAAATCAGGAAACAAAAAAGGCAGTCACAACGAGGTGGCTTTTAAGCCCTTCAGAAAAAGCGGTTCTGGCGGAAAGGCCAAACGTTACGAAAGATCAATGATCTAAAAAAAACTAAATACAAAACCAAAATAAATATCTTTTAATCTCCAATACAAAATATAAAATATTATTAGTTTCATGGCCTTTGGCCGTAGCCATAATGAATATCGTAACCATGTAAATTAAAATTGTCGAATTCAGCCTTTTTCTGCTCGGATAAAATAATTTAACCTTCGAAAAAAAAAATAAAAAAAACATAAAATCTTTTTGGTTACCTAGATATATCAAAGGGTGATATACAATATTATATATATATACACTCATAATATAATCTTATAAATAACGAGAATCAATCATCTAAATTGTTCGTAGTGCTAAACATATAAATATTCATAGTCAATCGGAAAGCCCCATCATTAACCCATCATAATTCCCCATATCGACCGATATATCCCTCCTCCAATTCTTTGGCCCATATTAATAACATCGTGGACTCGTCTTATATAACCCCTCAATAGCTTCGTAGCGAACGCCATCATACAACCCATCGGGATTTATATAAACCATATCATTATAAAAATCCCAATATATCATAAACAATATAATCCCCCCCCCCCCCGTGTAATTCGTTATAAATCTCATCATAATCCCGTTATTAGACCATTATAATCCCCCATATAATCCATAACACCCCAATTCTTTAATCCATATTAGTAGCGGCTATCCCCTCATAAATACGTGGATTATCGTAATATTTAATCCGTCGTAAATTCGTTTTGTGTAAATCATTACCAATCTCACAATATCTTTCTTCGTCGTAGGCACCATCTTATAATCCACGATCGTAAAATACACTAAAGACCAATCGCAATAAAATCATATTAAAAAATCAATAAAAAACAATCGTCTAAGCAAAATAAAAATAATTCCATGAATTCTAATTTCAAAAATTCCATCTATATATACAATTGTTATAAACACAAACGAAAACACAATTAACCAAACAACATCCTAAAACCAAGCAAAACCAAAATTCTCAAAAAACAAATATATAATTTCAGCCAAAATAACTATAGACAAACCATTTTGTGCCCCGATTCTTTATCTGCAAATCACAACGGTTTCGCCCAAAGCCTAAACTATTTTTTCGAAATCTCCCGTATATTTCAACAATCGTGCTCCAGACAATTTTTTCGAAATATTCTAGATATTTTAACGATAATATTTCCAAAATATTTTTTTCCCGAAATATCTAAAATATTTCGGGAAATTGGTCCCTACAATAAATGAAACCACTATGTCTTCCGCACATATATCCGGGGTTAGCCCGGACAAATTTAGGCAAACGGTCCATAGGAAATATGAAGCGGTTACATCTTCCATTTTTCGGAAAAGCGGCCCGGCAAAACGCGTGCAAATGCGACGAGCAAGTTTCACGGTTTCGTTTTATAGAGTAAATACATATATATATATATATATATGTATATAACAAGCATTTCTTTTTTTCCCTTTTCAAGTTCCTTCGAAGACGGCGCTGGGGGTCGGTCCCCGTGTTGTGCGCCCAGCGGGCATACAGTCCAAGCCTGCAGGCGCTTCCTTTTTCATCTCGGAAGTGACTCTTCAAATACAACATATTTTGATTGGTTCCGATTTTAAAAATGACGATGCATTCATTTAATTCTTTACTTCAAAGAAAAGAATTGGGCGACATTTTCGCACTTTTCCTAGGGTTCAGGTGAAATCAGTTTGCACCCTCTTTGCCTCATGAGGTTTGGTGTCCGGCCGAAGATTTTCGAAAACATGAGGCCCGGGCGCGCATTGTGGATTTGAAATGCTGGGCTCCTCGCGCACACCCACCAAAAACGGGAAACAAGCAGCCAACCTGGTGGACAAAGGGGAAGAACATCAAGCTCCCCCCCAAAAGTGATCCGGATTCCCCCCCTGAATCAAAATCAACCATCGGTTTGCAAAAAGGCCCAAACTCGAAGCTTACCAAATCGACTGGAACACGTGGGCCGTCCAACTCGCAAAGCGATAGAGCTTATGAACTTTGGGAAGCCATCGAAGTTCAAACGTCACTCACACTGCGGTCGATTGAGGGAACGGAAGGGATACATAAATCCATATTGAATTTTCCGCATCCCCTGGAGACAACCTTATTCTTTCCCTCATTTCGAAGTGAGAGCCAGCCAAAAGACTTGGACGTCGCCTCAAAATGCGACCATGCAAACTCAACATTCAGGCGTTTGGCAAGCAAACTGGCGATATTGCGTTCCCTTCTCTAGAGCCATTCCCCGCAGATTTCAAGGACCAAAGGCAATCACAAAGGTTTGGCAGTCACGTGTGCCAAGTCGCTGCCACTCGCCGCAGGAGCATGGGAGACCGTGCCAGCCTCGGATCGACAAACCTGCGCTGTTGGGGAAAACATCCAACGTTAAGTGCGGCGCTGAACCCGCCCAGCTTCTGCTTGCAAAGGCCATTTCCGCAAACCAGGCCTCGGGCGGAGGTGCGGCAGATCACTCTGGATTGCTCTTCCAAATATCGTATGTCACCCCTTTGCAGGCGATTCAGCGCGCCAAAACCAGACGGCTGGGCCCCGCACGCCCGGTTTGGCAAGTGATGTCCCCCATCCACCTCAATCCGCGGCATATCAAGTGCAGGGGTGCTTTTCGGGGGTGCTATAGCTGACAGCTTTGGGGCTACACAAAGCTCTGGCGCTGCTTCAGGGTTCTCAAAGGGTTCTCGGGTAGCATGGAGTGGTTGGAATGTTCCGGGGGTTGTTAGGCGGCTCCAAGAGTTCCTGCCCCCAGCAACTTCAGCGTGGAACCAGTGCAGCACTCGCAGCATGGCTCACTGCTGGCTTGCGGTGACAGATCAGGAGACAACTTAGTCCCAACCAGCCGACCCAACCCAATTGAAGCCGACGTGGTTGTTGCCAACCCGCAGAGCGCAATCCCATGCACACCATCCCCAAACCCTTCAATCGCCTGAGGTCTGGGCTTCATGGGCTGCACAAACCTGGGCTAACAAATGAAACTCACGCCCCCGAACATCGTGTTTCCCTTGGTCCCGCTTGCCAGCAACCCGCCACAATGCCCGCAACAAGTCTGCACCGTTCCCAAGAAACGTGTGGGCAAGAAAGCCTTGCTCTCTCAAGGCCGGCAATATTGTCACTTGGAGCCAACCGAATTGTTCATTTAAGGGCAAGCCATAAGAGTTGAGTATTGTATAAACGGGCTTCTTGCCAAAGGAGCTTTCATCATGAGCGAGCGTGTAACCCCTCTCCCCTCCATTTGAAGGAAACCAGTTGAATGGCAATGAACCTGCGAGGCTTCCAAAAAAAGATATAATCAAACCGCGGAGGTTACCTGCCCTGTATCCAAGCAGCCAATGTTGTGGGTTTGATCTGAATCCATTTTGAACATCTGAATGGCCCCCCCGTTTCATCTAGAGCTCTTGAATGCCAAAGCAAATCAGGGTTGCTCTTTTGATGTCTGGCCACGAGATGTCACGGTCTTTGGCTTCGAAAATAGCTAACGAGACATCTTTACCCGTCATAGCTTTCGAGTCAACAGGGAATATACAAATATCCACCCCAAAGCAACACAAACAAACAGGAAGGACATTTGCAGACCTTGGCCGTAAAAGCAATTCGCCATCTCGTGCCTCGAGTTTGTTATTGGAAGCAACCATGCCCAAAACCTCTAAGGGACTGAACATGCACGCACAAACCAGAGACTGACTCAAGCAAGCACGCACGCAATACTTGTGTATGCATAACTGTGTGTATATATATATATATATACACATACACACTATACATATCCATAACACTGAACACCACAACCCTGGACACTGACATGTTTGTTCCCTTCATTCACCCCCTTATTGATATTCCATGTGCGGAACCCCTTTTTGTGAGGTTACTCGAAGGGTAATTTCAATTGGCAAACCAAAAGGCCCGCCGCCACTTTTTTCCGGGGTTTTGGGGGGGCTGTCTTATTCTGTGCCGACATTTGGCCATGAAGCCTCAGTGATTGGTCTTGATCATGAAACCCCATGTCCAAAGGGTCACACCGGAAACTTGGAAAACTTGGATGCCAAATCTACGAACATTCACAGCTTATTTAGGGCACCCTCCAAGAAAGGGTTTCGCTTCCTTTGGCTTCTTCAAAAAGGGGTCACCTCAAAGGATGTCCTTTGGTTTCCTCAAAACAAAGGAGTCACCCGCACATTCCTCCAGCTTTCCCTCTGCGTGATACACTTCTATTCGAGTGTGCCGTTTTTATTTTTTTTTGGGGGGGTTTCCCTTTTTCGGTGGTCAAGGGAATCCAAGAACAACACTGTTGCGCCATTTTTGCGGGCTCCAACCCAAAACAAAGGACAGACCCATTAAGCCCTTCGTGTTTTGATTCCCATGGGCTAAAAGGGCCCTGGTTGAAGTGGATGGTCCTCCAGTATGCTCTTCAAAAACCAGCTGTTTCCCTGGGTTTTGGATGGTTTCCTGAAAAGATTCGGATCCCTGGGTTCAGAATGGAAATGGAAGGGGCCCCCCTGGAGTTTTGGGCCCCGTGGGAAAATCGGGGAACTCCTGGAGGCACCCTCCACCCCAAAGGGTACTGAGCACGACTGGGACATAGTTTTGGCTTTAACATCACCTGAAAACATACAGGGTAAAGGACCTATGGCTTTCGCTCGTTTTACCCCCCAAATCGGTTGAAGTGGATGATGTGCTTTTGGCAACATTTCTCTTCGCGTCTTAGCGTTCGTTTCGGTGCATCGAAGGCGCATGGAGCTGCAGAGTGCATGGCCCTCCGCTGCGGCTGCCACCGCCTGGGAGCGCCAGTCGTAGCCGGCCAGGCGGTCCTTGCGGTGGCGTGCTTTTTTTTTTTGGGAAACCAAAGGGAAGTAGGTTTAAACAACCAGGTGCCTCTTTGATGCGGTGGGCTCGATTTATGAACCAACATTTGTGGACCAGACAGGTGGCTCTTGGATGGGTTCGAGGTAACAACCAAATATGAAGGTTTTATTCGAATCTGCAAACAGACGCCAGGCGGACATTTCAACGACATCGGTCCGGGGCCAAGGGGCACCCAAGAGATTTCGCCCATGGCTCCTTGCCCTTCTGGTGTGGCAACACGTCCAGGTCGTGGAACAGCGCCACCTAAGGCGCCGCGCTGTTCCAAGCCTCAAAAGGGACCTGCGGGGTGCTCCTGCCTCGGACTTACCCTCAGGGTGGTGTACAGGGACACCCACAAAAGTCATTTTGAACCCCCTGAAACTGCTGCAGCACAGTTTGAACAACAGATCTACTCGATTGTGAAGCGGCAGGTCGAATCACAAAACAACTGGACCTTGGCTGCATGAGTCTTCCATAGGCGCCACTCGCTTGCTCGGGCCCCTGACTCCGCACTTGCGGCAGCGGTAGGTCCATTGTGGGGTCCTGGTCACTCAGGGCGATGCATGAGCTGCTCTCATTAGCAAACCAATTCCCTGGCATGTCCAGGAAAGGCCACTACGGGAGATCTGGTTGAATCAATTGAACACTGGTCTTCCTTTATCTTTATGTCCTGTATGATTGGATATCATCATTGCTTCCCTGCAAACACTATGCAAAGGGTTCCACCATTGATAGTCTGATAGCCCTAGGTGTTGGTTCACAAACTACTGCGCAGGGTTGACAGCATCGAAATCGCTTTCCGTGAAGGCGGCACCAAAAATCACCAGGTCCCAAAAGCAACAAAACAACAACACCTATTTCTGCCCATTCCATTTTGAATCTCTGGGCTCAACCACTGCCCCCTGTTCTGGCACCGAAACAGTCTCAAAGGGCTCTCTTTTTTCCGGCGGTGTCGGTCGGTCCTCTCCACCTCCGGTTCTCCCTCGGGGCGTGGTGCTATGCACTCTCGAGGGTCAGAAGTGAAGGGCTGACATTTGGGTCACTCACAGGAACCGGTGCTGAAGAAAGGAAGGTCCTGCACCACGTGAGTGGCCAAATGACAAAGGACCCTTCTGAAGAGGTACATTCGCAGAAATCAGAGTGAAAGCTGAACAACTAACTTTCGGTCACTGCTGAACGTATCAAGCAAGGCACGTAAAACAAAAACAAACTTGGAATCTCTCCAGGGTTTCGTGTTGGTTTCCCTTTCACAACAAAACAAGCAAAGGTTCAACCCATCTTGAGGCTGATGCAAGCTGGGCAAATTCGCAGGACTAGAGGAGCAAGGAGGGAGGATCCCAAGCACTGTTGCATAGATAAAAAAAAAGCGACTCCAATGAACTCCAACCACTTCCCTCCGCTGAGGGATTTTGCCCACATGAATGTGATCCGAGGACGCCACTTCGTTATCGTCGACATCGGCGTCCAGTGGCCTCGAAGGTAATCTCTCGACTTTATCCTATACCCCTTGGGGACGCATCCGACAGATATGTTTTAGATACCCCTTATATATAAAGAAGACACATGTATAGGTTGGTCCCAGTTTAAAGAGCTTAAAGAGAATACATAGTCAGGCACACCTGCAGGGGCATGTGCTTCTTTCCTTTGAAGTCCTTAAGCAAAGAGTCAGTTGTTTTTCCTTGACAATCTGGGTGCTAAGCTGCAGCTTGACAACCATGGGCCATGGTCAAACATGATCATGTGGGCTATGGTCATGGTTGCCAAAAAGGAGTGGCCCAAAATGCTAATTAATCATCATCCCTACCAGCCAAAAGTGGGCGTTTTGACCACGGCACATGTTCATTTTCTTGTGGTCAAAGGCTGGGACGGCGTAGATATCTTCAACAAGTCCCCGGCCTTTCCGGATCCTCTCTCCCGTCGCTGGCCTGGAGATTCGCTTCAAGCCGCACTCGGAAGCACTTTCAGGGCTACCAGGCTACCATAGTACTAGCTGCTCAAACTTTGTGTAACCCTGGGACACCCTTTGACCCAATAATCTAAACCAGCATCTTGGAAGGCTTGCCCATTGTTTGCGGGAAAAGGTTGCCTCCTCCAATTATCCCCAAACCAAAAGCTGACTACCAATCAATTTGTCACTTCAAGTCACTTGCCCAAAAAGGCTGACCTGTCTTGTGTGAAGGGGGTAAGGGTAACGGGGGAAATTCCTCCAACCGCGAGCGAATGCCATTCCCCTTGCGGATTCCTTGGCTTCCTTCCTGTGCGGGACCCTGGCGAGCTCCAATGGAGGCGTGTCAAGCAGAGGGGGCCGTACCAATCGGACCTGTTCCGGCGTGGGATTTTTTTCCGTCCATGAGGCAAGGACTTTACCCAAACAACTGCAAGTGAACCAACCACATCCAAACAACCACCTTGGCAACTTGCTGTAACTTGCAGGGTTCCTCCTTCCCCTATTTGCCATCTTTTTGGGCATCTGCATGAGTCTGCAGCATAAGTCATTTTGACCCTCAGGCCCGCCTCAACCGGTGCCTCTTTCGGCACTTCTTCCTCCTGCCTGGCCGAAAGGCAAGAACTCATCGGGCCCAAAATGATCCGGATCCCAAAAGGCGATCGGATCCCCAAATAATCAACTAGGGCGCACGAGTTTATCAATCCGGGGTTGCCTTCGTTGCTTGTATCCCTAGCCTCTCTGCAATTGAATATCACTCCCTGCAACGAGACATTCGCCTGGAACATTGAGCATGAGCGTGGTGCAGTTGTTTGGCCCTGCACAAATCAGAACCCCGCCAAAAAGGGCAAACTTTTGGTCAACGCGACATATACTTATGAATTACCTTTGACCTTCCGTCCCTTTCGTCCCGCCTGCCAGTATCAGATTCAGCTGATTCGGCAGGGCTCACCTGAGCTATGTATCTACAACAGGCAACGGTTTCCCTCTTGGGCTAGTGCTACTCGGACCTTTCTCTTGCCACTTACGAACTCGTCAGCACTGCGAAGCCGGATTGACTAGAACCCAGCAGATGAATAAGGGAGTGGACCCCTTTTGCGAGTGCAGCATGGACTCAAATTGCGCTGCACCCATCGAACCAACCAGTTGGCGCTCTCCGGAAGCCCAACTAGTCCCAGTCGCTTGGAAAGTCTGGCGCTGAGGCGCAGAGATTCTAGTCGTGTGGCCCTGCTTGAGGAAAAATAGGTTTTGGGCCATCCTGCAAAGTTGTCTCTTCCAACTTGAACAATGAAAAAGTGATCCAGAATCCATGGAATGACTTGAGTGAACCACTTTGGCCCACAAGAAGGGACCAAATTTCCCCCCTGGTCTCTGGAGACGTCTGGGGCAAGGTCAGTGACCAAGACTCAACGAGCCGCAAACCGTGGGCGCCCAGCAAGGGTGTCCAGCATGGTCTGCCACTCGCCCAGCGCCTGGCGAAACTTGCTGGGAACCCAAATGCCCAGTTGGGTTGTGGTGATCGCAGACCGGACATACCTCACGCATTCCCAAGGGATCTTCACGGGTTCGTGCTCGATGCGCGAGGACTAAGGATGTTATGTCGTCCAAATCAGCTGGTACATGCGATCCCCTTGTCGCAACCTTGAAACAAACATTCATAACCGGGGGAGCTACCAGCAAACGAACGGGAAAATCTCTGGAGACCTATGAGCTTAATGAGAACAAGGACTCACCGACCTTTGATGGAACCACCCAGCTCATGGAAGTGCTGAGGGCAGGGCAGACTCATGAAGTGGATGCTTTTTGGTTTCCAGAGCCATGCCCTTTTGGAATTTCAGTTGACACCACATCGATCCATGCCTTCCAGAGGAAAACCGTAATGTACATTCTCTGAGGGTGCCCTTTTTGAAGCTTGTTGGAATGGAATCAAAAAGGAACCACCATGTTTTGGAGCCTTTTTTGAGACAGATCCACGTCCGTTGGTTGGCACCCTCAATTTCAGGTTGGGGCAAATAATTTTCCGTTGCCTTCAGCATGCTTGATCCCGTGCTCCAAGCAGGCTCTTTAGGTTCCAGGTCCTTCTGCAAGGGAGTATTCGGAACAACAAAAAAATGGGATGCGGCAAACTGGACCCCCTCATTTTTTACAGAGCACCAGCAACTAAATGGAGGAGCCAAACAGCAACTTGCTTTGCGAACGACGTGCCGTGGTTTGAGAAGCAAAGGAAACGAATGCATGTTGGGGGCAAACGCTGGTAATATGCTTCACCCGTTGCCTACGTGAATCATTTGAAAGCCTTGGTTAACATCTGCTGCCAAGGACCACCTGTTTGTAAGTCCCACATACAACCACTTTTGGAAATTTGGGCTTTACGCCGTAAAACACGGGGTTTCCAAGAACCTGCAAGACCAAGGGCTTGGGACCTCACATGGGTTGGGCATTGCAACACTGTGTTCCGCTTGCCCCTCTCGCACCAGCAAGTTTACATGTTGTCCGAGAACTTAAATCGAGCAAACAGGAAGGGTACTCCAATGAACGCCTGAGGGCTCTGTCCACTGAGTCGCCGCCAGGCGGATTCCACATTTTTGGCCTCCTCACGGAAGGCTCGATACGTCCCAAAATCGTGGGATTCAACGAGAAAACCACATAGGATGTTGGATGTGCCTCAAGGCTCCAAAGATCTCAAGTTGAACACCCTCAAAGGAGCTCAAAGTTGAATTTCATGGCGGTTTCCCTTTCAAAACCCCAAATGAGACCAGCACCCCAAAAACCAGCACCGGCTATTCCGCGAGTGCCAGGGCGGGTACTCCCAAAGATCTCCCATGGCCCGCGAAGACTGTGGTCTTCCTGTTGGTCGTGTCTGGATTTGGATGTTTACCAGGGTCCCCAAGAAGAGACCTCCCACATTCACCAGATTCCAAATCTGGTAGATGTGATAATCGACATGGCCAAGATGTATTCCGTTAGCAACCCGGTTCCGGGCAAGCCTTTCCTTTCGAAAAGGAACCCACAACTAGTCAAAGGGCAAGGAAATCCTGGAGACCTCCTCCTCGACTGAATTGATCGGTAGAACAGTGGCAACCAAAAGAAGGGACACCAAAGGAAACGAAACCACATCTTCCAGCCAAATGTGGCTTGGTTATCAAACAAACAGCTTTCCAACCAATTTTCTGCCAACTTGTGGTTCAACGGAACCAAAGGAACTCCGAATCTTGCGAGATCAACAAATACGACGGAGCAGCCACTTTCGGGACGTGTTAAAAATGCTTTTTTGTCCCACTCTCAAGGGGTCGATGGCTGCAATTAGGATTTTTAGTTTGCCCCCCTTACGACGAAACAATTGGATCGCTTTGAAAGGGGCCCAACTAGTTGGGCTTGGTGCCTCTTCAACCCCGATTTGTTAGCAGTGGGGCGCTTGATGAACCCCATTGACCCGCATGCGCATGCGCCAGTTCTTTACTGGACTCTGTTCCGGTGCTGACCACATTTGGTTATTCAAGCAGCTCAACATGTCGCCTGCAAAAACACCCTCAGAATAAACAATAGCAATTTGCACACAACTTGGAAGTTGGGAGGACAACCGGACACCGTTTGCATTCCAAAAGGGACTCACTGAGTTCAACGAACGCAACCTCTTGGCCTCGGGCCACATGGCTCCTTTTGGGCAAACGCCATCTGCTTTAGAACAGGATCCTCCTTATTTAGCGGGTACTTGAGTGATTTTCGGGTGGCTCGTTTTCTTTTTCTGAAAGGAAACGAGCCAAACCGACATCCACGCTGGGAAACCTCAAGGTTTCCGTCCTCCTTCAGCTCTTTAGGTGATCCTCCAAGCCCAAGCGTAATTGTCCTTTGCGCCCCACACTTTTTTTTCTCCTTTTTTGTTTCTTCTTTGTTTTTTCCCGAGTTTTATATGTTTCTTTTTTGCTATTCTTTTCTCTTTGCATTTCTTTTACTTCACCAGGTTATGTACTTTTTTTTGTTGTTGTCATTTTTATATCTTATTTTTCATATGGTGGGCCCGTTCTGGAGTGGAGGGCCCCCCTAAAAAAAGGCACATGGTTTCCCCACGGCATGTGTTCTCCTGGAAAACCTCGAGGTGTGTCCTCCTTCAGCCGGTCGGCCCGATTCGAGTCCTCGTAGAGCAAGCCATGGGCGCAGCAGGCGGCCTGAGCCGCCGCGAGGCCTCCGCAGCCTGACTCGACCAAAGGGACGGGTCACCCCGTTCAGGTAAACCCAGTTTCTGGGGTCACCAAATTTTGGACCCTGGTGGGTTGTAAACCCAGCTTTTGAAAACACAAAAGTACACCCCTGTCTTTGGGGTGTACATGAATATCATTATTTTTGACGCACTTGGGTGTGTGCCAAAATAGGGTGGGGGGGAGGGCCGTGGCGGTTTTCGTTTGGTACACTTACATAAGACCAACGTGCAAAAGCTGACATGTACAAAAACAACCAATCACAACAGTAATTCGATATTAGGTCCCTGGTAAAGGGAGGCAAACAGGAGCGCATTCACCAATGTTGTATGGCCCTTGTGTTTTGGCCGTCGTTTGATGGGTCGGTACCAAGCTATGACCTGGTGTCGGTGTTTTTTACAATTGCAGGACAAACACCAAGCAAAGGTCTCTACAAGAAGAAATCGTTGGCCCCCTTCTGGCTTCCCTTTAACTGGTTGACAAGGGCCCCCCGAATGTCTCGGCAATGTTAGTGACACCCCCAAAAAGACGCTACTTGAGAATCAAGCAACATAATCCTTCTGATTGCCATGGGAAGCCACCGAACAAGTCAGTTTCAGTTCTATGGCTACCTGACATAAACAAACCGATGTGGGATTGTTGCAATTCACCGACTGGAAAGAAGGATGCTTATGTGCCTTTTTCCGCAGATACCTTTAGCTATAGGGGGGTCTAAAGAGGTGTTTGTTCAGTGAAATCGGGTGAGGTGGGAACTGCGGGTGCTGATCAGTGTGCTGGTCAGGGTGTGGTGGTGACTGGCGGGGCTTGTTTGGCGCTGCAGTCAGAGTGCTCATGGTGCTGGTCAGAGGGTGCTGGTCATGCGCTAGCTGCGATTGCAGGGCACAAATGTTCGCTTCCACCGAGTAGGTTGCAATATCTCCTCAGGTTGGTTCCGACAACGGCCGTTCGACGGCACGCAACAACCATCCAACTGGTGGAGAAGGGCGACAAACATCCCCTGAACAAAGATTGCTCGTTGGGCTGGGCAGGTACTTTCTTCGGTGGGGCAAACGACACAACCAAAATCATTGTTTCGCTTAGCAGAGAGCACTATGATTGTAATTGGCACGGTGCCTAATCGATGTGTACTCTTGAGCGCTCAACATTGTCCTTTGGACACAATCATTGATCAAGGTGTCCTTTCGAACAACAAAGGCCAGCATCCTGGAGGGGCAGTGGTCCTTGACAGATGCATGCCGTTTACGTCATGAACATGTGCACTATAGGGTGAAAGGGGTCTCAACTAAGATGCGAGCCCCCGTACGCGACTACATTCATTTTTGAAGTTGAAGCGGTGTTGAATCGAAAGACAGCATGGAAGGGGGGTTGGGGGGTCGAACAAAAACGGAATCTGTCCAAACGAACTGTTCCGCAAGAGGAGGTTGCTAGTGGAAACCCGCCAGATTAGATAGCGCTTCATGCCCCCAAATGCTGGGTTTGCCAAAATCGACCGGGACAAAACAAGATTTGCAGCCTCCAGGCACACAAAAACCAATCAAACTCGACCATTGAAAAATCCGGCGAGGCTACATACGGCCTCGGTGTCTTGAACTAGTCCAATGCTGAAAACAAAAAAAACAAAGCTTGCGTGCAGCCTCCTTGCCGCACTACGTTGGACATATACAACAACATGTAAGCCACATACGGAGGCAATGTGTGTACCGTGCGGCTTTGAGTGGCTCCCTGCATTGGCTGGAGAAGCCCTCTTAGACTAAACCTGCCTTGGGGAATCTCGCAAATCCTTCCAGGACTCAGCTGGGTATGTGTCATAATGTGTGGGTGGGGAGGAGGGCGCCCAAAAATGGCGCCTCTCCTTTTGGCACCCCGCCCATCAAATTTCTACCCCACCGAACGTCTCGACGTTCGGAAGTCAGCCCTGAAATGGCCTTCGGAAGCTGCCACCAGGACCTTTGCCTGACGCATGCCGTGTCTTGAGCCGAAATAGGGGTCGTTTCTTTTTTGAGGGAGGAGCCGTCGTTAGTTTTTTTTTTGGGGGGGTTTTTCTTTTCTTCTCATTTTTTTTCAAAGGGTTTTGGCTGTATTGTGCGGTCCTGGAAGCGATCCGAACCTGTTTGGTCTTCATTTGAGGCCCTGTGAGGAACAGGAAAGTTGTCACGGTCTTTTAGGCCAACCAGCGGGCCCACTGGGGGCCTCCTGGCAGGAGTTCGAACTCGCCCGGTTCAGAATGACTCCGCTTGTCCAAACTTGTCACCGTGGGACATGCTGAACTTGCCCCCGCCCCGTCCGACCCGTCCGATCCAGGTGCCTTGGCATCTTTGGGCGGCGTGCCGGGCCTCAAGCCATCACGAAGCTAACTCACCTCGTCGTTTGTCCTGCCTGGGTGCGCCTACCAAAGGCCAGAACACAAGATGGGAATTTCTCATGGTCTTTTTCGTGGAAAGCAAAGTCCAACCCCAACAACTAGGGCGCCTTTGGAAAAAGCTCTTGCTTTGCTAGTTGCATTTAAGTATCAACAAAGCAACTGGTTATAGGGACACCGGATTTCCTAAACATTGCAAGAGAGAGCGATGTGAAGCGCACCCTTGACACAGGCCCGGGTTGTTGCTGATTCGGTTTGGGTTTGGGACTGATCCAAATCCATACACGCTTGCTAGGGTAAGTAGACCGATACAATCTGGCCTCCAGAATAGCGCTCGAATCTCCTGGCATCGGATCTCTTTCGCAGGGCTCGCGGGCGGGTAGGCAACTCGGTTAGCTATGACTTGCCGCAAGGAAGCGCTGAGCTTAACCGTCTTAGGCCTTATCCTGGGCTCCAACAAGTATGGATAGACTCCTCCCAGAATTGCTGTGATACATCCCTCTTGCTGCAATGCCAAAGCAAGCCGTCGACACGACTGCGGTCTCAAGATACAAAGGGGATCGATCAAAGGTATCACAAAACATGGACACTCACCACACTAACTTGGCAACGAAGACCCAAGCAGGTTGGCTCTCAGCGCCGCCTTTATGATCAAAGCATAGCACTGGCACCTGAACATTGAAAACATCGAACATTGAAAACTGAACATTGAACATTGAAACTGAATATAACACTAACAACCTTGAAAACTGAAACCCGTGGCACATGTTCAAACTCTCACCGGACACCGATCCGTCGGAGGCTCCTCCTTCTGGAGCTCCTCCCGGAACTTGCCGGCCACCTGACGAGAGAAAAACACACAGAGGTTTTTGGGCGGTCGAGGGTTGAATGATCATAACATTGGTGGTCGAGTTTTTTGGTCACAACATGTTGTGGGTAGTGTTGCTTTCTAGTTAACACAGGGAAAACATGCCATGGGCTATTTGGGTCAGACTTTTCTTTTCATTGGGCACCTTGTTGGTGCACATCATTTAGGGGATTCATGTCGACCAACTGCTTTTCCGGGGTTCCGCATCAGAATCCATATTTAGCAAACAAGCCAACTAATCCCTAGGCCGGAAGGCGCAAGAGCGTGCCTGCGCTGGGGCGTTGCCCGCACGCACGCCGTTCAGCCGCTCTAGGCGGTCTCCGTAGCGCACCTAGCGTGGCTCTGAGGCTGGCCCAGTGTTGAGATAAATTTGAGGCAAACCCTTACAAGTGATGTGTCTGTGCGTGTTGCTTTGAGGGTACCCTTTTCAGGTTGTTTAAAGTGAAAGCAAAGGACGCCACCTGTTGGGTTCCTCCTATTTTTATACATATCCATATGAACAACTAAACCCATCGACATTTACAAAGGCCGTGGGCTTACTGTAGCCTTGCTAAGCCAGGTGCCTGTTGGCTTCGCTTGAAACATCCAAGCGACTCGCGCCTGTAGGGCCGGGGGCTGGCTGGCGTTCCAGCGGTCGATGGGGGAGCCCTCCACCTGCCGATTTGAGGCGACTCACAATGCTGATGCCCTGAAAGGTCTTGATGGTTTTAGGGCTTGGGTTGTTCTCCGGACCACTAGATTATGGGCTTTTGGACGAGCTAAATTGGTCAGGGGCGCGACCCAATTTAGGGCTTCAAACAAGCTGTCCTTTTGAACGCCAAAGCAACTGTTCGGGATCAGGAACATGTGCTGAGCTTTGTTCAGAATCTTCCTTTCTTCCAAGCACACCAATAACCACGTTGGTCATCAAAACCTGGCCCAAGTGTGGATCGATTCATCTGCGTTGCATGACTGGGATGGCATCTGCTACGCTGCAAAAGTGGAATATGGACTTGACACATCCCTGCTCCTGATTTGTGTAGCTGCGGTCGTAGGCAAATTTAAATGATGCCATTCAACAGACTTGTTCTTGTCCTTGGCAGCTCCGGTGCTGCTGGGCGAACGGGGGCTAGTTCCCTCAAGTTGCCTCATGACCTTTAGTAAGCTGCTGACAATCTCGTCCACCACCAAGCGATGCGACCTGGGCATTGGCGTTTGGCTCGGCCCAAAACATGGACCCATGTTCCCCGTTTCAGAGCTTCACAAGACCAAATCAGGAGTGGAAAAGCTGGCCGGGGACGGAACTTGCAATTTTTGGTGGCTGAATTTGAAGGGCACTCGCCAAAAGAAGCCGCACAACCGCTGGACATCAGCCGGCTTGCGCCAAGGCCGCAGCGACTTGAAGACCTGCTTGTGCCATTTGATACCTCCAGGCCGTGAAATGCATCATGTTCCAAAGCCGTTGACTTCTAGTTCTACTTAGGCGGCAAGAAGGGCTTATGCAGTCGTTTCCATCTCTAAAGGCAACAGCTCGCCAGGAGGCTTTGAGTGTTCACGTGCCGGGGTTGCTGCAAAGGCCAAAACCTACTCCGGTTTGGCCCTGGTGACTCAATGGTTGCCTCAACTATCCCGGGGTTGATTGGCATCCCAAAAGTGAGGGAACCTACCAATGCCTTCCCCCAATGATCTGCCCCACCCCAGGGTTGAGGCCGGCTCATTAAACCCTCCCAACGTTTCGGGGACTCGTTGTTGGGTAGGTGCCTGCAGGAGCCACCCCAACCACTTCCCACTGGGGCGCACCCCACTTGTCGTCCTCCCTCCTCAGACGCACCCGAAGGCGAATGCCTTGCGCGGCGCAGTGCAACCAAAAGCCGAGCCGACTTTTGATTCTGCCAAGATGGCTGTAAAGTTTTAGGCCTTTCCAAGAATAGGAACTTTGGTGGCTGCTCAGGTGGTTTTTTGGAGCACCCGGGTAGTTTCTCTTTCTCACCCAGTGGAATGAATGACTGGGAGGGGAAAGGTGCTTGAGGGTGACTAATCGCAGTTGCTAATGGGAAACCAATCTTAGGTGCAAATGTGAACCGGGTTAGTAAGAACTTGATCGATGAGCCTAGGGGTGTCCCTTTCTAAAAGGAGATCCGAGACACTTTTGGGAGCGACACTGCTGCTCCGGTCGAGTCAGCAAGTACCAAGTTCAGTCTGGCCTCCCCCGTTTTCTTGGGTTGGTTCAAAGAGTCCTGTGGGGATGCTGACTTAGCCTTCCGGTTTTGCTCCATTCACAACCAACAAGGTGTTCTCTTGTCTGGCGACCTGTGAACCAATTGGAACAAACCGTTGGAAGAGGGGGTGACACAGTTTGCAGCTCAGCAGAAATCTGTGTTGGGGAAAAAACATCTTTTGTGGGGTTGTTGCATTCCACATATCAGATTTGCAAAGCGCAAGGGACAAAGGGACAACATGACACAACCAACAACCGGAGCAGCTGGGTCCAGGGGAATTCTAAGCAACAACAGCTCAGTCGCGCAAATGGGCATGCCGATCCCTCTTAGGGATTCTTTTTGGTGGTTAGCTTTCAGCTTCCTGAGAGCAGCAAGCAACACAGCCCAAATGGGGTCCCTGCATTGAGACAAACGGGAAGTTTCAACAGCCTTGATATTTGTGGAGCAATTTCTGCAAGGCTTTGTTGGATATTTAAGGGGGCCAACCAATGGTGTGGCCAAAGGCAAAGTCTACCAACACACATATAAAAGGCAACACAAAGGGTCCCGTTTGGCCCCGTCAAAGCTTTCTCGAGAGTGGATTGGTCCATCGGTCAGAACCTGTCCCGGCTTTTCGCGATACTTCTGGAGGTGAACGTCCCAAATGATGTGAACGGAGGCATGCACATACGCAAAACAAGGTTTTCGTTACGGAGTATTCCCAGAGTAAATCAACCACAAACCATGGGAATCTACAGCAACCCTACTGAGAGTTTATGGGAGCATTCACTGGGGGGTTTTTTGCCCACAAAAGGTATACGCTATTCGTTTGCCACTCAAAACGATCCCCGGAAAGTTCAAGAGTCCAGGAACCCAAAATCTAAGCCATGGAGCCTGACAGCTCCCATCCCCAGATCTGCCCGCCTTCGGAACTGCCGCCCTCCTCTTCCGATGAGTCCCCGGGCTCCACGTCGAAGGCTCAGTCGGGAAATCGTCCAAGGGGAGTGCAGTAGGATCGTCCAATGCGTGGTGACGTTTTCGTGACTGAGTACGGTTCGTGGGGGGTTGAGAAAAAAGGTGCACCCGGGCAAGGTACTCCATGTTTGTGGACAATTGCCTTGTGAAACCAAAGTAGGCCATGCCCAAGACAACTTCAACACTTTGAAGGGTAGCACAGAACCTAAAGCCCTAAAGCCCTATGTTCAAAACCCTCCCCCCCGCCTCCCCCACCCACCCCCGCTGGCCCCCTGAGCGCCTCGCCGGGCAGCTCTCGGAAAGCCTCCAAGGCTTCCTGCAAGGCCTGCGCCTCGGTGCAAAGCCACACGGCTCGCCTCGGCTCGTCTCGGGAACCTTCAAACTGTTTGTCCACGGACCCCCGCAAACATGGTTGGCTTTGTTTTCGTTTCCAACTTTGCAACCTATGGCGTGTCTTGTTTTAGGATTTGGACCCCCAAACATGGCTTCCTTTGGTTTCCAACTTCGCGACCCAAAAAAGGATCCCCCCAAAACATAGAGACCCACAGGAACCCCCGCAAATCCACGCGCAGGCGGAGTTTGGTCTCGCACCGCCGCTCTCAAGCTGCCCAGGTCGGACGTCAGGGTCACGGACCTCGCCTGATGGACGCCATGGCTCACATTAACCAATTTTTTTCTTCTTCTCGATTTTGGCAAATTGGGTTGGACCAACTGGGCTTTAGAAGGGCTTCCGGGCATTTTCACTCCATGCGAGCAATCCATATTCAGAGAGCTAATTCCAGGAGCGTCTTCCGAAACGATCGGCTTTCTTCTTAACCCCAGATGACCAGCAACGTGACGTTGCTCCGCTTTTTGAGTGGCATCTGCACATTTTGCGGACTTGATCCTCCTTTGACCGGTAGACTCCGTCCGCCTCACCGAAAACCAAGCCTAAACCCACCCTGGAACCCGAACTAAACCAGCACTAAACCATTTTAAAGTCATCCCGAAACCATCCGAACCTTCGAAACCCAGAGGCCCCCAAACCTTTGCTCAAGACTTGCACTCACCTGTTAAAGGTTGCTTTCAACAAGGTTGCTTTCGGATGGGCGTGGGATGGATGGACAAAATGGGCTGTGGCCGTCGGATTCGCGCTGGCGCCAACCGTGGGCCTAGTCAGCTAAGGGTTTGGAATTCCCAATGCAACCTCAAGGGTTCGCGGATACCCAAAACACCGAAAGCACAAAAGACGCATCTTGGCATCTTGCTTGAAACAAAATGGTTGTCTAAGGCTCCGCCCGCTCGCCGGCCTTTGTCACCGAATTGGGCAGGTTGCCATTGAAAGACACATGGAACCCAGTCCTCACCATATTTTAGCTGACATGGTCACATTGAGGGCCTTGTTGCTGAGTCAGGGTCTGGCAAATTGAACAGATGTTGACTGGAATCTCGCCTGAACATCAGGCCCTCTCCCAAAGTTGAAGAAGCCTCAATTGTTCTAGCTGTACTTGCCCCTCTTTGCAGCAAATCGCGGAAAGCTCCGCGAACTTGGGTGACTTCTCAGACGAATGCCGTGAACTAAGTTGGGGGGCTAAGCCTTTAGAATTGTAGAAGCTCAAATGTCTTTCTTTAGGGGACCCTCCAAAATGGTCTTACCAAAGCACCAACCACGGGTTGCCTAAAAGAGGGGTTGCCAAACGACACACCCAACAAGGCTCAAGACAAAACGCGGCATCGGCGGAATCGGCTCCGTTCGCCTGTGGTGCCTCAGCCGGTGCCAGCAGCGCCACACCGGCTCGGGGCCCATCCTAGCAGAAGCCGATGTGCTTTTTGAAACAACCTATCTTTTTTAACGGGGAGTCTTTACGTCCTGAATTTCTTTGAGGGCGCCCAAGTCACACTTGTTGGCAGTCGCTTGCATTTAATAAACTTGGGCACCGATTGACGATTGAAGATTGCAGAGAAAACTCCTCAGAGATTCTTTCATCCTGGCCAGCCCCAATATATGTTGTTTTGAACGCTTTCAAAAGGCTTGCTAACTTGTTTTCCCAATTAGCGTGTTTTCCCAGTCCAAGGTTGGGGGTAAACGAATCTCTGAACGGTTTTCAGTGGAACCTTCAAGCTTTCATGCTTGATCAGGAACACCTGTAGAGGTTTTTGGGGCTTTGGGCTTCGCAGGCCGAGGATTGACAATCTCAACAGCGGACACTTTAATCAATCTTCGATCCATGCTTAGACTATTAGATGGTCTGGGAGTTCGCTGAATGGTTGGTAAGCCTGGCCATAACTCGTGACCACCCTTGTAAGTTGCCAGAGATGCTACGGAACCATTTAGCTGAGCCCCGGACCAAAGTGGGAAACACTGCTTTGGAAACGCTTCAAAACGTTCGGGCCAGGATTGAACCATCTCAGCTGTGGAACCTTCTAACTCCAGCCTTCGATCAGGAAACATACTTTACAGCTTTGGAAACAATCTAAACATTTTTGGGGGTTGGGGGCACACCAAAGCACAGATCCATTCAAAATGGGCACTGCCCTGAGGGTGGGCAAAGTGACCCAAGGTCATATCCGCCGACATTGTTTGGCGTGTCAGACACCTAAGAGAGGATAGAGGATAACCCCCCTCCCTAGTTCCCCACCCCCCGGACACGTCTCATACAGGGGGGGCAATTTGACCACGTTCTAGTACCAAGAGTACTTGCGAGACGGACAAATCGAGCCACCGTGCGCCAAGCCACGAGCAGCATGCGACCACTGGGGCGCAGTGAGAGGGATGCCGGTGAGCGCAGCAAAGCAGCCCTGCACCTGCTCGTCAAAGCTGGCAAGGGAGGTGTGGGCGGAGGGGGGGATGCAGCGCATGTTGTGCGCCACACGAACGGAGGCCAAGCCCGACCTGGGGGGTTGTCGAACTCCGTCATGGCATTGAGAAGGGGCTTAGCGGAGAGCACGCGGCCAACAGCGTGGACTTGCGCAAAGGCGGCCTCGCCGATGGCCGCCCCCAGAAGTTCAAAGTTGCGCTGCACGCGGAAAAAGCCATCTGGGGCAAGGAGCAACTCGCGGGCATGGTGCGGCTGCAGGTTGGGGGTGCTTCTGGCCACAACAACCTTGCACTTGTGCAGGCCAAGGGAGCACACTGCTGCTGGATGTGCTGGACCGCCACCCTAGGAGACAGGTCATCAACCAAGACTCCGTCGTCCAAGAAGAAGGTGGACAAGTGTAATGCGGCCCCAGGAAGAGCAACGGGTCAAGAGGGCCCCCTGCTGCGCACGCAGGGAGCTGGGCATAGCACCAAGTGGCCCCGGGCAAGTGCAAGGAAGTTGTCATAGGCAGCCCAGTGTGTTGAACAATGTTGACAAGAACCTCTGCCCAGTCCCGGACAGCGTGCGCAGCAAGCTCGGCCCGCCCTTGACAGCAACACCGAGTTGGGCTGGCCACAGAAAGCTCCTTGCAAGAGGCACCTGCCAGATCAGCTCGCCGAGGGTCGGACCCCGCTCTTAGGCTTCGGGACGGCGACCAAAGAGCAAGGGAAGGGCAGGCGCGTCCCTGCCGCGGCCAGCCCGGACGGAGCGGGACGCCGCGGGCCACCGTGGCAATGGGGGGGAAGGAGGGGGGAGGGGGAGAGAGACAGGGAGAGAAAGAGAGAGAGAGAGAGAGAGAGAGACCTCTCCCTCTCCCTCTCCCTCTCTCTCCTTAGCGGAGGAGGGAACAAAGCGGGGAAGGGAAAGAGAGAGGAGAAAAGGGAGAGGCCAATGTCGGCGGAGTGAGCCGGAGCCTCTACAGCTTGAAGCACCCTTGTTTGGGCGCAGGCAAACAAGCAGGGAGAGGCCGAAGTCCCGATTCCAAAAAATATATTTCGTATCTCGTTCCCTGCTTCTCTCGTTCCCTGCTTCCCGCTTCTCATGTGCGTGGCCCAGCGAATTGGTGAGACGCAACCTATGTTATGACATTCTTACAACTTTCGGCGAACTCGGGGACTTACAAGTGGGTGGCAGCTCAGGCTAAGTTGGCTGAGGCCCAGGTAGTTGCTGGTGTGATATATCGATCAATCGATGCTCCCGTCACGGGACTCTCGAAGGGAAGCCGCCAGGGTTGTGCCCCAGGTTGGTTCAAGTTGCCAAGATAAATGCAGAACCCATGGCGAGCCATTTGGTGGATGAACATCCATTTGCCACCTGCTTTGATGTTCACCAGGGCTACATCCTGCGAATTTGGCTCCTCAGGGGCCGAACATGCGACGGAGACTCCAGGCCTCACTCAGGAGGCCCGGCTCAAAGGGTCCCGACATCCGCGCGGCAGGAAAAACGCTGAAACGAATAAAATGGGGCCATGTGGCCATGGTTTGGCTGAATAGGTGAAAATGTTCGAACAAAAGAAAGCACAGTTCGCCCCACCTTTTGTAGCGTGATATTCATCAACAAGCTGAGGCCTTCGTTTGGCTTCAATTTGAAGGCAACTGCGGGGCATTTGTATATGGGTGTGTTGCACCATCGGGTCTTTCCATTGGCTTAGACAAGCCAGTGTCCATTGATATATGTTGATATATATATATATGTATATATATATATATGTGTCCTCAAGTGGCAGGGAGGACCCCAGTTTGTAGGGCCCCCACTGCAGGATTTACTGTAACCAATCTGAATCAAGCTCTGAAATCGCTGCGGGTCCTTCGATTGCCAGGTGTCCTTTGAAGAAATGACATGACTAGACAAACTGAAACCTACTTTCAACACTGACCAAGCGATTGTTCAGCTATGATCCAAAGGACGGTGTGGGTATTTCGGATCTGGTTGCTTTGTTCAGCAACTCGATCGTTTCACTGATCCGCGTTTTGCCATTTGAGCCGAAACAACAGCCAATTGGCGAAACCTCCGCTTCAACAAGCCGCCCGTTTGGTTGGCGTGATTTCACCCAAGTCAATTCCATGGTAAAGGGGAAACAGCCAACCCGGAACTCTGACTCCGATACCCCCCCCCAGAATCCAGGTCTGTTTCTGCATAACTCATCCATCCTGCACGGCCAAACAAGCAGGTTCTGCTTCGCAGGGGCTGCTGCACACGTGCCTGCTAATCTAAGGTCTATGCTTCCAATTGCTTGAGGACATCGACGATTGGCCAGTGATCACCGGATTTTTAGTACGCAAAACTCAAAACCACGTTATAAGCAATGGCTCCGTCTTTCTGGGGGAATAACCTGCATATCCCCCAACACCCAGCCCCCCACACTCGTTGGGTTTGCTTCCCCATGCACCTCAAGCTACTGGATAGCACCAATCGGAAGATCTCCGGCTCAGCCGGAGTCTACAAGCTCGGCCCAGAGCGAGCCGAGCGGCTATTCACACACGTAGGGCTTAACTTAAGCCACAGCCAAGGGGAATGTAGAAAAGTTGGATCCCACTTACCTATGAAGCATCCCACTCTGCTCTGGCAACCTGGGCCCGTACTCAAACAAACGGGGCCGTCGCTCGTCTCTGGGGCTTGAGATCACTAACTGGCTCAATCCGCGCTTGATCCAACCTGAGACCAGTCAATGACGCGAGCTCTGATGGCTTCTACCCATGTGAGCCCGAAACAAAATGCACATGTTCCCCAAGAGCAAATGGGACAATTGAGTTGTCCTCCTAGTTTTTGCGGGAAAATTCGGCGGCCCCCCATGTCCTTCCCGAGACAACAACAGACTACAGCAATGCCGTCAGTTGCTCGTGCATTTACCCCAACCAAAAGGGAACTTCTAGGCGCAATGGTGAGCCGCGCCCAAGACCCATTGACTTTGGGATGGACCTCTCTGCGCCTCACTACATCCCCAAACGAGAACTGCTCACTCTGCAAATGAACATGCGTGCCATGGTCAAGACTTCTTGTCGGTCTGAATGGCAACCCTTCTGGTCTAACTTTTCTAAGGGTCCATCGCAACCCCCAAAGTCAGCGAACTGGTCTTTTGACCATGGCACATGTGGGTGCCTAGAAAACGGGCTCGGACCCCCGAAATGCTGGTTTCCCTTTGGGTTGCCTTCGAAACAAGCCACAAAAGGCTACCCTGACAAACATAGGTGGCTTTTGGAAAAATCGATGGCCCTGGTAAATGGAATAAACCGACCAAAAAGGACACCTATGCTCACGAATGCACCTACCCCGTGTAGAACATGCAAGACATCGAGGCCGGTACCACGGAGAAGATCAGCGCGTGTTCTGGCGGGCGAACTGTCTCGCGTCTCTGATCCATCGTTTCCACCCACAAACCGCCTGACGGTGGCCAGTATGGCCTATTCCCCCTCGGTGTTTTGGTTTGCCACCAGCGTGGGGGTATTGGCTTTCCTCCTCCTCCTCCTCCCCGAAAAAAAATAACAACCACAACAACAACAACAGAACAACCACAAAAACAAAATAACATGCCCCAACCCCCACCCCCCCCCCCCCCTCCCAGGGAAAAAAACAACAAACAACAAGCACGAAAGACACATGGTGGCGACGGCCCAACCGCTTGCGCTGCCCGTCCTTCGATCGAAGCGGCAGTGGGGCTGGGGCCTCCTCACCTGAAAGCCGGACTTCCCAGATTCTCGGTCTTTGGCGCCCTATATGGCCGTGAATTTTAAACTCGGAAAATCCAAAAAGGGTAGGGGCACCCTCAAAAAACAAACCCCAAGATCACCCCAAAGGAACCCCATCTTAAACTGGCCGCAAAGCTGACGTTCGGTCCAGAAGGCTTGGCCAGCGTTTCTTCTGCGATTTTTAACCGCAGCCCTTTGCTGGTTTTGGTTATGAGGGACTGGGCAAGCATGCAGTCGTGTGTCTTTTGCCACTGTGCAAACCACTAGAGATGACCAGGATACTTCACCATGTAAAACCTAGAGGTATGAAACCCTGGTTGTCTGCTAGTGTCAAAGAGCGCATCTCTGGCCCACTATAATGGCTTCCCCTTTTTATCGAGCAAAAGCTCGATCGCCGTCGATTACCCTTTGTCGCTTTGATTTGGAAACGCCATTGTCCATACAAAAAGGGTCTGGGTGTGTGTGTGTGTGTGTGCTCTTTGTTTGTTTCCAGGGCCCCCCTTTCTGGCTTCTTTGAAAGCACATCCCAAACGACAACCCCACCATTTTGGGGAGGTCGAAACAAAGACACACCGCCCGTGTCATTTTTGGGCGACTCGGGGATTCCTTTGGCCGCATGAGCTTAGTGCGGAGCCCCCGCGGAGCTGCTTCTCAAAGGACCGCTGGAAGGCCTGGGAATGGGAATTGCGGTCACTAGATTGACTGGGGGTTCTCGGATTCCCTGGTGTTTGGTTTTTTGAAGTCTGGGAGCTCCAAAGGGGGTTATCGGATTCCAGGGTTGTTCTCGGAGTCCCTTGACTCAAATAGTCAGACATTGGAATCCGTCGTTTCCCCTTAACCCCTTGGTGGGTGACTTTGACAAGGGAAAGTATAATAGGGCCAAAGCATCCAAACCGTGTGCCAGGTTGGGTGGGGTTTAACCCATGTCTATTGGAGCGGAAAGCCAGCCATCTACGCCCAAAACAGAATGGCAGGGTTTGTTCTTTTTTGGTCGCAGGCAATAGAACCCAGCTCCCTTTTGGGAGCTAACCCAATACTAAAACCTGGCCTTTAGGGCTTCCACACAGGAAACAACACCAGGTGGTTGTATGCAATACCAGCTTGCACAGGGAAACCTGTTGACCTACATGTTAGGTTGCATTCTGCCCCATTTGAAAGGGCGGCCAACGCTCGGTCTCTCTCTCCGGTTGCAAGCTGATTGCCGAACTGCACAGCTTCCTGTGGCTTCCGCCGGCCACGCCGCAGGTTTTTTCTTCACCCAGGACCAACAATTCCCTGCAAATTTAGAGAAACGCTCGACCTTTAACAGGCGGTTCAAGGGGCCAGGCTTCGGACCCAAAGGACTCTCACTCGAACTGGGAATGATCTTTCAGCCACAAGCAGGACCTTTAGGTCGCTTCTGTGGAAGGACAGCATGCACCAATGGATGGAACTCGATTTGAATACTGAAATACACCACTTACTAACTGGGCTTTTGTCCATCCACAGCGTCTGCAGCATTTCGTTACAACTTGCTTCCAAAAACTGAACTAAGGGATCCCCAGAAAAGGACCCACATCATGGTGTGATAGTTCCAATCCGCAGATCTCGATATAGGCAAGCAACGTGGAGGGTTCCTTCGAATTTGTTCCCTTACACCATCGTGCAGGAACTGAGATCCGACGTCAGCAGACCGGTCAGGCCCCGGCATGACCGGAAGCGTGGCCGTGCCTTGGGTTGCTGGAAAGGCACAGGATCTTCTTCTTGTTTTGCTCACCAGTTGGGGGGTGTCCTTTTTGCTTGGTTCAGCATTTGGACATTTGTTTCTTGCAAGGGGTGGCGTTAAAGGGATACTACAGGGACCTCCACCATTGCTCGGGGATGACACAAAACCCATTCGGCGAGCCTGCTCCAACCAAAACCCATTGCTGTAGATTTCGCCTGCTCCAACCAACCACCCTGGTTGGTACATTTAGCCCGATTCTCGGGGAGGCGGCAAAGCTGTTCCCTGCTACCACCTGCCATGGAACCCACTTGAGGGGCCTCTAGCGGGACACGCCCTTTTGTTTCTCTGTTGTGACACACACACACACACATACGGCCCGCCTAGGTTTCCTTCCGAAGCACATGTGATGGCACTGGTGAATGAATCAGTTCTGAGTCCCCCGCGACTTCGGCATATAAGTGGGGAACCAGTCCTGCGTGTGCGCCTGCGCGGATGTTCAGCCGGCGTTGGCGCTTCAACTGACCAAGCCAAGCACGCCGTGGAACATGTACCCGCATGGGTGTCAACTTAATTGAGGACGGACATCAAATTTGGTGGGGATTTGTGTCCACCAACCCATTCTGGAGGGGCTCCCTACTAGAATTCATACCTGCATCTACCCTCCAATTGTGCCTTGAATGGTGCATGCTACCGGAACCTTCAAATTGGATCCAAGAACCATTGCGGCACCGTCTCCGAAGGATGCAGAGCTGTCCTCAAACCGCGGGCACACCAAAATCCCCCCCTCCCAAAAAGTGCCCGGTGTTCCCCAGATGTCCTCTTGCTTTAGGGTTGCTTTGTGGTTTGGCCACTTGCAATCCAACATTAAGGGAACCTGAAATGGGCAACATGAGTTCCGGTCCCGGCGTCGATGGTTTGGATAGGCAACCCAGCCCACCAATCCAAACCAGACACGACGCAATACCAACCACTTTGCGCCGTCCGCAGATCCGCTAAAAGCTTTTAACTTTCAGGTTAAATGGGGACATCCAACCACTAAACAAACTAAACATGCTAAAGCAACCTAAGGAACCGGCTAGCTGGGAGCCAAGTTAAAGGAACCCAGACGCACCCAGACGCCCAAAAACCCAACCACCCACCCAGATGCCCCCCAACAAAAAGCCCAACCTGCCTTGCGCAGCGAGGCGCCTTTGGGGCCCTTGGGGCCCTTGCCTTGGCAAGGCTTTCGTCGAGCCTTTTGGAGAGGCCCAAAAAAGGGCCCCGCTCCTCGACGGTTTTGAGGTTTTGCGGGGATCTGTGTATTTAATTTTCTTTTTTGTGGGTGTTTGTTTTTGGGAAACGCCCGTCTGAAGTGCTTTTCTTGTCGGAGGTGCACTTTTAAGGGATCCCAAAACCACGTCAAAATAACGAAGACTCGAAGGCCTATGCTCTGTCTGTGGATTCTGTGCTGACTTCCAAGGGAGTCATGTGGGGGAACCGCCACCATCTTGGTGCACGACAAGTTGAGGGTCATATTCCTGATGACATTGGACTTTGGTGAAGTGGTATTTTGGGGCTTGTGTAGACGACAGAAATATTGACCGTTGCTCATGTATAAGACCTTCTTGGTTTCAACATCCTCATGCAGGATTCTGTTTAAATGGGAGCCGTGCCAAGTGGTTGACAGAACCACTGGTGCAAGCCGAAACCCGCACTTGAGGTCTGTCAAAGCACGCGGAACATGCCGACCAAACAAGGGATGAAGGCCGTCACAGCGGGAGCCGGCGAATGGGATATGGGGTAACACCTCACCCGCCCAAGGCTACCAAGCGCCAAGCTGCATTGCAAAAGGTCACCCCAAAGGTCTCAAATTTCAAGCATGTAATCGATGTTTGCCTTCTTGCTGCGGGGATCAAGTAAACTTCATTGTGGCAAACACTACTTTCAAAGCACTTCCATCTCGGCACATAATGCTGCTTGAGTTGCTTTTTTTCCCCACAACCTGAAGATCTTTCGTGAGGGGTAAGGTTGCAAACCAAATCCGAGCGCGAGGTCTCAAAGTCCTGAGATAATCGGGCGTGCATTGAACTAGAGATCCTCAAGGCAACAAAAGCAAACCCGCCGCTACCCAAAAGGGATATACTGTGAGGCCATGTTCCAAGAGGAGGTTTCCTCCACACTTCTTTTCTGGGCAGTAAACGCGCTAGGTCTTCAAGCCTCTGAACAAACGCCAAGCAACATCGTCTTGTGGACGACTAAAGGGTCGGGGAGCGGAAGTCCGTTCAAGTCGAGAGAAACCTCCTTGGGTCCCACCTTGAGAGGCCCCTGAGTAGCCCCAACCGTTTAGAGAACCGGCGCTATCCTGGCGCCTCCCTTCCAGGGATTGAAGCAGCCCGAATAAGGCGCTCTCCCCGTGGGCTCTGGACAACTGGGACCCCTGCGATTTCGAGCTCCGGGGGACGCGGAACGAGTCTCCGTGCACTTGAGCCTGGCCGTGAAGCAAAACGACGCCGCGCCCAAATCGGTTCGCTCGGAATATGCCCTTGGAATATCCGTTGAAACACACCCAAATGAGTCATCAAACGCAGGTGAGTCATGACAAGCCTAGTAGCACAGCGGACCCAACACGATGGGTCCAGAAGCGGGCGGATATCCGCAACTGTGGTTGGGACTGTCTCCAAACTTTCGAAATCTCCCCTCGGGTTTGGCTGCCAGGGGTTTTGCGTGGCCGTACACTTCGTGGGGTACGTGGGTGAGACCCTGAAAAAGTACAAGCGAGAGTGCGAAATGATGTGCTGGGCTGTTCTGAAGGGTTGGCCACTCCCCATCCTTAGTTCATGGGCCCGACATGCCAGGCGTCCTTCACACATTGGATTCCACTTGTGAATGAGAAGGAGCCAAACTGAACCCAGTGGAGCCCACACAATTGTCAGCAACATCGACGCACGTCCCAGCGCCTAAAGCTGGCCTTACGAAGATCGGCTCGAGTGCAGAAGCGAGGCAAAGTAAACTCACGGGTTCCGGCGGCAAAGGAGCCCCAAAACGGTCCCTGAGATTTGCCTCTGTGAACCAACCTGAAAGCATAGATGGGTTTCACTCCAAGTGGAGACCCGCAAACAACAACCAAGGGATTTCTCAATGGTGGATTGGGTTTTCACCATGGGTCATGGCTGTTTCAAACCCTCAAATCAGAACCAACCTGAAAGCATAGATGGGTTTCACTCCAAGTGGAGACCAACAACAAAGAAATTTCTCAATGTCAAGAGGAGTCGAATGTGCTGCGCCAAAGCTGCGTCAATTGCGTGGGTTTTCACCATGGGTCATGGCTCTTTTAAATTCTCAAAGGGGATATGGGTGGCCTAAGCTCATCACAACCGGGACAAATAAGCCTACAGGGCTTGCCCGTACCTGAACACTTATCCGAATGGTTGAATCCAGGATTAGCCTCGTCACTGTGGTGAATGGTGAATCCTTAGCCCCTCAGGTAGCATGGCGTTCGCTTCTTGAGGGTTGACCATTGTGAAATAATGACACGCAGCGCTTTTCTGGAGAAAAGCCATTTTTGTTTTTGTTTTTTTAAAGCACTTTCACCAAGCTTTCACACCTAGCACAACCAGGTCTTCTATGACCCTGCTGCCTGTGTGGGGGCCGGCTACGTGGGCTTTTTGGGCAGAATGAACCGGATCTGTTTCGAGCTCTCCGGCCGTGCTGGCGCGGGAGAGGCGATGGCTTGCCTTCACCTCACTCGCGGGTCCCGGTGTGGTCTTCGAGCAAAACATCGGCACGTAAAACATGGGGTGATCAATGCTCGGAAAACCACGCAAAGGATGATCAATGGTTGGAACACCACGAACATATTTGAGATGTCCATCTTCATTGGAACAGTTACTTATGGTCATTTCGGGCCGGGAAGGTTGATCAACCCCGAATTTCTGAAGGGTCTTGCAGGGATTGGTTTGCAGGCATGTGTCCTGATGTGCCATTTCACAGCAATAGAAGTCTGGCGCATGGTGCCAAGTAGCTGGAAACAACAGAGAAGCCATACCGTTCTGGCTTCTTTTCGGAAATTAATTATTATAGGCTAACAGGCTAATTGACACCCAGGTAACTAACATCCAGGAATAGAATGCTCCATCTCTGGAATTACATTTGGGTGCTCGCTAAATAACCACAGAAGTCAAGACCTTCTCGGGTTGAACAGCCAAGTTTCCCAAAACGGCTTGCCTTGAACTTCTCGCTCCTCCTATTCATTGTAAACTTGGGCTGTTTGTGGTAGGGTGCCTTCCAATGAGACTTCAACTAGGGGGGGGGTGGTCGGGACAACCTCCCAAGCCACCAATCCAAGGCGACCCTGGTTTCCATGGTTTCCAGTGACTCTGGTAGCATACAGGGACCCATTGAACTGCTGGGGCGCCTTGAAACGGAAATTACCAAAGGAACATTTCCTTTCAGGACTGCCTCGAGTCAGGTACCCGAGTCATAAGACCCCCAATTGTTGAGTCCAATCCTTTCGGTGGGTCCAATTCTTTCGGGTTGTCTTTGGAATCCGGCCTGGCCTCAAAAGGCCAAACAAAGGTTAAGCCTTTTGGCCTACAAAAATGACCAACACATCTACCACGCAAAGCCTAAAAGTTTTGGTTTTTCCGAGCACAGAAAGCTGCTACCAGGTCCCGCCCAAACACACGGGCAGCTGAGCAATTTTCAAAATGAGTTGTTTCCCCTAGTTTTGGGGGAGAAAAGTTTTGAGTCCCCCATATCCCTCCCTAATGGATCATAGAGTCGGAACATTTCGACCGAACCTCAGCACACAGCCTGGAGGATACCCTTACAAAGAAAGACCTCGCTTCCGTGGATCACGCCAGGAAGAAAGTCCTCCAAAGTTGGTTGCCACTAAAATGGATCCACCACCCCAAGCTCAAAGTCCACTTGGATTCCGCCCGAAAGTCCTCCAACTTTACCAAACGGATCCAAACTTTGAGGCGAGTTCCGTCAGGCCCACGTTTGGCCCCGCTTCCCCCGGCCCCGCTTCTGAAGCCGCGGGGCCACGTCCTCGCGCTCGCGGGAGACGCTGCGCTCGCGGAGCTGGAGGGACCTGGCGGATATATCGACCCAGGCGGTTGACACCGGTGAGAGGCGTTACGATGAAGTCCATGAATAGCTATATGACATAGTACGATGCATATTCCACAGCAGGCATATGAGGTTCAAAGCAATAAATGGACGGAATTTGATATAACCAGGATTTACCTCAAAAATTGCCCTCCAAATTGGGTCCTTGCCGTTCAAAAAGGCGGGTTTCAGGGGCTGTTGGGGATATCACCAAAGGGTTGAGTTTGTGTTCCCGAATGCTGAACAAAGTGGCCTTGGATTTTGCGATTCCCCAAGCGGGGGTTGTAATCCAAGAGGTCAAAGGGCACCAGGCCTCTTGCAAGTGCAACCTGCTGGGCTGGACCCTAGCTCCGCAAATAATGCTGCCACAGAGTTCTCATCGTAAACATTGTTCCTACTTGGTGGACCGGACCCCACCAAATTCTCTAAAGAAACGGACATAGCAAAGACCAGCATTGAAGCGGCTTTCTTTGCGATCGGGTCAAAGCTGGCCTGATAGAAACCACCGCCCTCCCGCACAGATACATGGGCATGTCTCCAGGCTCCTTTTGGATTGATCACTGAGCCTCTCCGTTATGGTCTAGAGAGGGTCGCTGCTCTGACAGCTGAGCAAAATGTTCAAGACGAATCGGGACTCGAAGGACTTGAGTCACGTAGCCAAAGTATACATTCTTTGCGTATTGCTTATGTCCGTATCCCCAAAGACCCTAAGGGTTTGGGTCTCAACAAGGCCAATCAAGCTTGCGGGAGGGGGGGGGGTCAGCGGTGGTAGCATTGCTGAAGTGGTGCCACAGCAGTCTCAATAATGGTTAGGTGTTGAAATGGTTTGGGTACGTGTCAAACTAGGGATTCGGACCCCCAAACATAGTTGTTGGCCACTTAAAAAAAAAACAGCTTCCCTCCATTCATGATTGGGAGCCCGGTGGCTTGGTGGTGTTCCGGGGTGGTTTCCCATTTACCATCAACAAACCACCAATTGAGGGGAACCTGATAAAAAGGGCCTCGCAAAAACCACACTAAAGTGGCGCAATGGTTTTGGAAGTGGTTTCCCTTTATTAAGACGTTTTGAGATCTGCTTGGTTTCCCTAACCCACCTAAACAAGAGGTACCAGCTCAAAAAAGCTCAAATTCGGCTTCCCTCCAATTGGTGGTTTGGAGCCCGGTGGTTTGGTGGTCAAGGAGGCTCCACCAAAGCGACAGGCCACAAACTAACCTGAGAAACAACTAACCAAAAGAACAAAACAAACGCCGAGAAAGACCAGCTAACTCTATCTCGCATTTGCTTAAGCCCCCTGGGGAAAAAATAAAACCAACATATTTCCAGTAGTGATAGATTCCCTTTGAAACCCAACCGGGAATATCCTGTTGGAAAATAACAAATCTGGGCCATATCCGGGGAAGATAGAAAACATATTCCCTTTTCAACTGGAAGCAAATACCCGGGAGGATAACCCTCCCGCCTGGACCGGCCCCCAGGCATCGGCAGAGTCCCGTCGCGGAAGGTGCGGTGGAAGGTGTGGTGCGGACTTCCAGGCTCCGACCTCTCGTCTTTTCAGAAAAGAAAAACATGTTTCTTGCTGGTATGTGTGGTCCTTTTTGGAGGTGTTTTCTTAGTTCTTCTGTTTGATTCCTCGGCTTTGCTTAAGCAAGGCTATGACATAAACATATGTATCAACATGTATTGAGACGTATTTACCAAACGTACATGAGCGCAAGCACGCGAACACTTGCACCCATGCATTCCAGTCATAGAAGTGCTCGTTGATGTACTCAATTTCAGCCTGCCCCGTGTTTTAACTCCCTGTCTGCCTCAGGGCAACGTGGGGATGCAAAAGTCCAGCTAGTTGAGCACCGCTTTCGGGGAACTGCCACACGCAAAAGACTCGCATAGTTATCTTGATGGCACCATCAACAAATGCATTTGTTTTGGGATAGTTTTAAACAACCACAGATCCAGGAAAAAATAAAGGAACTCATGTAACCCAAACTGTGCTGTCAAAACCTGGCATAGCGGTCTCTCCCAGAAAGCAATGGTAAGGCATCAAATCAAAGAGCCTCCCGCGCCCAATTGGCCGCTTGCTGGGATTGGCTACTCACTTGCCCATGGCACCTGATAAACATGCGATCACTTTTTGGGACCTTGGCTATGGCCCAAAAAGGCCAAAATGTTCTCTTTGGACTGAGGCCCCAGCTTCGAGCGTGCCGTTTTTTGTGGGAGGGAGCCAGCCAAACGAAAAGCCGCCAGCCGCCCGGGAGCCGTGCCCGGCGTGGATCGGGGCAAGCGAGCTTTCGGACTGCGCACAGCCAGTCGGACTCTGCGCGAGTATTCTGCAAATTCACAGAGAACAAACAAAACCATTCCCCAAAGCGAGATTCCTGTAAAAGTGGTGGGTTTGGGGTATGCGAAACTGTAGCGGTTTCAGCTGGGGAGTACATTTAGAACATGCGGCGTTGCTTCTTCGATTGTGCATTTTCTCAAGTTGCTTCAAACATAAGAACTGCCATATGTGTGAATGCAAGTGGCAAAACTGTCAGTCCGAAAGGTTCAAAGCTCACGTCGAAACCAAAGAGCAACCCACTAAATAGGCAAAACTAGGTTGGGCAAGTGTTGAGTTTTTGCCGGGCTTGTCAAAATAACGAGCCAATGCATGTGTAAACGGCCAAGACCCTATCAGCTCAAATCATTTCGGATCCAAATTTTGGAGCCGAAGACCAGCAAAGAAAACTTCGTAGCCCCCATCAACTCAAGCCGTCGTCCTCGAGGGAACGCAACCAGTGACGTGTCTGTCCACCACATATCACAATCAGGTGTCGTTCTTGAGTGGAAGATCAAAATCGAAATTGAGTTCAGTGGCTTCCGAACCGTAGGCTTCGCTTTGGCTACAACCAGCCACAAGACGGGTGTAACATGTGCGGCCCGCGAGCAAAGCACAATATGAGCGCATTCCGAGATGTCGCCAGCTGCCCAATTGAGGGCCTGGTTAGTTTTGGGAGCAGCATTCGCTGACTTTCTCTTCACGCATCACATCCAAACTCACCCGAATCGGGCCAAAGAGGTGATGCACCAAAAAGGGACATACCTACAAAATCCAAATGCCCCGGCTGAAATTTCAGATTCCGGCTGAAATTTCAGCCGAAAGAGTTTCTAGGTATCGGGACCCCTGAAAAACGAACACATTTTCGTTCCCGGCCTCCAGCCCCGAGAAGCTGCGCCTGAGAAAGACGAGCTCACCCCAAGATCTGCCCGTTTTGGGTACTGAGTGATACCCATTTTGGGCTGGTTTAAAGGGAAACCAAAAGGACACCAACCATTTTTTTGGGTCCCCCACACCGCTTCTGCCTCCGGGATCAAAGCCTGCCCTCCCCCCCAAAACCCCAACCCCCCAAACCCTTTTTGTTTGATTCAACCCGAGCGCCCCAAACACACGTCGGAGAAGCCTCGGTGAAGCCTTACAGAACGCAGGCAGAGAAGCGCTCACACTGGCCAACTGTGGCTTGGCCCGCTGCTCTAATTGGCTTTGCCTTCAAAGCGGTCCAGCAGCGGTCCAGCGGGTCTTGAATTTGAACAGCCAAATCAACGTGCATTTGGTCACTTTAGTAAGGACACTGATGTGTAGCTAAACCTGAATATGATATATAGGCAGCTGATAATAGTATCCGCAAAAATGGGAGTACCCCAACTAATACCTATCAACCAGTTAAACCGATGGGGGGGGGGGGAAACCACCCAAAACCACCACCCTGGTAATTTTGAGTCCGTTGCTCGTTGGCCAAACATGATAGGGTCAGTATCATGATTCGCTCACCCTTCACATAGGTGGTCTATCCAGATTAATGTCTCCATGACCATACCAAGCAAGCAAGCGAAACGGTCTTTTGAGTGCTTTTGACTTCAAGAATCCGTCGCCACACCGGAAGGAACCCCTTTCAAGCTAGTCTTCAAACATAAAGACGCAAACACATGTTCTGTTTGCAACAAGGCAGTCTCGGAAATCGTTCACAAGAAGAAACCACATCAACACGCCGTGCCTATCGTGCCACGAACTCGGCCGTGCCTCAATGACTGGCTCTGGCTTTTGGGGGACGACAACGCTGAGATCCTGGCGAAAGGATACATCGACAGGGAAAAAAAAGATCGCAATTTTATGTCGCGAGGGTATCCTTTGGGGTTGTTTTAAAGGCTGCCCAAAAGGAAACCGCCATTAAAGAACACTTTGCAAGACACTGGGAACCTAATTCATGAGCTTGATTGCGGGGTGGTTGTAGTGGGGAACCACCCCTATAGTTTATTCCGGGAGGAGATTGAAATGCAGAATGAGATACGAGTTGCAGCCCACGTCGCGGCAAGCCATTACAGGTATTCAGGGGTTGCCACCAATAAACATTTGGGTTTGTCTCAGATTGGGGGAACCCCTGAAATGGGAGGTGTCCTCTTGGCTTTCCTTTGAACCATCCAAAGTGGGTCCAATAAAGGCACGCTCAGACGACGTCTGACTGTACTCCTCCCATTGCATCCAATTGACTCCCCTTGGCATCCAAATTTGGCTGGCACTCCATTTCACCACTCGCTCCAATGAAGAAAATCGCATCCCTCCAAAAATCCAATATCGCTCACCACTCCAAAATCCCACCACTCCGAAAGCCCACCACTCCAAAATCGCATCCCCAACCCCTCCCAAAAATAAAAAAGTCGGGACGCTGGACCGGCCGGGATCGAGTCGCATTCCCCACCGGCCACGCGCGTCTCTCCCGGTCTCCTCTTGGAGGACTGCGGGCTCAGCGGCGCCGGCACCGGCCTCACGTGGAATCCGCTTGAGCCATCCGGTCGCTTTCAGCTCATGGAAGGGAGAGGAGAGGAGGGAGGAGGGAGGAGGAGGAGGAGGGAGAGGGGGAGGCCCAAATTAGGGCACGCTCTGAGTTTCATCTCCCTCATGCCTCCATGTCCGCCGACATTGCTCGGCGTGTCGGACACCTAAGAGAGGATAGAGGATAACCCCCCCCCTAACCCCCCCCCGCCCGACGTCTGATACGTGGGGGGGGGGCCCCCCCCCCGCCCAAGGACCGCGCGGCAATTTGATGACGTTCCACTAAACGTAGTCTTCGGGGAGCCGGTGTCGCAAAACAGGGGTCCCAGGCTCGATTCCCCCTGCCGGCTCTTTGCTGGTTTGGGGTTCCTGCCTCCTTTTGCAGAAAATCTGGAAAAACTCTGTGTTTTTGGACGTCCTAATTGTGAAAACGCTGGAAAACCCGTGTTTTTTGCTGGAAATATTGGGGAGCAGAGGGGAAATGCAAGGAAGTGCAAGTGAAATGAGGGGAGGAAATAGGAAGTCGACATGACAGGAAAGCAGCGGGACATGAAAGGGAAACAAAGGGGAACTGAAAGGGACATGCAAGGGACAGAAATGAAAACAAGGGGAGTGCAGGGGGAAGGAGAGGAAACAAAGCACAAGGAAACCAAGCACGACGGGAGATGTAGGGAAATGACTCGCAACGAAAGAACGGGACATACATGGCAAACGAAGCGGACATACCGAGAAAATGTCATGAAGGGGGCTGAATGGCATGGAAGGGACAGGACCAGGACATCATGGGAAACGTGACAAGGACATGAAGGGGGAAAGCCAGTAGTGAGATGACAGTTCAGGGTCATGCAGGGGCAGTGCCCGGACATCGAGGCAACTCGGGGGGGGACGTGACGCTGCAATGCAGAGAGAGAGAGACAGAGAGAGAGAGAGAGAGAGAGAGAGAGAGAGAGAGAGAGAGAGAGGGAGAGAGCGAGAGAGAGACAGAGAGAGAGACAGAAAGAGAGAGAGAGAGACAGAGCCAGAATCAGAGAAACAGAGAAAGAGACAGACAGAGAGAGAGACAGCGAGAGAGAGAAAGACGGAGACTGAGAAAGAGAGACACAGAAAGACAGAGAGAGAGAGAGAGAGAAAGAGAAAGAGAAAGAGAAAGAGAAAGAGAAAGAGAAAGAGAAAGAGAAAGAGAAAGAGCGAGCAAGTGAGAGAGTAGAGAGGTTCGAATTAGGGTGCCCTTTTTCTGTAGAGGGGCGTGGACAGGAAGGAGACAGGGAGACAGAAAGAGACAGAGAAACAGAGACAGCGAGAGAGAGAGAGAGAGAGAGAGAGAGAGAGAGAGAGTGGGAGATTGAGGAGAGAGAGGCTTGGGGGGATGGGGAGAATGGGGAGCAGAGGGAGGGAGAGAGGACGACAGAACGCACGAGGGAGACAAGGGAGAGGGAAGAAGGAGAAAAGGGAGAGGACAATGTCGGCGGACTGAGCCGGAGGCTCTAAAGTTTATTTTTGGGCTCGTCGACTTGCAGGCGATGGAGGTAAATCCACGAAATCAACATGATCGCTCAACCAAACGCTTCTGGGGTGGACATTGCCTGGGTGGCTACTGCTCGTGCAACAAAGTTCAACTTCTTGGTGGCTAGGGGAAAGTACACTTCCAATAAAGTTAAAGGCTACAGATCCCCCAAAAGAGCAAACAAGATCAGGGGCAACATGCGAGACAATGGTTTAAGATGAGGTAGTCGAACTTTCCATGTTTAGATGACTCGCCTTGGGAACGGAATCCCTTTCTTGGATTCCATGTTAGGGGAGTCGAAAAGAACACCAGTCCGCACAGATGTTTGGTGGGACACCCGGTCTTGGACTTGGCCTCCAACCAGTATGATGGGTAACTCCATTTGCTTAAGTCCTCTGGAAAAAATACCAGTAGTGATGGATTCCCCTCAAAACCAACAAGGGGACATAAAACATGTTCTTAAGCAAACGGATGCATGTAAGTCCAGATAAACATACCCCGCCATCTACAGTGGGACGACCCGGTTTGTCACAGCCGTGTGTTTAGCGACGGTTGTAAATGGACATGGGGTGCCCTACTTGGGGTTGGCGGGGATGGTCATCAGCCCATAGCCATCTACGTGAAGTATATCTTTTCAGCCATGGCCCCGGGTTGGGCCGCCACAAACATAAGGCATTTTGGGCAATTCGTCCATGTCTTTAGATCAAGAACATTTTGAACAAAGCTCGTGCAAGACCAGGAACTGAGATTCTAATCCAGAATGCCTGTTAACTACTTGTGCAAGATGCAAGTGGTACTCGACTATCAGAGTGTTGACAAGCAAAGCACGACCACGGTGGACATGGAATGAACGCGCCAAAACCTGTGATGAGACAGATGTGTTAACAGTCTACTGCAGAGAAGAAGCAGAGGAAGAAAACGATCAAGCAGCCACAGCATTGATTAAACACAGCTACATGACTGGCCGTTGCTGGGTTACAAACAGATTCAGGAGCGTTGCTTTTAAAGCCTTCTTGCGGGATGATTAGTCTTTCCGCCTTCGACTCCAGATCAGAAAACAAGCAAATTGAAATTGTCACTGCTCGGTACCCTTTTGATGATTTGTGAAACCAGAAACCGACATCCTTTTGGGGGGGGGATCTCCCATTTGACACATATGGCGAAAAAAGATAGTTGCCCCTGACATCATTTGGTTCATGCCCACCAAACACTTTTCACTTCCTGAGTGGATCGGCCAGAAAAAGTCCAAACTCTTGCTTATGACTAACATGGTCTTCCCAAACAGTGTAAGTATCAACATTGGCATTCTTCTGACTCCAAAACGGCCGTTCCCCGGCCTATGGCCCATGACATCATGACATCATGACATTTCAGAGCATGTCAGGCGCGGAGAAACCACTCGAGTCAACACGCCCACCTGTGTGTCTTCTCCTGGACGTGCCGGGAGAAACGTGCCAAGACTGAGAACAGAGCTCAAAGGGAACAAGTGGCGGGGTTCTTTTTGAATTGGGGTGCTCCCCCTCCCCCCCAATTCTGCAGAAGACCTGGTCGACAGCTTCCAAGTGTATTTCTTAAACAGGAAGTTGCCAAATTTGCCGAGCCTGACAGCTCATCCTTTCGGACTCCCCGTTGTGCAAAAACCCCAGGATCCACTGGCCATGTGTCTCGGTTTGCAGAGCCGAACGAACTCTCAATCCGCGTGAAAGATGTCGAGTGTGACAGATGTGGGCCATCTCTCCCTTGGGCCATTTTTCGGGTCTCCCATCCGTACCTTTAGGCTATTGTAAAAAACCCCATCCAAAGTTGCTACACTTACAATTTACAATAGCCTACAATCTCCAAGGGCTTGATGAACGTCGGCCTAAAGACAAAGGATGCCAACATGCGCACCCCCGGCGGCACAGTTGTCTCTGCTTAGGTGATGGTTCCGTTCGAGTCTTATGTGGGGGTGGATAGCACTGCAAAAGGTTGATGCCCCCATCCTGTTGCTCGATCGTGCTTTCCAGAAAAACAAACAAGCAACCGATCCAACGAACCAAAGAACCAACCAAGCAACCAAGCAACCAAAGCAACCAAGCAACCAAAGCAACCAAGCAAGCAAGCAACCAAGCAACCACCCAACCACCCAACCAAAACACGCACACTACAAACAAGGAAATAAACAAACAAGCAAACAAGCAAACAAACAAGCAAACTACACATGTTCCTTGCACCTCAAGACTTGAAAGGGCCGTTCCCGAACAACACAAAGATCCTAAGAATGGCCGCATGCAGCAGAACTATTGCTTCACCCTCGGGGATTCGCGGAACATGGGTTTCCAAGACACTCTGTGGCAATTTCGGCAGCGACCCAAAAAGGCGTCTGGCAACCTGGAATGTCTATCGTGACGATTGGTTTGTCACTAGGCAAAAATGTTTGAAACGGTTCACCCCGGACACTTTCACTTCTCTGTCTTGAATCTCCTTTCTCCTTTCTGGCAACGAGGAATTTCGAAGAACACTTTTCGGCATTCGGCTCCCTTCTTGTCGTATGTTTGCGGTAAAATGAGTTCCCCGCGCGAGCTCCACCCTGTCCCCGCTGCAGCACACTTTTCCGACCCCAGATTTCTGCTGCTTCGTTTCTCAAAGCAACCTCAACACCGGAAAGCTCGGCCCCGTATATGCATTGTATCGTTTTTGGTTCCATATGGTTTCATCATGTCTAGTCATCTCCAAAAAGTGAAAGGTTTTCTCAAGCCACAGGAAAAACTAACTCAACATCTCTCAGAACCAACATATGCAAACCCACCGCTGCTAGTGGGCTTTCCTATGACGCTTCGAGGCTCCGCCTCAAGCGAGCCTCCGCCACAATGGGCCCTGGGGTGTGGGGGGGCTTCTCGGCCTAACTCTAGGGTACGCGCCAACAAAAAACGCTTCTGCTTCAAGTTGAGTCGACCTTCAAAATGCGTGCTGCGGGTGTCGTTTGTTGAAAGGCCCAGGCGGATTTGGCAGAAACAAACCACCCGCATTGGCGATTGCAGATTCCTTTTTCTGTACATGATGGGTTTCCCCCGAGTACCAACAATGATTGCCTCAACGCGAGTCGAGAGAAACAAATACACATGTCAACCAAATCCATGTGTTCAACCCAAAAGCGGGTTAACAACAACTGAAAACCATTCATCATCATTTCATTAGTACACGGCAAACACACAAGAGGTGGCCAAACCTTGAACCGGTTGTGATCATAGTTGCAAGTTCAAAAACATCGCTCTTTTGTTCAACCAACCTTTCTATTTTGGTTGCCATTTTCGGTTTCACAACCGCTGACCCAGTTCCAAGCATCCTTGATCAAGGACTCATTTTGCACACTTCAACCATCCTTAATCAAAACTATACCTCACCCCAAAAATCAAATCCCTCAGCTCTAAGACGAACACCTTCATGAAACCCGTCGCACACCCCACGCACGGTCGCTCGACTCGACCCGCCTGAGACTCGGGGCTGGTTGGACTGGAGGCCGAGGTAAGTGGAGTGGCCGCCTGCGTCCGGGCGCCCTTTCTGCAACCGTTGGAGCCTGCATGAATGTGCATGCACATTTATATACATATATAGAATTATATATAATGTATACAGACTTGCTGTATATATATATATATATATGAACATATATATATATATGTATATACATATATATATATATATGTATATTGTGATTCAAGTCATGTAGATTTACACAGCACAACCCAAGCCACCTATGAATCCCAAGCGAAGTTCACCATCCGTTCCAAGTGGCCCAGCATGCATGCGTTCAAACCCCGGAGGTTCGTGTTGCCAGCGTCAAGAGATCTCCACAAATGGACACAATTCTCCGCAAGGTAAAGGAACCTTTGATATGAGTGCCCGCCAATACTCTCAAACAAACGACACTCCCCCACAGGTTTTCGCCACCCCAAACGGTCTCCGAAAGCATGTCAACCCGAACTACGGTGGACATTCGCTGCAATCGTGCGGCTCCAACCAAATTTCCTAACTCTGTTCTTCTGGTTTCAGGACAGGTACTGATCCTCTCAAATGCCCAGTGGCCTTTTTGAAAAAAAAAGAATCAGCATCCTTTTTGGTGAAGTGTAACCCTTCCCCCCAACAAAAAAGTTGAAATGGCCATAAAATAAGCTCAGGTGATATCCCCAACAGCATGCGGTGCTCTTTTTAGTGCTCGCACCACCCCGCAGCCCTTGCAGAACCTCGTGGAACCCTGGTGGAACCCTGGTGGAACCCTTGTGGAACCTTACCTTGGGGCCGCCCCGGACCACCCCGGAGCCTATCTGGGCCGAGACCCCAAAGCTTTCAGCTGGGGAAAAAGGACATCCTTTTTGGTGGGTTGAGTGTAAAGGGGTCGCAACCTCGGTTGACGTTGGACGGGGAGCAAAAATTCTCAGATTTTAGCACTCAACCACCATAAGCAAAATGTGTCCAATGTTTCCCAGCAACAATCATGCAACTGAAACTTGGCAGCGGCTGGACAGCGGCCGGCCGCTCCTCCTGGCTTTTCAGGTATCTGGGCGTCGGGTCCTGATGCGACGTCGGAGGTCCCGTTGGGACGTCCGACTTCCCACGAAAATCCACGAGATCCAGCCCAAAAACACCTGGTGCTGTTTAGCTCGACAAAAAGAAGGCCAAGACTCCCTCAGTGGTGGGGAAGGAACTGAGCGAGGGAAAGTCCTTTTGTTGGCGGTTGGAAGGAAAAACGCTTCTGCCACCAATTTTGATAAGCTTTGACCGATCCCGGCTGCAGAAGCTTTGTCCAACAGTGGGCAATGCGTCAAACACCTTGGAAACTCCGCGGTGCGCGGATTACCAGACGGTTGCGGGTGGCTCAAAGCAACCTTGGAAAAACGAGCAAACCTGCCTTACATGTGATCCCTTGAACTTTTGAATGAAGCCTAGACATATCCACTTGCAATTAAGTCTCTTGGACTCTTGCAATGCGAGGATCCTTTCTAGGGCTTCTCTTGTAAGCTGCACAAAGGTGTCATGACTCATTCGCCGCTTCGGCCTGTTAGTTGCAAAGCCCAAGCCAACGAACCCCCCGCCCCCCCCCCCCCCCCCCAACACCTCGCAAACAACAAACGAAGGGTAGGTTTGCCCGGTGTTGATTATCGTTTCTCTTTGTTTGCAAGCAGAAAATCATGTGTCAGCCCTCATGCTGTCCAGCTGCCCTGCAGATTTTGGTAGACAAGCTTGGCTGCAGCGGAATCAATTGGGGGGACCCCCCAAGTCGCCTGAAATGGGTAGTTCTGATTGGTAATAGTTTATTTGGAATTCGTCTTTCGGATGAATCAATGTGCTAAAGGAAGGAGCTTTGAACAGTTCATGTCACTCGTGTTCCTTGGTGGCCCCTAACAAATCATGACTTTTGGCCCCCACCCCCAGTTGCTAAGAAGAGATGCCTGTTGAGTTAGCATCCTGTGTTTGGATTCCATGCGAGTCCTTCCCAAACCATCACAGGAAGAAACGTTGGTCCGCGAGTTCCAGCCTTTTGTCCTCAAGCCGGCGCGCTTCAAGGGTGACTCACCTCGTACCCTTTATGGGTCGCCCTTGGCCTGCGTTGCTCGTTGCTCAAAGAGGTTCCTCACGGAATCCTGGAGCATTGGGGTATCCCTGATTTCCGCGGGGATGCAAGCAAACCCTGGGCCCGAGGATTGCGGATCTGCGCAAGTTGCTTCTGAACTGCGCAAGTTGCTTCTGAACTGCGCAAGTAGGACCCTGGGAAAGCTACTCCTCGCTATCCCCGCTGTCGCCATCCCTGCTGTCGCCATCCCCGCTGTCGCCATCCCTGCTGTCGCCATTGTGGAAGAATTGGATGATGTTGTTGTTGAGGAAACCCGTGGTCCGGTTGTCGGAGCTGCCCATGTGATTGAACAATGACCATGACACTCTCGACGAAGAGCACGGAGATGGTGTCGGTGACGCCGGCGGCGGCGCTTGCCTGGCGCGCTTCCCACGAACGCGGCTGGAGAAGCGGATCTGGGCAAGCCGAGCAGGCTGACGGAAGCCAACCGCAAAGGCCATGGAGATGCCAGCACTTTGCACGGGGGTACTCAATGATTGGCCACAAGCTTAAACCCACAGCTTGAGCCAAATTTCTCATGGATTCTTTTTTTGTGGGCGAAAACGTGACGTTGGGAGACACCTTGCCGAGATTGTTGTCTCCACAGCACTCCCCGAAAGGTGTTCGGTTTTAAGCATCCTTTTAAAGGCTGGACCACCCCCAGCTCGGGGCTGTTGAAAACCCCCTATGCAGAGAAACAACAAACACGCACGCAAGGGACCTAGTCCAGCCGCACATGGCTTGCGACCATCCCGAATGAGTCCCATCGGACAAATATGTGGGGAAGGTTCCGATTCAGATGTCTTTCCGTCTTGCAATCTTCCAGTAGTCTTCACCTGGTAGCCTCATTTTCGAACAAGGGCCCGGGCCAAAGGCTTGAAGGCTTAGCTGGCCTGCCCATTGCCTTCCTTTTGCCTCGGTCGACAGTGTTTTGCTCTAGAACTCAGAAGTTGCGCCTTGCGGCCTGTACGCAACGAGGTTCAAACAGCAAAAAACCCCAAGGTCCCAAATCGACCCCCAAAGCGCAAGGCCCAAGGTCCTAAAACGCGCGCGCCCCATGTCCCAAAAAAATCGGTCGGTCCCGCATCTGCGAGGGAACCTGCGCCAGCGCCGCGGCCATCATCTCGGCCGCCGGGTTAGGGCCTCAGGGAATCGGCTGCCGGGTTTTGGCCGACGGGGATGGTTTTTCTCGGCCCTCACGCCCGATGAAAAACCGGCAGCTTTCTTTGGCCGAAGCCGAGGCGTAGGCGGATCGACGCGAAAGGCGAAACGGGGAATTGAGCTCTACCGACCTGGGTAGCAAGGTTTACAAAGACCATTACAATAGGTGGTAGAACCACCTAGACTCAAATGACCCATGCGGGTTTTCGATTCCAGAAATGAATCGCACGCGGCATTCTGGAAAGGATTGTGTTTCAGGGTTGAGGGTCGGCCTTCTCTGTTGGAGGTCTGAGTGTCTGCAAGGGGCATCTAAAGCGCTTCCATGCCATAGGTGAGCAATCCCCAACCCATCGAGTGGAAAATCCTGTGCCATGCTTCAAAGACTGCAGCTCAGGGATTCCTACGCAGGCTATGTCAAACTTAGTGATCAAGTCCCGGCGTCTCTTTGGTCTCCGGTGGCCCTTTTGGTTCAGCCCCGCCGAACCGGGGCTTTGGACAATTGAAATAAAAGGTTGACCTTGGCTCTCAATGGCAAGGGAAAGTCGGTCAAAGGTCGATTTGCTTACACCATTTTCTTCTTGCAGTGAAGGATCAATATATAGGACCCCCGGGGTGTGCGTACATACCCCTTTTTGCATACCCCGTGATTGGTGATCTTCATACCCTTCTGCCGAGAACTCAGTGGGTTGGTAGCCAGTAAACCAAGTTGTATGGACAAGGGTATGTACTTCCACTCACAGAAAGATGGTACCAACGTTGGCCCAGATCTCACTTCGCGAGCGGATTCACAAACAAACATCCGAACTGTTGTTTCCCACAATGGTCCAAATCCACAAAGCACAAAGGCTGGGAACTCAAGTGAGTGACCAGTGACCTGTTGGATAGATGGCCCGAGTAGAACCACTCTCAACCAGTGGAACCCATCTATTTCTGACCAAACTAAGCGATCAAAAGGAGTGGATGGACAAAATCCAGACCACTTGGAATCCATGGGAAACCGTTGTTTGTTGGCAGTTACAGGGGAATCATCCTTTCAGGGTTTGCGAGGTGGTGCGAAATGGATTTCGTCCATCCACACGTTTCCGGGGCGTCCGGCCGGAGCCGGCGCGGTACTTCACGGCGCCTGGCGCAAGGGAAATCCATTGAGGCCACACGGGCCGCTGGAGCTTCCCTTGAAGCTCTCAAATGGGAACCCCACGCAAAAAAACCGACCTTTGCTAGGTCCTCCAGCAGAGAGGTTTGAATAAGGGTACCCTGTTTGCTGTAGTCTATTGTTGTATGGGGCCCCCCCCCAAAAAAAAGAGAGAAGGCAAAAGTGCCTAGTTTGCAACCCTGAACACTTTCCGTGCGGGTTGATGGGGGCAAAGCTCAAAAGCGATTCCTCCTCGACCGAATGAATGCCGCCTTCGCCGGGTCTTAATATGGGTATGGGTCAAAATTCAACCAGGGAACATCAGGTTTTAGTCAACTTTTCATGTTCTAGGGTTCATTTTTGGTACCTATTTGTCAGCCGCCTTGTCGTTTTTTGAGGGTACATTTTTTCCCCCCCACCTGTTGTTGGTTTTATGAGGAAACCAACAGGAAAACCCTCATTTTGTTTTTTGAGGGGGGGTTCCCAACAAAATAGACACACCCATATTCATTTCAGCAAATGGAATCTCTCGAGAAAAGGGACCCGCGCGTGGCTTCCGCTCGTTTTCCCCGTCGGCAGGACCCGCCTAGGCTTCCAGCTCCGCTCACCTCGCGAGACCTGAGACCTGGAGCTGAGACGTTTCCGGCGGGAGTTGGTTGAATTTTCCGGCGGAAAGAAAGGTGGAACCAAGAAAGGAGGATCCGGCGGATGTGTCCATTTAGAACGGATCCATGTTATCTTTCTTCAAATGTGGATCCATATCAGTTTGCACATGGATGATATCTCGGAAAGAAACCACATATACCAAATGGGCCCGAGTTGCGTTGGATGCCGTGTGGCGCCGATTCGGATATTTCTACGCCGATAACGGGGGGACCTTTTGTGACACGAAACGCGGACCAAGAAGGGACACCCCAGAATTTGAACATGTTGATTCGCTTTGGACAACTGAGACAAAGGTGCTGGAAAGCTGATTGGGGGGGTCCCGGTACAGGGAAACCAACAGAAGCCGAGTTTCTCCCCGTGCGCGGGTTTGCATCATCGACCCTCAGAACGGCTTCCAAGGAGCAACTCGTAAGCCATAACTATTTGTTGGTATTTACAGGGGAATCATCATTCCAGGCTTTGTTTGGTGGTGCAGGATTTCGTCCATCCATAGTAGGAACGCCTAAACTCCCATCAAGGGTTGACCTTTGCCCCTCGACATCAGATCTTTCGGCCGCATGCGGCTGTGAAATAGAAACCCTTGCGATGGTTTGACCCGATCGGAAGTAGAGCTTTGGCCCGCCAGTTTCTATCCGTGTTGATCATGCCTCGGACCAACCCTGGAGACGGGGTCGGTCCTGCTGGATGGTCACAGGAAACCAACATGATCAGTTTGCCATGAGGCTTCTTGATGTGCCCTTTCAGGAACTCTTTCACTTTGAGACATTTGGGCTTGTCTTTAACATAGGCGTCCTTTTCAGGGGAAATAGATGGCCCTGGTAGATGATTAAACCACGAGGTAAACCAGGGCCATCTATTTTTGTATCAAAACCCACGAAAGGACACCTATGGTCTGTAATTTGCGGGTACCCCTCTTTACGCCAAACGGACAGCCGCCCCATTGTACCCTTGCGCCGACTGAGTGCCGCACTGGGACTGGCCGCTGGGCTCACAGAGCGAGACCCGGAGCCTTGGTGCTTTTTTTGCGGAATGAGCCCATGGGGAACTTGTTCGCCTTTTGTTATGATAGTGCTTTTTTGCTTTTTTTTCATCTTTTCTTTTTTTTGGGGGCTTTGTGAATGAACCTGTTTTCTGGGGGTGTGGGAATGAACCTTCTTGGGAATGAACTTGTTTGGGAATGAACCTGTCTCTCTGTTTCTTTATTTTTTTTCTTGGGGTTTTGGGGGATTCTTCTTTGGGATTTTGTGGGTTTGCTTGTTGTCCTTCCATTTGCAGCTGCAGCCAAAAAGAGAAAGCGATACTCTTGGGCAACTCGCTCGAGGAACGGCCTAAGGGTGCGATCCCTGGGCTTGGACGCGACCCTGAAAGAAAGTCGAGTGGTGTGGGGAAACACAAATGTACTGCACCAGCTCACATGAAAACCTCTAAACACCTCACATGAACACCTCCCCTGGACATCAACTTTCCGACCCAAACAGCAAGCAGAATTGCGCCTGAGCCAGAGGCTCCCTTTGGATTCCGAAGGGTGGCTTCCTCTGTTCCTCTGGGAACCTATGGTGACAATTGAAAGCGATCGGTTTATCAAACAGTCGTTCTCAATGTTTGGCCCGAGTACTTTTGTCCGTACACGCCAAAGAATCAACGGAAGTTGCTTCCGCATTGCCGTGATTTCTCCATGCAACTGCAGGCATCAAGTTGCTTCTTTACACCTTCAGGCTTACTCGGCTTCGGCAAAACGGGAGGAATCCAAAAGACCATCCATAGGAACACCATCCATTCCGGCTCCATCTGTCCCGTTTTGGGCCTCGGTGTCAATTTGCGCGCCCCAGTTTTGTTGGGTGTTGTGTGGCCACTCAAGTCGAAGGCCTGCTCTTCAGGTCGGGGTCCTCCTTGTGGCCTAAATCTGCGAATTAGTAATATATAATTAATATATATATATATAAATATGTATATATATATACTGAAATATATTAGATGTTGATCAAATCTGCTCATTGTTAACCGTCTATGTCGACTATATATATATATATATCTACACATATTATATATATATATATGTATATGTATGTATGTATGCATGTATGTATGTATGTATGTCTGTCTTATATACATATTGGGGGTGCATGAGTGTCTTGTTTCAGATCCTCTTTCGGCTTGGCAAGCACTCGAGATCACTCGAGAAGGAGCCAAATATCGCCATGGCTTTCAGACATAACCGCACAGGTTCAGGAATTCAGGACCTGACAACCTCGAAACTACTCACCTGACTGCCGAACCTTCGCTCGATCCAACCTCTAAGCTCGGCACGTCGAGCGCTGCGTGCGCTTGGGCGCGGCGAGACGCCATCTCTCGCGCCTGGTTGGAATGCGGTCTGGAGTGAAGTGTGTACATGGAACTAACTACCAGGAGCCCAAGCAACATATACGTTTGTGCGAACGGACACTTCTTGGGGAGGCTGCACGCCCCCGAAAAACAAACCCACAACCACAACCACAGCCACAACACAACCACAAACACAAACACACAGAGACGCAAATGGGCGTGTCAGTTGCGTGCAACAAATCACTTATGAAACCGACAAATACCGCTGCCACTACCTTGAAAAGGGCATGTCATCTGGAAGAAACTGAGATGCGTGCCAGCATCGGCCATCAGGTTTGCGGAGCGATGCGCCAAACCTGGCAGAAGCAACGGCTGATTGCTGGCAATCATGAATGGCACCGATGTTGTGTATTCTACCATGCCTAAGTGATGGTAGCACATATGTACCCCCACACAGGGCAAACAATTGCTGTCGCTTCCTACGAGCTGGCTTGCGCACAGTTTTGTGCGGCCAAGTGTGTCCCTTGCTCATCCCTGAGAAGGCGATCAGGACAAGCACTGGCAACTTGCGGTCAGCTACGTTGCTTTGCCATTAAATCATTAGGAGCGCTCGAGACGCGGCCGTCAAAGTGCAGGTCATCTTTGAGACACTGAGATGCGTACCCGGACTGCTCATCGGGCTTACGGAGCGATATGCCACACCTAGCAGAGTCCGCTGCGCTTTGATATATGGGTATGGGTCAAATTAAATCACCAGGGCACCCCAGGTTTTAGTTTTTGGTTCCATTTACCAGGGTTCGAGGATGAATTTAGCCGGGAACCCTTCGGTGCATTTACATGGGGACTTGAGACTTCTGTCCACGAACCGTTTTGAGGGTGTTGCACAAAAGATTTCATGGCCATAAGCATACCAATCGCATATTGTGTGCAATGCTTTCTGTCGAAAAGGCAACGGTTGCCTCTTTCTGCCCTATTGCGAGTGTTGTGTGTCAACGTGAGCGAATCTTCACAAATCTCTCATCTGCATGAATGACATCCTCTAGCAATGGCAAGCATCTTGCATTCAGCCCATGTGCTTTGCCAGTGGCAGCAGAAGCGAGCTTTCAAACTCTGAGATTCGCGCCCGGACTGGCCATCGGGCTTACGGAGCGATATGCTACACCTAGCAGCGAGCACTGCGTCCTTTCAAAACTATTGCAAAATGAATGGAACTCGTAACCTGTGCTGCCAAGGCATCGTCAAACACACTCACACACAAACAACTCTTCGTACCCAATGCTTGCCTGCGCATTGCTTCGTGTCAAAGAACAATTACCCTGCAATTACCTGTAGGAATCCGCATCCTGCAGCAGTCACGACAAAAACTGTTGAGCAGGGTTGTGGGAAATGACCACTTCTGTGATACAACAAAAAGGGCTCCCCATGCTCCCCAAAGACCAACCCCCCAGAAAAAGGGGGAGATTTTCTTGATCCCCACCAACCCTGCTTGAGACACTGAGATTCGTACCTGGACTGGCCATCGGGCGTGCTGGAAGGTATGCCACACCTAGCAGCGTGCGCCATGGGCCAAAATCAAGTAAACACATTGCGCCACAAGCGGGTATGATTTTAATCGGAGATCCTTTGCGGAGATCGTGTACACGGGGATTTATGCCCAGCAACCCTTTTTGAGGATATTACCCATTGACATTATGGCAATATGCAAATAATTAACGGATCATCAATGAAGACAATAGCTCGTTTCAGTGGCGTTAAATCTGTCCCGACATGCTCCATGCATCTCACGTCTGTAAGATTCTTGCTTTCCGCCCGTCTGCTTTGCCGGCGGCAGCACTCAAGACGAGCGCAACAATATGCATGTTGGTTTTGAGACTCTAAGATCCGCGCCCGGACCGGCGATAGGGCTGACGGAGCGATATGCCACACCTAGCAGCGAGCACTGCTGTTTTGCTTCGTGTCAAAGAGAATTCACCTCGCACTTACAAGTAGCAATCCGCATCCTGCAGCAGTCACGTCAAATCACATGTCGTTTTTGAGACACTGAGATTCGTACCTGGACTGGCCATCGGGCTTGCGGGAAGGTATGCCACACCTAGCAGCGTGCGCCATGTGCCAAAATCAAAGTAAACGCATTGTGCCACAGAATAGTCTGATTGGAAGTCGGGGATCCTTGTGGAAATCAGTTACAGGGATCTGTGACCCACCAGCCGTTGTTTTGAGGGTGTTACACTCATTGCTATATGCAAACAACCAGTCATCAATGAACCCGATGGTTTGTCCCAGCCGCGTTAATTTGCTGTCCCGCAATGTGTCACAGGTAACACGCGTCATGCATCTCACATCTGGATGCAGAACATGCCGTGGCAAAGTCAAGCTCAAGCATCTGGCCGTGGCTCAAAAAACCGGAACCAAAATGGAACCCTGGTAAGTGGAAACTTGGACCAAAACCTGCGTAACTCCTCCTGCTTAATTTTGAGCCACACCCATCTTGCGGTCCTCACGGTCTTCGAGACTGAGATGCGCACCCGGGCCCATCGGACTCACCGAACGATACGCCACACCTCACTGATTGCCAGGGGTGACCCTTGTGAGGATTTCAACATGTTCAATGCGAACAGCAGCTAAACATGTGCCACTAACACCACCATAGGTGTCCTTTTTTGGAAAATAGATAGCCCTGGTAGTTGATTGAACCACCAGGTAAACCAGGGCCCTCTATTTTTCAACCAAATCAACCAAAAAGGACACCTATGCCCACCACTTGCTCCCTTGCGATGTTTCGGGCTTCCACCGGGGTTGCCCCCTGCGGCCCTGGCAACACACAGTTGCTGCCATCAATCTGAGAAGCTGAGGAGGGCACTTGGACTGGCCACTGGGCTGACGTGATAGACCGCACCTCGAAGTGAAGTCCGATTCGATTTTCTGGATCGATCCATTTGGCTGTGGGTCAACACCCTGTACCCCTGCTGCACATCAAAATAGGTGGCAAATGGATTTCCATCCACCCCACAACGGAGCCATAGGTTATGCCCCATGGCCATTTATCTTCAACTGTTACCATAAGTCCAAAGCGCAAAGAGAGGACATTCAGAAATATGAGCCCGGCTTACCAGGTGAGCGAGTGCGCGAGGCAAACTTTTCTCGTCTTCCGTAGATATCCCATGGAATGCCAAAGACCACCCAGTCCTTTAGGCGGACATCTGGGCTAATCCCTGCCGCTTTGGCTCCCGCAAGGCGCTTTGGCTGTTTGTTTCGCGGGTTGCCTTCTGAACTTCTCGAAGGATGGGGTTGGGGGGGGGGGGGGGTCACGCACTAAAACCCGGTGGCATTGTGGAAGAAGACCATTCCTATACCAAAGAGTCACTGTCATCGACCTTGGCATCACAGAAATTGGTCCCATACCAAGCTTCAACCATGAACCGGGGTCTGGGTTGCTGCCTTTCTTTTTTTAAAGGAAACCCGTGAAGCCTCCTGGAGCCAAGATTCTGACAGTTCTTCAGGAACCACCTCAAAAGTGGTTTGTGGATCATCCTCACCCCAATGATGTCCTGTCCAAAGGGTCCCTGTACAAAAGCCACCTATGGCTTTGAGGCGCCTCCGAGGGTTTCCCCAACCAAATTGGAGTCAGCCACTTCGCCTACCGAGGTGCTTGCTGGAAATCTCTGAGACCCCCTGAAACGCGCCCACGCGACGCAGCGGCACGAAAAGACATGGCTGTTGGCAAAAAGTGGGACCCGTGCACGTACAAATGGATTTGTTCTTTATGATTTCCCTCTGAACAACATGCCAAACGAGGCTCCCACGATCTCCAAATGTTTGGCATCCGCATGTCTGAAGGAAAATCCTCACTGGTGAAAGGAGAACACCGCGACAAACCACACCGGTGACAACAGAAGTGCCTCCTATACACAGAGGTTCCCGTCTGAAAACCGCAAGGTTCGCCACCTTTGGTCACGTCACGTCTCAAAGTCAGACAGCCGGAACTCCAATTGCCATAGACTCGCTGACCGCTGCAACATGGCTTCAGCAATGTGTCATTTGCGATCCCGAAAAAGCACGGGTGTTCAAGGGCATGGACGCCAAAGATAGGCCAATCTTGACGAGCTCGAAAGCAAAGAGCTCGGCCAAAGCTTGCCGGGTTCTGGGATTTGCCAAGCGTCAAACGAGAGCAGAAGGGGCTGGCTTGCCTTTGGCCTTCCCGAGAAGCAACAAAAACACGAACACACACACACAACACTTGAAGGGGTACCGAGCCTGAACAAGAAAAATAGAGACACGGCCAAGGTTGAGAAGCCAAAGCAACTCTGGGCATCCCCCACCAGGCGCGTGAGCTGGCATCATCGGCAGGTTGGGTGGCGCCTTGGGATTGGTGTCTAACCCCTTGTACTTCTAGCATTTTTTGTTTTTTAACGCACTGTTTCAGACATTTGTGCTAGAAGATGCAAGACTTCGCGCAAGATGTTGTTTTTGGCTTGCGCGGGGTTCGTGGGAAACCACGCCTTTGAAGCTGGTTTGCTTCCAGCAATACATTCTAAACGAGATTTCACCACCATTTCGCTTCGAATCCCTAAGTAGCAAACCCAAAGGAAATCAGCCATCCTTTGGATCACCTGTGCTAATCCCCCACTGACAAACTAAGTGAACTCTCCATCTGTGCCAATCGCTGTGGTAGAAAGTTGGAGGCGGGAAGGGTTCAATGTTCTGCCGCTTTCATCATCTTCCAGCGGCCCGTTGGGGGCAACCCTGAGTGCCACCCTTACGATGCAGGTGCTCGATCCCGAAAGGAACTGCTTCGGACCTTTGCCGAGCTTCCCGCTTTCCATGGGGCCGAGCGTTTTTTTTGTTTGAAGCGGGGTGATATTTGGCTGTGGGTCAAAGAACCGGTACCAAAATGGAACCCTGGCAAGTGGAAACATGGACCAAAACCTGCGGTCCAATTCCTGCTTTTTAATTTTGAGCCATACCCATTTGCACCTTCGGATCTTTGGGGCTTCCCAACAGAGATCTCAACTGCCTGGTGCCTTTCCGATCTCAGCTGCGGACCCCGAAGTCCCAATTCCGGCCGCCGTCGAAGGGGTTCTTCAGCTGGAGTAGCGCCATGCGGATTCTGAATCCGCGCGGGTCGATCCTCCCGCGCCCCGAGTTCGCTTCGCTGTCGGAGTCGCCCGAGCCGCAAAATTTGCCCAAACTGAGCCGAAAGGCAGGCGAAGAGCAGTTGAAGAGGCAGAAGGCATCATCATCATTCCTGCTTGCGCCCCTGTCAAAAGAACCAACATTCTTAATGGGAAATCCATGGATCTGAATCGGACTTGTTTGTGTAACATGACTTGCGCGCAAACCCGGGTGGCGACATTGCGGTCATCCACTTTGCCTGAACTCAACAGTGGGCAGGTGTCAAAATACCCCCCCCACCCCCGGAAATGATCATTTTCTGTTTGGTTTCCCCTTAAACGAATCCCACAGCGGGTACCGAGCCTGAAACAAGCACACCCGAATAGGCATGCCTGTTTGTTCGCTGTACCCGGTTCCGCGTCCGCCTCTTTGGAGCCCCCCGCCTGACAAAGGGAACCCAGGATTACTTGTTTTTCTTTTGGAAAATGCTTTGGGGTTTCTATCAAGAGAAAAGAAACAAGTGGGCTTTGGGCAACACTCGCTTAAACCGGGTTGACACCCGGGTCAACATCCGCACGTTTGCCTGTCACGAACATGGACAGATCTTGTTGCCTGTCGAGATTGAATGCAAACCCTCCCCAAGTTAGTTGGCCACTTCGGTTGTCCTGCCGAAGCTTGGGTGCCGCACTGCACCTCCAAGAGGAACGAAACTCCGCAATCAATTGTCATGTGCTTTTTCCAGGGTACCCTTTCAATTGTGGCTAAGGGGACACCAAAGGGAACCCAAACTAGTTTAAGACACACCCTTTTCTGGGAGGGTCATGTTGTAGGACAATCCTGTAACCCCTGAGCAGTAAACCAGAAGACCCGCTGGAAAGCAGAACCCTGGAACCTCTGACTGGTAAACCGGCCAACCTCCCCAGTTCTCAATCAGGAGGTGTGCCCCGCCACCCCGAGTGAGTAACAATCAGATAGCACATGGACCCCCACTTATTGCACACCTCCTATGTGTCCAACCGCTGGTTGAGTATGCTAACACTACAACCACTGTCGGTTGTGTGTGTGTGGTTCTTCTTTTTGTTTTTGTTTTGGGGGGGGAATTGTCTGCAGGGTTCCTTGTTTTGTGGAGAATACCCCGGATCCCACTGGACGAGCAAATTGGGTGACCCCTACGTGGGGTCATTGGGGAAAACCCGTTCAAGGGTTACCCCGAGAGGTCAGGCCTCCATTTTTTGACTACCTCAGGGTAGACTTCGACAAAGGGGGTTTCCCTGGTTTTAAGTCTATGTGGGGTAGAACGGAATCCCGGAGAGGACAGAACCTTTTCTCCGGAAGAGGGCCTCTCTTTGCACTCGCGGCTAGCCCAGTGCTTCCAGACAATGCTGGCATCGCTTCATGGCCTTGTCGTTTCTTTGAGGCTCAGAAACCTTTTTGGGGTTGCTACCGAAGCAAACACCCTACTGAGGTTCTGGCGGTGGTTCCCTCCAAAAAAAGATCATGGTCTGCCCAAAGCCATTGGCCCTAAGGTCACCCAAGGTCACCCTTGTGGTCGATTTTGATTGGAGGGTGTCTTGTGGTTCATCACTTTTGGAAAAAACACACCCTGCTAATAATTGGCTGGGTTCATTAATCCGGCGTCAGGACTAGCGCATAGCAAGGACCTCTAGGACTGATGATAAGTAGCAATAGGAAGCACCGGGCACAGAAATGACGGTCACCGAGAATTGACCCCTCATGCTACCTTTGACTCACAGCCGAGTGGGGGGTCACTCTCCATTCGGCACGGTCGAGGCGCAAAGACTCGAAAACATGTTGGCAGCCAAACCAAAAGGTCCATGGGAAGCCTAAATGATCTCTGGATGAGGTTGGCAACCGATCTACCCCCTACCATAGGTGGACGAATCAATCAAACTCTTACAGATGTAATGCGCCCCCTCGCTCCCCGAGTTTCAATATTATTGCCCGTTTGTGTGTGTGGGTGTGTGCTGCAGCTGTTGGTTTGTCCATCCACAGTAGGAAAGCAAAAGGAGCCCCGGGTCCAAATTCTTTCCCTTCGTCTTGCAGGAACAGCTCGGACATCTTTAGACCTGAACAAAGATAAACACTTTTTCTGGATGGTGTGACAAGAGGCACATAGTTGTGGGTCTCCAAAGGGGTACAACGGGAAATGCGCAACGGATGGGGCGAATCCACACCAAATGCTAAGGGACAAAATCCTACAAAGTGCTGGTGATGGATCAGCCAGTTGGTCGAAGTGACGGGCGGTTGTGGAGAAATGGTACCATTCGCCCTGTTGAAGCATTGTGTTTTTTTGTTTTAGCACAATGTTTATTTTTTTTTTAAAAAAAATCCCAATGTTTGCAACTGCTTTGCAACAGCTGTTTGCCAAGAGTTGGTCGCCAGTCGGATGTCGGCGGCCCAAGCCCCCGCCCCGCAGCAATGCCGTGTTGGCGCCGTCTTCCTTTCGCCTGTCAGCCGGCTACCAGCCACCCCCAAGACTTCGAGAATGAGGATTGTGAACCTGGCAATACCCGCGGAGGGCTATGACGCGCAGGAGCTACCCGGCCTCTCGATATAAATAAATATATATATACATATACATATACATATATATATATAATAATAATAATAATAATAATAATAATAATAATAATAATAATAATAATAATAATAATAATAATAATAATAATAATAATAATAATAATAATAACAATAACAATAACAATAACAATAATAATAATAATAATAACAATAAATAAATAATAAATATAATAAATATAATAATAATAATAATAATAATAACAATAAAAATAATAATAATAATAATAATAATAATAATAATAATAATAATAATAATAATAATAATAATAATCATAATAATAATAATAATAATAATAATAATAATAATAATAATAATAATAATAATAATAACAATAACAATAACAATAACAATAATAATAATAATAATAATAATAATAATAATAATAACAATAACAATAACAATAACAATAATAATAATAATAATAACAATAAATAAATAATAAATATAATAAATATAATAATAATAATAATAATAATAATAATAATAATAATAATAATAATAATAATAATAATAATAACAATAAAAATAATAATAATAATAATAATAATAATAATAATAATAATAATAATCATAATAATAACACTAATAGTAATAGTAATAGTAATAATAATAATAATAATAATAATAATAATAAAAATATATATGAATATATATATATATAGCTCTCTGTCTCTCTCTCTCTCTCTTTGTGGGGCTGTGTCTTCAATACCCGCAAGCACAGGCAAGACAAGCATGTTTCCATATAAGTGGCTGTCAAATGCAAACAGCGGCAATCTCGGCTTCTTGCATCCTCTTTGCCATGTGCGGGCTGTTGAGGCTGAACGTGACAAAAGGATACTGCCGCAGTGAGAAAACTCTCCTCTAAACAGCCGTAAAGGCAGTTTGGCTAAAACTGTTCCTCTGCCAGATCTGCTTCCCCGACATGTCCCGTCAAGAAACACCAACCGTGTCGAACGCAATGTCAGGATCCAGGATCTCAATATATGGCATCTGCATGCGGCATCATCAACAGCAAAAGTGAATGGACTGAGTAAGTACAGCGAAGCAGTAAAATTCAAGCTGTACGGAGTGACTGGCAACCACTCAAAACTCCCCTTCCCTTGGGTCTTGTCGCGACCTTCATGAGCCACCAACCTTGCCACTTTTGCCCTCCTCCTTCTCGCCAGTGAGAGTCTTGGTCGCCTCAACGAAGGCCGCATAGCCATGAACCATTTTCTCCTGCACAGCGGATAGACCGCCTTGCACCTTGTCCATGAAAGTTGGGTCATGCTTCTGTGTCTCGTCTGAAGGCTTCTCAGCCACTTGCTGCACCTTCTCCTTGGCAGCGGCGTAGCCCTCAGCTGTCTTCTCTTTCGCGGTGGCAAGGCCTTGCTCGATCTTCTCCTGCAGGCCCGCATCCTCGGCATTGTCATCCTTGGTGTCTGAAGGCTTCTCAGCCACTTGCTGCACCTTCTCCTGGGCAGCGGCGTAACCCTCAGCTGTCTTCTCTTTCGCGGTGGCAAGGCCTTGCTCGATCTTCTCCTGCAGGCCCGCATCCTCGGCATTGTCATCCTTGGTGTCTGAAGGCTTCTCAGCCACTTGCTGCACCTTCTCCTTGGCAGCGTCGTAGCCCTCAGCTGTCTTCTCTTTCGCGGTGGCAAGGCCTTGCTCGATCTTCTCCTGCAGGCCCGCATCCTCGGCATTGTCATCCTTGGTGTCTGAAGGCTTCTCAGCCACTTGCTGCACCTTCTCCTTGGCAGCGGCGTAGCCCTCAGCTGTCTTCTCTTGTGCGGTGGCAAGGCCTTGCTCGATCTTCTCCTGCAGGCCCACATCCTCGGCATTGTCATCCTTGGTGTCTGAAGGCTTCTCGCCCACTTGCTGCACCTTCTCCTTGGCAGCGGCGTAGCCCTCAGCTGTCTTCTCTGGTGCGATGGCAAGGCCTTGCTCGGTCTTCTCCTGCAGGCCCGCATCCTCGGCATTGTCATCCTTGGTGTCTGAAGGCTTCTCAGCCACTTGCTGCACCTTCTCCTTGGCAGCGGCGTAGCCCTCAGCTGTCTTCTCTTGTGCGGTGGCAAGGCCTTGCTCGATCTTCTCCTGCAGGCCCACATCCTCGGCATTGTCATCCTTGGTGTCTGAAGGCTTCTCGCCCACTTGCTGCACCTTCTCCTTGGCAGCGGCGTAGCCCTCAGCTGTCTTCTCTGGTGCGATGGCAAGGCCTTGCTCGGTCTTCTCCTGCAGGCCCGCATCCTCGGCATTGTCATCCTTGGTGTCTGAAGGCTTCTCAGCCACTTGCTGCACCTTCTCCTTGGCAGCGGCGTAGCCCTCAGCTGTCTTCTCTTGTGCGGTGGCAAGGCCTTGCTCGATCTTCTCCTGCAGGCCCACATCCTTGGCATTGTCATCCTTGGTGTCTGAAGGCTTCTCAGCCACTTGCTGCAGCGGCGTAGCCCTCAGCTGTCTTCTCTTTCGCGGTGGCAAGGCCTTGCTCGATCTTCTCCTGCAGGCCCGCATCCTCGGCATTGTCATCCTTGGTGTCTGAAGGCTTCTCAGCCACTTGCTGCACCTTCTCCTTGGCAGCGTCGTAGCCCTCAGCTGTCTTCTCTTTCGCGGTGGCAAGGCCTTGCGCGATCTTCTCCTGCAGGCCCTGGCTGGACATAGCGAGATGCGAAAGGATGCGAGGAGGCTGTGCAAGCGATGGATGGGCTTGGTGCAGCGAGCACGCCTTTCCTTTGAGACCAACAAGGACCTACATCGAAGCTCTTTTTACCGCTGAATCAGTGAGCTCAAACCCAAAATAAGCAGAACTCTCCATTCATCCGTCTCAGAGAGGAGAGTGGGATGAGAAAGGAAGGCACACAACCGTTCATTCTGGCCCTTTCACAGCTTCCAGAGACACCTCGCGCCAACGGCAACCAAAACCAATGAAATCTAATGAGTAATGGACCGTTACTAGGTCCTCCAGTAGAGAGGTTAGAATAAGGATACCCACTTTTTTCTGTAGTCTACCTTAGTAGGGGAGCCCTCCCAACCAAAAAAGAAATGGTAAAAGTTGGCACCTAGCTGGGGGACCTAGGTTCACTAGCCACCTGCTGTAGCCTTCGTCCGTCGCCTGCATCCGAGCCCCAGAGCTCAGGGTGCGATGGCAGTGTCTGCCTGGCAGAGATGTGTCCAACGTGGGGCTCCGAATGGGTTCTTGATTTGTCTCTTGCATATGTTCAAACACAAAGTGGTTTTTCCTCGTTTGTCTGATTTGTCTCGTATATATGCGCTAAAAACAGTTTCCCTCAAAGAAATTAGGCTTGGTTGCGAGAAAAGCACACGCACCCAATTTCTGCGGTACCGGTGTGGGCCATCAAGTCTTTGCCATCTGGACATTTTGCAGGGGATGCCTTGTATCGCCGAAAGCGACCCCAAAGACCTTTTCCATGAAATCATCCCAACTCTTCCCCCAAAAGGTGTCCCTTTGGACAAACCGATTGGCAAATGATCGGAACCAAACTGAACCCCTTCCACCTATTTTGACCTGTGACTCAAAACTAACGCAAAAAAACACCTGAACCCCTTCCAATTGAACCAACCGGACTTGAGACACCTACTGTGAATGGACGAAATCCTGCACCACCAAAAAAAGCCTGGAATGATGATTCCCCTGTGAATACCAACAAACGTTATGGCTTCCCATGGTTTCAAAGTGGTGCCGATTTCGCAACCACAGTATGACCTGTGGAAGCTTTGGCCAGGCGCGCCCACTTCGGCCGAGACTTGCTCCTCAGGCGAATTCGTCGCATGTCCGCACCCCGACAAGTTGGTTGTGGCCCATGGAAGTGCCCAACAAAAAGGCCCGTGGAGGGGAAAAAAACGCCGGCAAAGTGCAGGTGGGACTTCAACCCTTCAGAGATGGACATTTCTTTTCCTTTTGGAAAAAGGGGCTCTGTGCACTTCCTATGTGGGACGCAAGGGCCACCCAAGCCCTCCCTCTCTGGGAACGGCACAGCCCAAGCGACCGGGGGGAGGCGGCACGTTCCAACCCAAAGGCGGGGCTCTGGAAAGCGACCACCAAGACATCTGCTTGAAGCTTCGTCTGACGGATTGCCGCAAGGGGCCCACTTTTGTCAAGGGGCCCACCAAAAGAAAACCCCTCCGTTTCAAAGGGCCCCTAAAGAGGATTTTTGGCAGGCATACATGTGGCAAACTAACAGGAAGCCGCTCTGCGATCACAGGAAAGGCCACCGCTTGGACCAAAACTGTGATACGAAAGGTCGAACTGCCATTGACCAATCCTAGAGGCCCTCAGGGTGTCCAGAAGTCAAGGCTACTCCTTAGCAATTTCAACATGACCTTGAACACTTCCAACTGACAACTTCTCAATAAAACTGATCTTTATGTTTATGTATATATCTATATGTTGTAATGTCCTTTCACAATTCCAACTCACGAAGCATCATGTACTTTCTTCACGGGCCCCCAACGAGGGCTATATCACTGGACAAGCATTCTTGCTTCGCACATTTTGACATTTTGGCATAAGACATACCATTCGGGTACCATGTGAAGATTTAGTAATCCGCTGCTAGTGCATTATCTGGACGTAAGAAACAAGAGCACCCGCAACCAACTTGAAGACGACTCGCATTGATAATTACAATCTTTGCATCGACATCTCCGCTGATAGAAGGAACCACCGCTATCATCGTTGCTCGTGTTTTCTTCTTCTTCTTGTTTTAAACAAAAACCCAAGATGTAGATTAAAGTTAGGACGGAGAACGCCGCACCACACGCCAACGCCCTTTTCAGTTCGCAGCCCTTCCGCTTCCCCTTGCTAAGGCCAAGGCTGCACGGCTTGCATGCCGGCCTTGCACTCGGGGCCTGGCAATGAATCGCTGGGCTTGGAGGTGGCAAAGCCGGAGTCAAGAGTAACCCCTTTTATGGGACGGGGTTCTGGCTCGTCGCCCCTCCAATCCAAAAATCCACACAAACGTGTGCAAAGGTCAAACCTCCTGCGAGACATGGCTCGGTGAGTCTTTCAGCCACGATTGAATCCAAACCGGAATCTACGTGCAACCATTCATACCTTTCTTCTAGGGGTGTTTACCCACAATATGTGCAGTCTGCAAAGGCTTCCCCATAATTGCAACGTCAACACATTCATTACTCCGCCCAAAGTCAACTCGGTCCAAACACCCCATGAACACAGGTCAAACAGAGCTAGACCTCTAAGCGTTGAGCTCACAAGAAAACCCCTTCAACCCTGGCCGGCCCTCCCCCCCCGGGTGCCGTTCTTTCGCGCAAAGGGCGGCCTTTTTCGCTCTGAAACCAAGCCCAGTTTCCAAAGTTGAAGACGACAGCCTGGTATATTCCTTTGGGTCTCTGGGGGCGGGAAGCTCCAGTTCGAACAGACACCCTCGCAAACATGTGCTGACGGCAGAGATTTCAGCCGACGGCAAGGATCACCAAGTCCTCCAAACGGTGATCTTTGAAGTCGGCGGTGGCTGAAAGCTCGGGTGCCGTCAGGGGGTGAAACTCGACCAAAGTTTGAGGTCCTTGGTTGACGATTGGGCACAAAGAACGTGCGTTGCATCTGCCATCATCCTGAATTGAATGATATCTTTGCTCATACTGAAAGCCGACATGAAGAAGGATGGCACGTCCTCATTCAGTTTCCCTTTAAACAAACTGCAAATGTGGCCCAACCTCGCAATCCACCGAAAGCAATCTTCAGATTCTGTTTCACAAACAAGCCAACCTTACCATATCACGCATCTTCCGATTCAAAACTCTGGAGACCACTTCGTCCGCGGTTTTCCTTTCGGCTTCCGTTTTCAAAGCGGCCCTCAAAAGGCCACCCCGAACAAACCCGCAACCCGGAACGCGCCTTTCCGCACATCTGCGGCGATGCCCGCCACGTAGTTCATCCTGGCGATTTTTTCCGGCGATCCATGGTCCCGGTATAGACTCCTCAAAGCTGCGGGGTTGAAAGCTGAAACGCAATTTGAACAAACACCCTGATTTTTGGAAGGTTCCAGCTTGAGACACTGACTGGTGGTTCCGGGAGCCAACTTAGCGAACGAACGTGGATGGCTCTAAAGGTTGATTCCCCACTCTTTGCGCCATTCTTTTCAGAAGCCAGCTATTCCCCTGGGTGCGTGTCCCCTTTTTTGAAAAAAGGGATCCCTGAGTTGGGAAGCTATGCCTTGCAGGTCCTTTTTGCCATCTTCCTATTTCCGCCCGAGTCTTTTTGAGGGACGCCCGAGTCCGACCTTTCACGGACCTATCGCGACAAGTGAAAGGAGAGTCGCTTGGAACTGAATATGAAGGCCCCCCTTAAGGGGGTACCTTTTTTTGTTCCAGCTGAGTTGTATAAAGGCGGACCTCGACGGATGTGGAGCTTTTCCAACATGCACTAATGAGAATATAAAAATGAGCTACTATCGAGAAAATAACTACACCTGCATAGACCCCAGATTGCAGCGCTTGCACACCAGCACCTCCAAAAGCATCCCCCCGAAGAACGCCCCAAGCAAAACCCGGCTGTCAATCGAGCAACTATGCGCCCGCACCATCACCCTGAAGAGCACCCCAAGCAGCACCCCCCAAGACACCCAGCCGTCAATCTTGCGAAAATCAACCAGCACAGAATCCCAAACCACCACCTAAGCTGCATGCCCCCTTGCACCCTACCGTCAAGATGCAAACATGCGCCCGCACCGTCACCTGCATGCCCGGTAGCACCCGAGCGTCAATATCGCAAAAATGCGCCCGCACCGTCACCAGCACCTCAAACAGCTCCCCACAACCTGCGTCCACAGCACCATCAGCACCAGCACCCCAAACTGCATTCCCCCTGTGCTTTACTGTCAAGATGCAAAAACGCTCGCGCATCGTCACCTCCCAAAACAGCACCTGCACAAGCACCCCCTCGCACCCTACCGTCAATCTTGGAAAGATGCGCCAGCACCTCAAACAGCACCCCAATCAGCACCTACACCAGCACCCCAAACTGCACTCCCCCTAGCACCAGCCCATCAATCTCGTAAATCACTTTCCCCTTTTTATTAGAAGTTAGAACTCCTATAGCTTTCAGCTATCTGGGGAAAAACAGGGTACTTTAGCAGCAATCCCACTTACCATGTTTGCAAGTCCCCGTGGGTCTTGACCAGGGCTACTGGCCACTCTCACAAGCCGGAAAATAAGGGGCCTTCATCATGGGTAAGCTGGGTAAGCTAGTCTTTCCCCTAGGTGAGCTTGCCCTTTAAGCAGCCCTCAATGCTGTGGATGGGTATGCATATTGGGATACCCCACCGACCAACTGGAGCAAAGTGGATGTTGCTCATCCACGGTATCAGTCTTTGGGCACTAGAAGCATGCCAGGCAGCACATGAATGATGAAGGCGGTACGCCCACCTCAGTCGGACCCTGAACTATCTCATTTTTTGAGTGGATTGGCACAAATTATCCAAACTTTGTTTACCACCAAAATGTCTTTCTAAAATAGCAGAAAGTCCAGGAACTCGAGGAGCAAGGTGTATTCACAACTTCTAGAAAAAAAGGGAAAACGAAGTCAAGGTCCTTTCAGGATCGAGGATATCCCCCACCATGGAGGCAATGGCCCCTACCCCACCGTCACCCAAATCCCATAATGTGGAAGGCTCTTGAATTTGTGGGAGGGTACAATTTCATTGCACGTTCAATAGACCACTTCGAATAGAAAATCAACGCCGCGCTTGTGGGTGTGGGATTCTTCATTGCTTGCAGCTCGAGCTATTCGTTGGACTTGCCAAGGGGGAAGGCATGGGTGTTTCATCAGAAAACCAAAAAGGAACCTCAGACAGGGAAGTCCCCCCCCTCCCCCAAAAAAGGGGCGCAAACTCATGCGTTGCCCCGTTTTGTTGCGTTGTTTCTTTTTTGGGTGTCCCCCGAAAAATCAGATGGACCTCAAGGCTGCCTTTTCGGATGGGCTGTTGGGATATGGGAAAGCCCCCCCAACAAGGCGCGAGGATTTGGCCCCCCAGCCCCAAGATGGGTACCCTCAAAAACAGAACCCATAGGTATATGGGTGTTGCTCAGAATTAAACAGGAGGGGTTACGCAGGTTTTGGTCCGTGTTTCCGCTTACCAGGGTTCCATTGTGGTACCGGTTTTTTGAGCCACAGCCATATGAAAGCGTCTTATTTGTTGAGAAGAAACGACTCCCTCCTAAGGATTCCGGCATGCCAGAAACCAACAATGAGTATTTCTCCAAGAGGACAAGGAAGTCGGCCAAGACTTCTTGCTTTGAGTACATAGGATGGGCTCCCCTAAGTTTTCCCCAAGCGGAAGCACCGTAGATCACTGTTGCCGGTCTTTGGGTGCCTCTCGCGGCTTGCACCCGCGCGCTATCAATGCGCTCTCTGCTTCCTGAACTTTGATTCACCAACTTCACCGACCAATGTGGATGGACGACCTCCACCACTTTGAGACAAAGGGACACCACTGCTTGCTGGTATTTTCAGCAGAGTCCCCATTCAAGGGTTGCTAACGCGGTGCAGGATTGCGTCCATCCACAGTAGGGTTTCCCCAACTCATCTCACGCTCTCAGCGCCAAAGCGAAGCTCCTACCTTGACTCGTGCGCCTGACTCCGCGTGGCTGGGACCTTTTGGATTTGTGGTACTGGGAAAAGGGTGCTCGAGCCCTTGGTAAGGAACCCCACCCATGGGGAGGGTTCAAACGGAGGGGGGGGGCACACCAAATTCCGCACCCTCGAGTGTCCGGCAGTGTTCATGACGACTTGCTTGGTGGCTGCCTCAGCCGTGCGTGTGCTCTTCGGGCATCAAAATCGCTTCCAGATCGCAAGTGAGCCGATCACGTCTGGAAGCTGAGTTCAGGGATCCCCAAAGGACCTGTATCGTGAGCTCGTGTACCTCCAGGCAAGCTCGCTATAAAATCGCCAGATCACATCGACCACCCCCGGTTGTGATATATTGCAAGCTACACGTGCAATATTGAGGGAAGCAACGATAGCAACTCCTTCGCCCAGGCGGCTCCAAGTTTTGAGGGTGAGCGTGGCGCGACATTCCCCCGATCGGATTTTCCACATGATTGGAGCGAGCACCAGTGATAAGAGTTTGGCAATACTTAGTTGTGACTTTCTTTGAGGATACCACAATTGTGTTTACGGAAAACTGAAAGGAACAGCGCCATTTTCGGGGTCCCTAAAAAAAGGCACCACTATATCCAAACTTCACCTGGTTTTTCAGTGGCAAACCACACCATCTGTGGGGTCGCCAACATTTGCCCAAACTGTTGCATATGCATGATAAACTGGGTGTGGCAACTACTTGTCTAACTGACTTGCTGAGTGGATTGCTCGGACAAAGTAGCCAAGCGCGTTCTTTGCCAGTTGACTGAAGTCGAGGCAAACGGGAAGTCCTTTTCCACAGCCATATTTGATCTTCCTTTTTCCAAGGGAAACCCAAAACCCCAAAACCTCCAGATGTCATTTTGCAAACACCCCCAAAAGCCAAATCAGGGACCAATGCTCTGAGTGGTGAGTCCGAACAACAACACATTTACTAAAACTAAACAATATTTTCGGCATCCGAAGACACTGTAGGGCATTCCATTTGGCAAGCCAAGAAAAAAACCAAAAAAACATGCCTACATTTGCAAAAAACCAACAAAAACAGGAAGAACTCCAAGCAACTTAGAAAAATCGAACAGTCAAACACCACAAAATACAAAGCCAAAGTCCTGAACGATATTGTTTCGTCATGCCCAATATCTATGTTCTTCTTGCTCTGCTTGTTTTGTTTGTTTGTTTATTTATTTGCTTGCTTGTTTATTTGTCTTCCTCGAGGTTTTTGTGCTTTTCAGATTGGGCCATTTTCCTGCCAAATCCTCGCATGGAGATTTGTTCCTTTCTCCAGGCGTCAGATGCCAGTGGGTACCTTACATTCGATTCCACACAGATTCGCAAAACACGGCGGCAACTCTCCACATTTCGCAGGTGTAATGATATTCTCTTTATATCTTGATATGTCTTTATGAATTACGAATCTGTGTTCTGCCATGAGAAGGAACCGCAATTCAACATTAAATCATTGCTCTCTTTCTTTTGTATTTTCCTCCTGGTGTCATTCCATTCTCTTCCCTTCCTTTGTTGTTCATAGAGGCTTGGAAGGGAATATATATATATATATGTATACAGATGTATAAATATATAATTATATTTGTCATCTCTTCTCACTCCCTCACTTCCACTCTTCTAGGCAGTTCGCGGTTAAAGGGAATGAGGGATGAGGATAGAATGAGATAAGAAATGGAAGAAAGCAAGCAAGCACGCAACAATGAAAGGAACAAAAAACAACGAAATAAGGAAACACACGGGCTGTACAATATCGGGTTTTATAGTCTCTTTTCAATACTCCTAATGATACTGTTTAATCTTACGAACACGCTCTCTGCCTCCAAGACCAAGATGACAAACGGAGACAGTCGATAGAAGAGGTCCCGGAATTCCTTTCAAACAGACCCGACATTTGCTAGTCTCCCAAGAGAAAGCGCACATTTTATGCCTATTTTACACCCACTCAGGTTGCATTTGCCTCTCTTTCTCGGCCCTATCTGGCCCCCCATTATTTTACCATGATCAAAGTCACGGTAGGTTAAAGGGAAACAACCCTTTTCTGACTCTGATACCCCCTCCCCCCCCTCAGAATCAGTGAAAATAATGACCCATGTGTCCGTCATCGGCCCTGTCCCGAGGCGGCGGCCACTGCCCCTGGGGCGCACAGCGTCATGCGGTCGCACACCGCGTGGCCCTCTGCCTACGACTTCGATGGGGACGAGTACCGAAGGAGAGATGTCACGTCGAGACGGACCCGAGCTCATGTAGTGTCTCTTCCTCGCAAACTCCTCAAAATGGTTTCGTCTCTTTTTAGGGGAAATGCCGAAATGGATCCGGTTTTCCTTTTGGCGTCCCTTTGAAACCACCAAACGACACGTAAAACAGGGCGCCTATTGAGACTGTCCCTGAACCCGCACTTCGGGTTTTGATGGCTCAAATGCCAGGGTCGTGCGGGGGTTTTACGACATCCATCCGGGTTTGTCTTGCTGGTTCTCGGATGAGGGAATGAAGCCCGTAAACCATCCATTGTGGCTTCCTTGAAGGACATCCCTACGTTCAGTTCGTGAACCAATGTCATGGCTTGTTGAGGGATACCCTGTTCACCTTAAAAAGGCGAAACCAACCGGAAAACCTCCTTTTTGGTGAATGTTGACCAGAGATGTTCCCTTTGTAACTCATCATTCGCTGATTACCAATAACTGGAAGCGCTGGTCCCGCCAGCTAGACCCGTCGCCTATGAGAGACTTGTTGCCATTGGTTTGAAGGGAAACCGGGAAACCTGCGAAACACCGTCATATGATTTGGGAATGGCCGCCCACCAACATCCAGACACCACTTGGATTGTCTGTGCGGCATTACGATTTGTGGCTGGCTGTGTCGTGGCAAGGCATACGTCGACAAGGTATGGCGAGCCGGGCTGGTCTGAAGTGGCTAGCACAGTGCTCGCTGAAAGGAACTTTGCAATGCAGCCCGTCTTGTGTACTGCGCATTGGCAAACTCTGGTGGCATGTAGCATTGACCAGAACTGCCTCTGAGCCTTAAACCTCCGGCTCTCTCAAACGGACCGGTGGGAATGTTACTGGAGCTCTGTGAAATCCCCCAGCCTGGGACAGGGACAATGGCGATGCTTCCAAGACCATCCAAGTGGGGGAGGGGTTGCGACAAGGGCCGCTTTGGGATGGTGTCATGGCGTTTCGCATCCCTTCGAGGCATTCATGAAATGGCGGTGGTTGCGGTGGCGGGGTGGTGGTGGCGCCGGTGGTGTTGTTGGTGGTAGTGGTGGTGAATAGTATTATGGTTATTGTTATTGTTATTATTATTGTCATTATCAGGTTATTGTTATTGTTATTATTATTGTCATTATCATCATTATCATTATTATTACTATTATTATTATTATTATTATTATTATTATTATTATTATTATTATTATTATTACCATCCTCGCTTTCATTATCACGTTTCTCTCGCGCAACCGGATCGATCGCTTCTGGCCTCAAGGTCTTTTGCCTCGTCCACCACTTTGTCCACGAAGCCATACTCCTACGCGCTCGAGAAGGTTCCGTGGGTCGCGCCGCCCGGCCGCGATGGCAACTGTTTGCCCAGAGGAAACTGTTTGACAGGCATGTGGCAGACAGAGGAGCGTGGCGCTCTTTTTGGGGTGCCGTGTTTTTAGTGACTTTGGAACCTCGCAAACAGAAAGTGCTTTGCAGGGGTACGGAATCCACCGAAAATGGGGTTCTGGGGGTTCCTTCTGTTTCAGTTTTCAGGGGATCAACTGAACTCGCTGCCAACGTCAAAACCCTAATCTAGGGTTCTGACATCCCTTCCAAGTTGCCGAAAGACAGAGCCTTCTGCTGGTGGGAGAAGGGGCAACTATGTTCCATCATCAGTGGACGAGATATGCATGTCCTGTCAGTCTTGCCCTTGAGCACATTCCAGTAAAGGGTCAACATGTAGCTGGCCTCACTATTTACCATGATCAAAATCACCTCCAAGTGGTGGGTGAAAGGGAATCAACCCCATTTTCTGACTTTGATAACCCCCCAGCAGCAGTAAACAGAATGACCTCTGTGTAAGCTGGTACCAAATGTCATTGTGGGGAAGGGTGTCACTCAACTGACGAACCAACCTTAGTTTTAAACTGGCGGAGTCTAGGGTCGGACCAACTGGTTCAAGTGAGCGTGGGTCACAAAATGGGTACACAAAACGGAACCCGGACAAATGGGAGCAAAGACCAAAACCTGCCGTCTGGTTTGACTTTGACCCATACGATTGCAAAATTAGGTTGACTTTGACCCATTGACCCATACTTTGACTTTGACCCATACCGTACACATAATGGTTTAACCCAAACAAGGATTGAGCATCTCCTGTTGGCAAAGCGTTCTAAATCGGTGGCCCACCAGCCTGCCCGTCTGCCTTGGCCCATGGAAATGGCTCGGAGTCCATGTGCCTTACTGGAAGGGGTACCTTTCACCTCTCACTGGAAGAAACAACTCGAAGGCACATCCAGACCTGGTCTGGATGAGCGTCTTAGACCCGAAGAGTTACACTCTTCGATGGTTTGTAGGGGAGCTTGCGTCATTTTCCAAGAAGGTGTTAAGAGCTCAAAGCTCAGAAAGAGCTCAAAACCCAAAAGTTCAAAGCTCTTTTCCAGAAGGTTTACAGAGTTTGAAGCTCACAACGGGTTCTCACTGTCCAAAAGGTTCCTTCACTTCGGTCCATCGCCTCTCCTCCGCCACCTCAGCGGATAAGTTGGCCCCGGCCAGGACCAGCTGATACCTGGGCGGTCGCCCAGCTGAGGTCAAATGGGTTCGAGCGAGTTGGTTCAAGTTGGTATCACGGGATGCCGATTTTTGGGGCTTGTCCCATTTGCAGTGATTGGGCCATAGGGAAGCCACCATCTGGCTTCCATACCCAAGTTTTTTTTTGAACCCAGAGGAAGCGGGGTGAGATCGACCTGGGTTGTCATCTAAGTCCCAAGTGGAGTTCATCTCACTCACTGGCTAAGCGCCCAAGCACCGGGGTTCGGAAGTCTGAAGCATCTTACGTCGGGAAACCTAAAAGGTTCGGGGCTGGGCTCCGTCTGCGCTGTAAACATCACTTTTGGAACATCAAACATGGTGGGCTAGATGCGAAAACCCACAGAGAACAAAACAAATGTGGGTTTGGTCTAAGTGCGGGAACCCTTTGGTGATTTTGCTTTGGATCCCTTTCCTGTCCAAACAAACGCACAGTACGTGCACTAAGCCCGTAGTGACTGGCCTTACCTGGCTAGATGAGACAGTGACCAGGCTTTCTAGCAAGCCAAGCAAGCATCAGGACCAAACACCAAACTAAACATACCAGGCATGCCAAGTGTATCGACGTGTCAAACATCATCAGACATATTCACCAATATCAAGCATAGCTCAAACGAGTCGAACCTTGCAACACAAGTCAACCATAGCACGCACCAAAGAAACATCCGCTCATATCAAACAGCCAATGCCCCCCCAGTTTTTCAGTGACCTTTCTTTTTGGGTGAACCATTTTCAATTTGGCAACCCACCCCAGGGCAAATGGATCTAGAGGGCTCCGCCGAAGAACTGGAGCCTTTGCTGGTCTCGAGCCGCTTCGCCGACGTCGGCTCGGAAGGGTACGGGGCCCAGATACTGCCCAGATTCACATGGGTGTGGCTCAAAATTCAAGACCTAGGGTTACGCAGGTGTTCGTCCACTTCCCCCTTTACCAGGGTTCCATTTTGGGCCCCTATTTTTGAGCCACAGCCACATGGACACCCTAGACCTACTCTTTTCTTGGGAATTGGAAGTCGTTTTTTGGGCTTCATGTCCAAACTGGGGACATGATTTTTGTTAGGTGTTGAATTTCAGAACTCTTGGTTGGAATTTTGGATTAGATGTGAATTTCAATTTCAAACTGCAATAGCACAAGCTGGCGGAGTGGCTAATCCGATCAGAAGATCAAGCCATCACTCAAACCATACAAGGGGCCCTCCCAACCTAAACGCCTCTAGCCGGAAACTGCCCCACCCCTCCCCCCCCCCTCAATTGGCGTCCTTTCATCCAAGGCCCATGCAAATGCTTGATGAGAGTGCATCGCCTGGCTAACCGACACGGAAATGTCCGAGGTCCGATTTGGGAGGAAAAAAAAGCGCTAAGACGGAACAGGTTCTATGTGGGTATGACATGTATTGGGGGCCCGAAATGGTGGACATCAACAGTTGGTGGGGATTCAGGTCACCAGCAGTTGTGAGGTGTGGTTCCAACTCTGAAAGTCATGGCCTTATAGGCTACCTGGATCGCCAGTTGCTGCTTTTTTCCATCCACTTTACCCCAAAACCAGCAACAGTGACTGAACAAAAACCCGCAACTTGGCTATCTAGCTAGTTACCATAGTAGTACGTATTCCGTTAGCTTTTCTAGTTTGTGAATAGACATCTCTGAATAACACGAACCCGTGCCAGCATACCGGCCCTATTTTGAAAGGGTCTCTGGAGAATCCAACTCGCTCCGTTGACTCCGGTTTTCAACATTCATTTTCAACAAGGGTGTTCATCCCCAAACCACCAATTCAAAGAACTCCAAGGGAACCCTGAGAGACTAGGGCGCAAAGAATGGGAGCCCGTTGGGCAACCGCTTGATTCGGGCACCGCATGTTGGCTTCGCCGCGCCCCGACTTCAAGCCCAAAACTCTCGACGTGACGTGAGGAGAACCCCCTGCCACTCCTGGTGATGTAGGGCAACGCAGTGGAAGGCACCTCAGGGCAACAACAACCAGCCACAGCAAGGACCGCAGCTTGGATGATGGTGACAATCACCACATCAAACAACATCAGCATTTGCCCACGAGATCACCACCACAAGGGTCATAGAACATAGCAGGGCACAACATCCCACCAGCTAGTAGGTTGCTTATCCAACTATGTCCCAATATATTCCTACGCCCTTTCACAAAAAGAACAATCAAACACATCCGACTACAATCACCCTTGGCAAAAGACAAATCATCGGGATTCCCTGCTTTCCGTTCCCAATAGTTCCTCTTGCATCCGCCCTAAATAACCCCACAACTGGCTGGGCTGTGCCGACTCTCCGATCGGACTGGGCGCGCGGCTGCCCCGAGCTTTGCCTCGCTCATGGTGAAGAATGCGCCTGACCCGAGCCGAAGTGTCGGTAGCAAGCGCCTCTAGGTCCTCCAGATTTGAGAGGATAGAATAAGTTGGTATCTGATTTTTTTTGTGGACGTCTATTTTAGTAGGGGAACCCTCCCAACCAAAAAAGGGGAGAGAAGGGCACTACATTTTTTCGCTTCGATTGGCCTTCGCCCCCAAAGAGCGATTTCCCTGGGGGCCATGCAACCAGGCAGCTGTTGGGGGTTCCCGTTGAAGCCACCTAGAACCAAAACCTGGCTGCCCCGGCCAAAAGCGCTCTGTCTGCTTGAGCCTTTCTTGCTCCTTTGGGACCATGGGTCTTGGGCAATTACGAGCCTGCAGCCAAATCTGGCTTGGTCTCACGGGGTTCGGACCGGTTCGGACCCCCCCAAAATGGTCTTCGGTTTTTCCCTTGTGGTTACCCTTTAGTACAAAAACGGGTACCCTAACATAAAGAAAACGCACCCCATCACACCGAAAGATCTGGCCACTTGGGCCAACTGACCGAGCAAGCCGGGGCTTGGGCCCTTCACCGAAATCACGTAGTCGCAGGCGCAGACCAGACCGATGCCGGCCTGGGCTGCTTTTGCTCACTTCTGATTGGTAGGCTCAGACCTTCAGTTTACATGATCTTTCCAAGTTCTAAGTGGAAGTGGAAGGGAAGTGGCCTAAAACAAAAAACGCACCATCCGTTCTAAGAAGTCACAAGGTATCACACAAGCCCAAACACACAGAGACCTAGAAGCTGGAATCAACCCACATACGTTTTGAGAAGGGAAGCTCCATGCTGGCGTCTTCTTGACCCATGAGCCACAGGAAGGTCTTGAGCTGACACCTTTGCACCATTGGTGACAACCAAGCCCTGGGAACCCAAAGGTGGGCTCAACGGCGTGGACTTCGATCGGCTTTCTCCCTGGTCCCGGATTGCATCTCTTGAAGCCTGGAGGCTCCAAAAACGGCTGGCATATTCTGCGCCGATCTCGCCAAGGCCAGATCTAAAAACGCGGGGTGGGGGGGGGGGTTGGGTGGGTTGGGGGGGGTTGGGGTGGGTTGGGGGGGGTTGGGGGTTTGGCGGCTGAAACAACTTTTATTTTTCTCCCTTGCAGATGGAAGTTGGAACCCGAACCCTCCGCGGGCGGTTGTTCCGTGGTTACCCACTTCGGTCTCCCCTTGCCCCTTTCGAGTTCCGCAGCCAAGCCGCTTGCCAAGGAAACCTTGGGACCGCAGGGATTTTTCCACCAACAAGTGCAGATTGCCGCCTGTACCAGGGTAATTCTGCCAACCCGGGGCACCGCAGCGGAACATGGAAGGGGGGTCAAGTTGTTCATAGCGGAAGCCGAGGTGCAGAAGCCAAATTGGCCTCGCACACTAATCCACATTTCTCCATTTTAAGAACAGGTTATCAGGATAGTTGCCTGCGCATGTTCAAAGGTTCAACGGGTGCAGTACTCCACTCTTGATTGCATTGGCCAAACAGGTCCAGAAGCGAAGCGGATTATGCGACCCCCCCTTTTTCGTTCGGGGGTTGCGAATTGGTGGTGGGGGCGGGGGGGGGGGGGGGGGCAGGAGACCAACAGCGGTGCCCTTCTGCGATACCATTCCCATGACCATGCCCAGGAAAATGTGCAAACTACCCCAGCTGACAAAGATTTAAGTTGCCATGGGATTAACATTGGTGTGCTTTTTTTCTAGTAGCACCTTTTTTACCCACTCCAAACACCGGTCTCACTTTTTGAAAGCTAGAAAGAGAAACCATGCCATCTTTGCACGTCTTGAACAGTTGCATCTCGTCAGGAAGAACGTAGACTAGGTCCTCCAGTAGAGAGGTTAGAATACGTTGGTACTAACTTTCTTCGGTAGTCGTGTTTAAGCCATATTTTGCCCCACCCTACTGGGGGACCTAGTAGCCATGAGGAACCCGTCCCAAGACCAGGAAGCGACACACCTCGCTGGGGCCGCTGCGCCCATCACGGTGCCCTGCAGGAGCACCACAGTGAGCTGATGCAGCCTCTCGGGTCAGCGAGACCCCAAATTCGCCAGAAGAGCAGGCCATTTCAAGGGCCATGGGTCTGTTTTTCTTTTTTTTGTTGCTTTTTTTTTGGTAAGGATGCAATCCTTTTAGCTTGGCTTAGGGACACGAAAAAGAATACCCGCCCGCTCTTGGTAAAGCCACGAGGAACCCAAGCAGTTCGTGGGAGATCACCCAGGGTACACCCCAAAGCCAATCCAAACCAGCGGCACAGTTCCCTTGCGGGTAAGTGAGCCAATTGTGCCGTCTACTTTCACCCAACTAAGCAACTCATATGGCCATGGGTCAACACCCAGGAAACCCCTGGTGAACATCAAAATAGGCGGCAAATGGATGTTCATCCACCCCAAAATGGCAGTCCATAGGTTATGCCCCGTGACCACATTGAATCCCGTACCCCTAGTCAACATCTCAATCCCCACTCAAATAAAGCCTAAAATGGGTGGTGCACCTAGCCAAAAAGGTACCATTGGTTTTGACCCATGGCCATATTGGAGGACCCCATACTTCACACCGCCAAGTACTCGCAAGTCAAGGCAATGCGCTGCGCTTTGTTCACTTTTCGCCGCTGCTCCGCGCGCTGTTCACGCCGCTCGCAACTCGCAATTTGAGCCTTGGACCGCGGCGACTGTCGGGTGAAATAAATCCGTGGGCGTCTCTTTTGGTGCGTTTGGGAGGTGACCGGGAAGTCAAAGGGAAACCAAAGCAGTTGAGGTTTCCAGATGTCTATGGGTTGATTCTTTTTTCAGTCTTTCCAACCATCGTTCTCTTCGAAACCTGAGACTTTCCCTGGGTTTCCGGAGGTTTTCTAGAAAGAGGATCCCTGGAAAGAATGGAAATGGAAGGTGGCACTAGAAGATTGGATATGGAGGTGGAAGCAGGTGCGAACAAGTCTTAAGTCCTTATGAAGGCACCAAAGGCGTGGCACGACAAAAAGGCAACAAAGGGGTATCCATCCTGACAAGCCGTTTTTCTATCGGTTGATTCCTTGTCCACTCTTTTCAGCCATCGTTCTTCTCAAAACCGATCGCCATTTCTCCAGGGTTCTTGGTGGTTTTCCAGAAAGAATCGCCCAACAACCAAACGCATTTGCAGCAACACGTGCTCCAAGTAGCGCTTTGCAGCGGCAATGGTTTGTTGAGGCCACAATCAAACTGAGGCTGTCCCCCTTGGAACTCCAAAAAAATCATCGGGTCGAATGTGATCCATCTCGGAGGTCCCGGACAAAATGCCAGGTCGCAACCTCCCCATGGAAGTCCCGCGTCCAGGCAGGGTAGCGTAGCTTTGCATCAGTTTTGGACAAATTGCCAGGTTTGTGGCCCGCTTTCTTGCGTCTTGCTCCGAATACTCCATGGTGTTCTTGGGATGGAAAAAATCCTTGGTGCCTGGAAGACACCCATTTTGGCGGCGTTTTTTCCTTTTTTTCTATCAGCTTGTTTGGAGGGTGTAAATCGGGGTTCAGATCACCCCTTCCGAACCGAATCACCTTGCCCATTGGTTTGGAGCTGGGTTTTGGATATGTGCAAAAATCAATTGAAAATAGCCCTCCTGCCTTTCAGGGTATGCGTCTTTCCCATGTTTCAAAGGTGGGCAGAAAAATCCCCAAACCAAACCGAGGGAAAGCAAAGGCAAGGCATGGCGCCCAGGTCCAGAGATGGCAACTTAGGCTCGGTCGCAAGGCACTCAGCCGGCGCGCTCTTCGTCGGGCTTCTGGCCGGGGGTTTGGTGACGACCCGTCTTCGTTGAACTGGGGAAATTGTTTGTAAGGAATTTTCCTTGTGGAAGAAGTCGCACCCCCCGTTTGTGACAAAGCGCTCTCCTTTGCCAAAAAGCAACAAACAACACAAAGCAACTGTTTGGCGTAAACCCTTCGAGTTCAGGTTAGGTTCCCGTTAAACTTCCAAATTCCCAGTCTAGATGTTGCCCAGTGCCAGGGGCAAGCCACTCACTAGATCATTTGCTTTTGAAAGGCTTTCTTTCACCAATACCCTCTCACCCAAGGCAATGCCTAGGCAACGCCATCGTTTTCATTCGACGCATTGAGCCGACACTGGCTTTCCTTGGAGATTCGACTGCCGACCAGCTCGCGAACAGCTCTTGGAGCGCTATGTCGATAGATCCCAGCTGAAAGACTCAATCTTCGTGGAACCCAAGGAAACTGCGAGCGCAAACTGAGTTTCGAGCTGTCGATAAGTTCACTGTGTTCCATCGAAGCAAGCCAGTGCGCCCCGCAACCATTGACGTCTGGTTCTCAGATGGTTACGGAACGGAAAACCGCGCGCTGTTCGGCCGAATCAATCCTACACGCTCAAGACCTAGATTGGTGAATCAATCCAATTTTTTGAATTGGGAAAATATTCATAAACCCCAGTTTATTAATAGGCGGGTTTTGACCTCCAAAAGTGGTCTGATTCCCCACCAAACCCGGGACATCCCCTTGAAAAGAAACTGAACTTGATTCATCCGGGGTTCTCATCAGCACGGGCTGTCCTCGGATCCCCGGCGAACAGTCAAACTGTGAGGTTCAATTCGGAAACCCCACCTCGAAGCCCCAAAAACAACCACTAAACAACTATCCACAACTGAACACAACAACCACCAAAACCAACTAAAAACAACCACTAGCCACCAACAAGCAACCAAAAAACCGCCTTCCTGAGGCACCGGACCGTCCGGGCCGTCCGCCCTAAGCAAACACGGACACCCACGGATCCACCGCCCGAGTCGTCGCCTCGTCCACGGAGCTGCCGGGCTCCACGGGGTCGCTCTCGCAGACCCCGCCCACCGTCTGCACCGCGATCTGCCAGGTGAGCACCGGCGGCCTCGCTCCGAGAGGCTTTTTGAGTTCTCGTTGCGAGAGCGAAACGCGAGCCGCACGAAAGGCGGATTTGTTTTCGCGGAGGGCGCGGCGGCCGAGGCGAAACACGCCGCAGGGGTTCGTGGGTTTGGGGGGTGAAAAGCTCGTTCTTGTTTTTGGATGAGCATGAAAGTTGGAGGTTTCACGGTTGCGGTTTATTGTGGATTCTGGATGTGACAACATGCGCTTCGCACCCATGGCACAAATGGGTGTAGAGGCTGTCTTTAAACGTGCTATGCGCTCCAAAAAATGGACGGGCCAGCAGGAAACAGGTTGCAGCCGCTCTTGTCGACAGCCAGGTTTGCCAGCTTGCGCCATACTTCTTTGTCTTACCCATGTCTTGTTTGAACCAGGCGCGCCATTTGTTTCCGAGTTTTCGGCCATTCTTTGCACCTTAGAGATGCTCTGAATGACTTTTCCTGGTGTTTCCGGCCGCAACACGCGCTTGGAGGTCGCAGTTTCATTTGCGGGGTCCATGACAAGCTCTCTCCCTTAGTCCCAGCTGAGTTGACAGGTTCGAGAAAGGGCCTTGACCAAAAGGATGAAACCCTATCCACAGACACGTCAACAAACGAAACCGTTTACCCTCTCGTCCAAAACATATGGAAACCTGACGTTTCGGGGTGGAAAACCACTTTCTTTGCAGAGCCTCTGCTGTGGGAGGGTAGGTTGACGTCACACAGGGAGCTGGATCCGGCCTGGGGGGCGGCTTTGGCGTGGAGTTCAGGAAGGAGCACACCCGCGGGAAGGTGGGCTTCGGCGGCGGCTGAGTGCGCGAACGGCCACGCGTCCCGCTGGTGCCGATTTAAGGGCAAGGCGACCGAAACATCATTTCGTCATGGAAATCCGTCATTTTATCATCGGCTAGCTCGGAGGATATATCCCAGGCTGGTACGCACCTTGGGTTCCAGGTGTTGGAAGCTTGACTGAACAATGGGAATACCGAATTCAGTGGGGTTCCTTTCGATTTCCCTGAAGAGGGCCCCCGATGTTCGGAAACGAGCCCAGCCGATGCAGCCTAAGAGGTATTTCCCTGCATCACCTGCGCAAAAGAACTGGTCACTGGGTAGGCCGGACGGTTTACCATCCTTCAAAACCTAGAGGAAGACATCAGGTGGTTATTCTACTATGATGTGTAATGAATGCAGTTTCTTGGATTGTTGGGAGGGGGGGGCTTGGGTGCCCAAAATTGCCTGAAAGGTCCCGTGGGAGCTTGTGAGCTGATGGGTTTGAGGAGTGAACACAAAAGAACCATTCAAAGTTACCTTCCCTTCAGTAGTTTACACTACTGGCACTGGATGAAACTTACCTCATGCTCATGTCCCTTGAACGCCAACCGGGAAACAAGAAACCAATTTCAGCAAAACAACATTTTGAACATCTAAGCAGAAGAACATGGGTCTTTTTTCAGGGTACCCTTTTTGAAATCCTTCTACAGGGACGTAGCACATCTGCGCGGTACCCATTTGGACACATCCTTTGATTCGGTGGTTCAGTGGTTTTTGGGAAGAGCCACCAGGCTTGGTTGTAGATCCCTCGTTCCACGCTTGACCCATCCGGGAGTTTAAGCAACCAGGGTGGGTTTCAACTCAGCGGCTGGGGTCTCCAACATTTTAAGGGCGCTGAATAATTACCAATCATGCAGTAGACGCCGCTGTACCCACGACACACTCCGCAACTTATAATCGCGACAAGGACACCTAGAACCACGACAGCAACACATCGCTAGGAAAGAATTGCAAACTCCACGCCCGCTTGTTCTGGATCAGGTCTGCTTTGAATGCTCATGCCAGCACCTGGTTTTGGCCACGATCATATTCTGCCGGGCATAATCGTGTACTCCCATTCCTGGCTACTTGCGACTTGAAAGCCGCAACCACCTAGATAGCCAAGTAGCTTTTTTTTCAGTCACTGTTGCTGGTTTTTGGGGTAAAGTGCATGGGGAAAAAAAACCAGCCACTGGCGATACAGGCAGGTTCTAATTACTTCGGCCCTCACCGACACTCCCAGCGTCCGCACACCCGAGCCCGATTTGAGCTGCGCACGGGTGCCACATAGTCCTTGGAGATCGGCTCGGGTGACTCCAGTTGATAAACAGAGGCCCCCTGGACCCTATGAATACTGATCCGTGCGGAGAGTATTTCTTTTGGTGGGCAGAACCAGTGAAAAACCAGAAGCAAATCAATCTGGGGAAAACCAAGGCATTGCGAATTCCCAGTAGGCATGTGGATTGGAAAACCAAACACATCCCCAGTGACGGATATTTACAAAACGAGGGAACATCAAGGCATTCGTAGTCTTAAGGGTCCGATCCGAAGCTAAGCTCGGGACCGCATCGACACCTCGGTGAATTCGCTTGGCACGTGAAGGGTTGGTTCCCTGCACCTAGAACTGTGGCAAATGAAGGGTGGGTTCGCACATGGGATGTCGAGAGCTGTGGCAACCCTGGAACCTTAGATGGATAGCCCCCACCTGTGGCTTTGATCCGGCTCACTATCCCCCGCAACTGGTGGACAACCCCCCCACCCCCCCCGCCCCCCTGGTTTCCTGTGAATAAGGCCTTATAAGGGTCTTGGCAACTATGGTTGCCCCCTGTGTAACAGAACATGCGCAAAACGCTGATTTTTCACTCCCATGACTAGAACTGCTTTTTAGCACCCTACAACCCCACGGCCCCTTCAAGCTCCGGCTCCAATTTTATGAATGACCCCTGGGTATGGTTGACCCATGCTGATTAATTTCAACGGGAGCCATGGCAGTTGATGGCTAGGGGCCAATTTTCACACGTCCGTCGGATTCGCAAGGGAGTCTATCTCAACAAGGTCGTGGGAACTTCTGTCCCACTCGGAACGAAAAAGGCGCGGAACACAGGAGAAGCCAACAACACCAGAAGCCAGAAAGGATCATCCCCTCCCTCCGAAAGGCGGGATTCGAATGGACAACCAAAGGAGAGTACCCCGCAAACGTACAGGAGGCATGCTAAGGCTACACTGGAACGACCAGACAGCAGGCCATGACCACCCAAAAAAAGCTGCCTTCAAAAAACTCGACACACTCGAATGGAGCCTTTGCTGGACATTTGCCTAGGGCATTTCTATCCCGAGCGGATGGTTTTGTGGACGTCCGACTTCCCTCAGAAAAAGTAATTTAAAAAATAATAAACCCAAAAAAACGAACTCGCCGCGGCCGGGGGCTCTGGGCGCGGCTCCGGGGCTCCGGGCACTTGGGGGACTTCCCGCCGTTGCACTTCAGGCGGATGGGGGGCACCTCGCAGAGCGCCTTCTTCGCCGCCTCGAGAAGCGAAGCGACGAGGCGACCGGACCGCCGTGGGCGGTTTCCGCTTTTGGGACCCGCGGTGCCGGGTCCAAGGGCAAAGCAAGAAGGGAAACGGAGCAAGGGCGCCGACAGAAAGCAGTCGAATAAGGAAGTCGAACTGTGTATTGTTAAGCATATCATTCAAAGTGCAAAGTCAAACGGGAGATCTTTATCTATAAAGGTGCAAAGGGAAGTCCTCCGGAACATTTTCATAGATAGCTTTCTTCTCTGGGTTTAGGCGGGTTGCACAGCAAAGGGGCAAGGTATGGTTGCATTTTTCAAGCACCGAGGTGGATCGAATGGCACGAAACCGCTTGCAGCTGTTCTGGTTCTGATCACCTCGGCCCAGGAGCAATCTAGGGGGCCAAGCCTTCCGCCCCTTCGCGCTTCCAGGCAAGCCAGAGAGGTAACCAGGGGAAACCATCATGTAAACGCCTAGAGGTCAAAACGCCCGGGCGACCGTGTAGCAAATGGAAGCACTGGGCTTGTTTTTTACCTCTTGACATTCTTTGCACACACTCCTCCTTTTGGTTTCCCGCAAAAGGAATTGGACCAGGGTCGAATAGTTGACTGGGCTGTCCTCAGATCCCCGCTAAAAGTTCAACTTTTAGTGGGTCAAATGGAAAGCCCCACTGAATTCTAAAAAGCCAAAAAAGCTCAGGGGATTCCTGGGAGCCAAGTTTAAAGAACCATTTGCAACCAACCTCTGTGGCTTGGACCCATCTGCCGTCTCGCGAGCCTCCAGGTACTTCTTGTCGTTGGCCAGCTTCGTGTCTCGATGCGAAAAATCGCTGCAACTCCGAAGGCACATGTGACTCGTTGGAATCTAACTCCGAGCCTTCGGGGTGCTAAGGGAACACAAAGGGAGACCAAGGGACAGCAAAAGGAGGAAAATAAAATGAGCACCAAAGGGACACCAACCATTTTGGGAGTGCAACGCCTTCCAACTTCGTCTCCCGGTTCAGTTCGATCGACTGTTTCGGTTGACACCTCGATGGCCTTCCCGCCAAACGCTAAAAGGAAAAACCATGGCCATCACAGGTCTGATCAAAAATGGAGACCCGAAATTAAACCCTCTGAAATGAAACCAAGGACTAAAACCTGCGGTTCCCTGGTGATCTAATTTTGACCCATGCCCACATGTTCGTTGACTGTGGAGTTTTTTTTGTTTGTCAAAATTGTAGCCACATGGAGACTTGAAGAGCCCTCAGCGGCGCGTCGAATGATTCGCCTTGAACATGGGCAAACGAACAACGCCGGGGAATAATGGGAAGATCCACAGCTTTTAGTGAGTGGTTGAATATCAGCTTCCCGCTTTGGAGGCTAGTGGTTCAAATGGTGGTGGGATTCAAATGGCTGTGGGTCAAAAATATGTACACAAACTGGAACCCTGGTAAAGGAAACTTGGACAATCTGCGGTCCCCTGGTGGTTTCATTTTGACCCACACCCAAATCCCCAAGCCGGCACGAGTCATGGTCACTGAGTTGTTCCAACCACCTCTCACGCACTGTTTGCCGACAAGCTTCTCTTGATGGCGTGGTACGTGTGGACTGGCCTCGCGAGGCTCTAACAAATGAGCCATCCGGTGACATGGCCAGAAGCCCATGTCAAGCTGTCCACGGAAAAATGAAGGAACCGCAAAAAGAAGTGAAACGGTCTTCTACATCCGGCCGTCAAGACAATGAACCCCAGTCAGCAGCTACCGGGAAGTACCCATCACCGTATAGCTGTTCCCAGACCATCTAAGTGCATTGTCAAAATGGGGCAGAACAGTCACGGAACAGGTCATGGCCCTTGCTTGTCTTTGATGGCCCCCAAGTCACCACTAGTCACTGTTCGGCTGTAATCAGCGTGTGAACAAGCAAAAAATCCAAATTGTCAAAAGAGGAAGCGGACCAAAGCCAAGAAGGCATTTGATCCAAAGGATGTGTTACGCACATTTTGCCCAGCCCTGCAAAACGGGGCACTTCCCGACTTTTTCGCTCAAAAGCCTGACCGGAGCTTGCAAATCTGGACGGCTTGACATGGGCCGGCCTGAATTTCAATGGGTCCCGAACCCTTTGGACAGCAAAATTCGGTGGGGATTCAGGGAACCGCCAACCACCTCTGAGCTGGTTCCCTACTAAACAAACACATAGCCACATGTGTGCATTGTTGGCCTTTTGGAAAAATAGATGTCCCTGGTAAATGGAACAAACCCCATCTAAACCAGGAAGCGCCCTGTATTTTTTAAGCAAACCAACCAAACAGGACACCTGTGCATGTGTGTGTGTGTGTGTGTTGTGGCCATTTTTTACTCCCAGTGAACATCCCAATCCCCACTAAAATCAAGCCTAAAATGGGTGGTACACCTACCCCAAGATGGTAGCCATTGGGTTTGACCCACTGCCATGTGTGTGTGTGTGCCCGGCACTCCCATTGTCTGCGGCCAATCTGCGCACTGGCGCCCGACTCGTCCTCGGGGCCGTTGCCTTGGATGGAAACTGAACAAAGGCAAGGCGGCTGAACTGAACAGAGGCTGGGGGCCAAAATGAAGCTTCCCGAAACCAGAATGCATGTATACGTACATATGCGTATATATATATATACACACATGTGTGCGTGTGTGTCTGTGTCTGTGTCTGTGTCCGTTTCCGTGGGCGTGCGCACGCATCTCAACATGAACATAAACGCTGATGAACATCTTTGATGATCCACTCCTTGAAACTGGGCAGCGCGTCGACTTAGAAACCGCGCCGAGAGTCTCATGCCACTCTGACTGGACTTGCCGGCGGAGTAGACGATGCGAACTTTGCCCTTGGGGCAGCCATCGGTTTCCTGGCGAACACATGTCTCCTATTGCCGCACGCATCACCCCAACCAAAGGAACCTCAGCTGAACATTGAGCCCAAAAGGATCATGTTCAAAACCAGCAATGAAAGCAGTGGGGCGTGGGCAGATTGGGGCCCGCCCGCCTGGTTCTGGTGTTGAGGGTTGAAATCGGGATTCCCCCCAAACTCTCGCCCTTCCCGGACCAACCGTAGGCGAGTAATAATATGGTCGGTTACTCATGTCAACTCGGAGGTCCACAATGAGAAGGATCCCTAATCCATAACGTGGGACACGACTACACAGAAAGGGAATCACTACAATCTGGTGAAAGGATTAAAGATTGATTCGAACAATCCGGCCATATCCAAGTGAAATTGCAGGGGAGCAACGAGCAACCCACCCCTGCTTTTCGTTTTCCAGGGTTCCAAAGACCCAAAATCCACGCCAGGTTGAAATGCGGGCGCCTTTTCGAGCAAACCAGAAGAAGCCCTATACCAACTTTCTACCCTTATGCTCTGATCATCTCTTAGAGGCTCGGAACAACTCTCTAATTGGGGAAGGGAGCGACTCACTTGGCCATGGGTCAAAACCACGCCCCCCAGTGAACATCCCAATCCCCACTAAAATACAGCCTAAAATGGGTCCTACCCCAAGATGGCACCATTGGTTTTGACCCATGGTCACTTCGACTTCAGCGAAAAGGGAAAGCCTATCGTACGAAAGGAACATAAAGTCAAAGAAGCACTGGTCAAATGGGCTGGCTTTGCGGCGTTTCGCGGCTCATATAGCCAATATGAGAGCCAATATGGTCCATATGGCTGTCACGTTGGCATCCCACAAAAGGAAACAATGGCCTTGACACTCGACCATTATGACAGCGACCCCAAATCGACCAGTTTTGGCATCTCTCCTCCCACACGAGGATGGACTTCCTCCGCTTCAGGGGAAACCACCTCGGTGACCAGAGCGCGGAAAACGCGTCGCGGGATGGTATGACTTGCCCCGGCCCCATGGAGTTTGTGAAAACTACTACAACATACGTAGTAGCATTTTCAGGTGGATTTTCAGGTGCATTGTGCGGAGGTGTGGAGGCTACATATCCCTTGTACGAGTGGTGTACAACCTCCACATCTCCAAAGAACCTATCTGAACATGGCCCTGGAAACAGCACCGAGCTGAACTTGCTTGGCTGTTCAAAATGGAGCAACGGCCGTTTCTAATCCAGAGTGCCTGGGGAACCATCATAAAGCGTATTCCTTTCAGAATCCAAAGGAGTCTCGCAGATTGCCTTTGGACGTCCCCAAATCGAATCCTCGCGCATCGAGATGCAATTTTTGGCCTGCGGGCAATCGGGTAAAACATCCCAAAGGCCAGCGGAATGCCTTCAGGTTCGGAAGGAAGCAATCGGGTGTCGTTCCTTGCGGAAAAGCGGCCACTGCGGGAACTTGAAGATATACGGCTCCTTCTCCACCTCCGCGATCTCTTCGACCTAGGAGGTCTCCTTCGATTGGGGAAAACTCAAACTTTCCTACCCTACGGCATGGGATTGCTCCGAGTGTCTTGGGATTTTCGGGAAAACTGCTCTTAGTCCCCATGCCCCTCCCAAATGGACAAATTATGGGAAAACTTGAAGAAACCTTGGAGCCGTGATGCCATTCCTGCAGATGAGAAAATCATCCGTTTCTCCTGGCGAAAAATCTTCGGATTCCGTTTGATTTCTATCTTCTTAACGTCTCCTCTTCTGCGAGGTTGGGACCCATGCGCGGGTTTCAGAAACAAACCCGTTCGGGGAAAGGATCCCAGCGGCAATGGTCGGCAGCCTCGAGACATTCCCAAATCAAGTCATGCATGCAGTATATGAGCTCCACACCTCTTTAAACGATAGTTGCTATCCAGGATCAATCCCCGATTGCCCTGATGGCCTCCGAATGGGGCATCATGGTTCTGGTTGTCCTTTCTTCCCGCTCCCTTTTTGCTTCCTAAATGGGTGTCGCCTCCAGTTGGTCGATGTCTGTTTTGTGTGTTGCATTCAACGCGACGCATATAAAACATCTAGTTACCCCCCACGTCTCAAGCAACATATGACATGTGTACAAATTGAGTTTGGCACTGAAGAGACCTACTCACCATGCAAAGAATCAAACAAAACAAGCATCCTGACCTCAGCCTGGCTTCCCCACCTTCTGCCTCAGTGCATGTTGAGACCCTCCTGGCCCCCCTGAGACCTTCTAGACCTGAGACTCCACCCTCAAGCACCAGGGGCTCAATCCCCAAACTTTTCGGGCTCCAAACCTGACGGGTTGGGATACGCTGAGCACGGCACCAGCACCTTCCTGCCGTTCTGGAACTTGGGCAGAAACTTCTTCTCGTTTTCTTGGCGCCGCGAGGTGCTGGGGGCGGGGTGCCATAGACAGAGCGTCCAACCTGGTTTTCCAACCCCCAAACCTGATTGTTCTGGGCTGTCCGCAGATCGCTGCTCTTAGTGGGTGAGTGGAACCCCCCACTCAAACCAAAAAACTAAAACGCTAAGGGGGATGGCTGGGAATCGCCAAGTTGACCTACTTCTCGGGTTGTTGGGGCTAGGTGCCGGGATCCCCGCAATCCTGAATCCAGGTTTTGCCCCACGCGCGCCACACGATCAAGGACTGCGATCAAACCAGTGGACCAGGGCCTGGTGTTCCAGGCCCCAAACCGTACTAGTTAAAAAGGCAGGAGCCTCCAATGACAATGGACACCCTAGGGCCCAGGAGTTCAGGGGTGCTTCGTTGGAAGGGTCCCATGCCGCTGCGGGGAAAAGGGGGTGGCGTTGGAACACGTGGAAAATAAGGTGGCCGGCTGCGGCGCACGGACTTGTTTCGCGTGTTTGAAAAGCAGGTTCGGTCATCAGGAAGAGGAACTCGAGGATTTAGCAACAACTGCTTCGTGTAGCTTCTCAGCAACACAGGGCGCAGCTCACAAAAGCCAAGTCTATTCGATCCAATTGTGTCTTCCTGGCATCTTTTTTGCTTGCGCTCAAGGGGCTTCGTTTTCATGGGCTTACAATGGTTTGGGCCTGCAAAACAAGTTAAGGGACAGGCCCTGACATGACGAAAAGGTGCGGCAAACTTATTTCGACCCATTTGGAAAAGGTTCCCGAGTTAAAAGATCATAGCCACTTGCGCTGTTTCCCTTAAAGAATGAATGAATTTCGTGCTTCTCCCCCATGCCCCAGCAAAATGGACCAAAGCCTACTTGTCGGTTTCCTCGCTGCACGGTGCCGGCAGAATGGCGTGACACCGGCAGATAAGCACATGTCGGGACCGGAGGCAACCAGTGCCACCCAGAGGGCGACAACAATACAACAAACAATATGCGCCACAAAGGCACTATTGCGCTGCGCGTGCCCCTGCAAAAGGGTAGATCGACCAGCTGCCCGCCAATTACTAAGACACTGGCAATGTGTTGACAAACTCACCCGGAGGTACCGCGAAACATGCGCAGAATTGGACGATGCTGTAGTTGCCACCATCGCACACTCCACTGTGGAAGTCAGCTGCACGTAGCACGCCGGCACTTGCGAAACCAGCCTGGGTTGAACACCACCATCAACCAGAATCACATCACCGCTGCACCAAGCTGCCCGGTGGCACCAGGTTGGCCCGCCCGTTGATGAACTGAACGAAGTTGCTCTTGCGCACGTACTTCAATCAACTTCGCGATGAAGGCTTGCAAGGAGTTCATTCCGCTCATGAAGTCCTTCTGCTTGGCAGCGATATTTGCCTCCAGTCCTCTACACGCATCTTGCTCCTGCACCATGATAATGTCCGCGACTTCAAACGGCTGCTGCTGAATGATGCGTTGAGCAAAGTGTCCTACCAGGTACGTCGGCATGTGGTAGTTCACCACGTAGGCAACCATGCGCCGCCTCCTCAGCTATATCCGAGTGCCGAAACTCTGCCTCCATCCTCCCACGCCACCACAAAAGTCACGGAGTTGACGTCTGTGCCGTTGTACAAAAAAGCCTCCGTGATTGAACAGCCAAGGAACCACCACAACAAACACCACACGCGCGAATTTCTGACCGCGACTTTGCCTTGCTGCCCGCTCTTCTGCAATCGTCGCCAGACAGGCGACACGCCACACCTCACCCCACTTCCGAAGCTTTTTGGTAGCATCACAGTGAAGGGGTGAACTCTGTCAAAGACATTGACGACCTCATGGCAATCAAATGATACTGCAAGCTGTGGCCGCTGATCAACTGCAGTCCTGCCCACAATGCAGACCACTGTGAATACCCAATCTGTAGCCTCGTACCGACTCAAGCATGTCACCCATGGCGCCAGCAATTGGCCGAAACTGCACTACCAACTAAAAGGTTCTCGGCCCGAAGCGCTGCCCATAGGCCACTAAACATTTTGATCGAACCTCGCACAGAACCCCAAATGGGATGCTACCACATACCTCCGAGAGGGAAAGGGTATGTGTCAAAACAAGGGGAACCACATGGGCAAACCAACCTGATGGCGCCACCAAAAAGATGCACACACACACACAAGGCCATGCTGTAGTAGTCAGTGCAAAATAGCAAGGAGCAGGTTGTCGGGACAGGAACTCTACTTGACTCTTGCCCATCCCCCGGACCTTCGAGTTCCGTGGTACATCCTCAGCTGGGACTTTTTGGTGCTAGGGAGCACATGTCCGGAGGCGGACGACTGCTTTTCAAGGGTATCCCAAGGGTTGGTCAACCTCCGCCCCCCCCCCTCCGGCCATAGTCATCAGGGGGAACCGTCATGCAAAGTTTGACACAAAGGGCTCAACCATTAGAAACACATGACTGTGGGAACCCTGGTAAATGGAACCCAGGACTAAAACCTGCGGTCCCCTGGTGGTTGAATTTGGACCCACACCCACATGTAATTATGAACATGAAGCAACTTGGTTTAACAATGTCTCACAACCCCTTTTCCAGTATATGGCAGCCTCCTGCAATTGTGGCTCGTATCTCCGTTTCGGGTTCTAAAAAGAAACCAACAAAGAAGCCGTCATTTCTGTTGGGGGTCCGATTTTTTCTTCTTCGCCCCAGACAAGGCAGTGCCATAGTGGCGGGTGGGTTAGGGACCCGGCTGTCATAGAGATACTTCCCGAGCTCGTAGCCTTTGGCTGTGCTGCCCCACTTCTTGCCCTTCAAGGGCTTGTACCTTGAGAGATCGCAGCGAAGGGATCGTCCTTTTTCAGCACTCCGCCCCCCAACAAAACCGCCGGTGCTTATTTCTTGGTGTTATTTTCCGGGCCGACTATTTTTTCTGTTTTTTCCCAGCGCTTTTAGGATTTTTTATCCGTTCCATTTTCCGGTCACCTTTGGAGTGGTTTAAGGTGCGTCTAGGGCGCGGTTAGGGTTTAGGGTGGCTGTGGGGCGGGTTTGGTTGGGGCCTTAGGTAGAGGGTGAGATGGAGCTTGGGTTGGCGCAAGGTTGGTTTAGTTGAGGGTTAAGGCGGGTTTAAGGTGGGTTTAGTGTGGTTCTGGTAGTCTAGGCTTTAGGGTAGGTTTCGGGTTGGTTTGGGTTGGGTTTAGTTGGGTAGGTTTAGCATGGGATTGGGGTGGGCAGGCTATTGGTTTAAGGTAGGATGTGTTTAGGGTAGCTTGGGTGCGTTCGGGGTTACTGTGATCCAGGAGTCCATACTTGGCGGGCGCCTCAGTGAAACAGGACAGGAGAATGAAAGCCAGCTGAGTGACAGGCTCTTTGTAGGGTGGTTTGGGGTGTTCAGGGTTGGTTTAGGGCGGGTGTTGGTTTTTTGTTATTGGGGTGGGTTCAGGTTCAGGGTGCGTTGGGGGGTTGGTTTAGGGGTCTGTTCAGGGTTGGTTTATATTAGGTTCGGGGTGGGTGTAGGGTGGTTTAGAGTGGCGTGCAGGTGTGTAGGTGGGTTTGCGGGTAGGTTTAGGGTTGGCTTGAGGGTGTGTTTGCGGTTGTTTAATTTGGTTAAGTTTTTTTTATTTGGTGGGTCGGGGCAGGCGGGTTAGATGGAGCTTGGGTTGGCGCAATTGGTTTAGTTGAGGGTTCAGGTGGGTTTAAGGTGGGTTAGTGTGGTTCTGGTAGTCTAGGGTGGGGTCAGTTTTTGTTGGGTTTAGGGTTTACGGGGTTCAAGGTCGGTTCAAGGTCGTAGGCTTAGAGTAGGCTTTGGGTAGGTTTAGGTTTAGTTGGCTAGATTCAGCATGGGTTAGGGGTGGGCAAGTTTTTGGTTTAGGGTAGGCTGGGTGCGTTGGTTTAGGGCTGGTGTTGGTTTTGTTTTTTGGGGTGGGTTCAGGTTCAGGGTGCGTTGGGGGGTTGGTTTAGGTTGGGCTCAGGGGTCTGTTCAGGGTTGGTTTAAGTTAAGTTCGGGTTTAGAGTTGGCTTGAGGCTGGTCTAGGGTGTGTTTGCGGTTTAGGATTGGTCTAGGGTGGGTTCAGATGGAGTTTAATTTGGTTGGGTTGGTTGAGTTGAGGAAAAAGGCGGGTTTCGTGAGGTTTCGGATCGGGTGTTTAGGGTGTGCGTGCGGTTTAAGGTTCAGGGCATGTTTGGTACGTTTAGGGTGGTTCAGGGTAGGTTACGGGTAGGTTTGGGGTGCGTTTAAGGTCTGCGGTGGGTCGGGGCAGGTGTAGGGTAGCTGGTTTTGTGTTTAAAAAGTATACCGGGGGCTTCAGGGTGCTTCATTGCTTGCTTGCTCGCTTGCTTGCCCGAGGGACTGGACACAAATCCCAACCCAGCGGGGAAAAACATCCCTAAATAATATAGCACCCTTATTTTCCTGTACCACCGAAAAAAGGGGTATACCTTCCAAGTCCAAAGCAAGACACACCCGGAAGACACCGGAAGCCTGTTGAAAGGGGCCCGGGTCAGGAAAGCCCAGCCAAGGGCACCATCCAAAACGAGCTTGGGCCTTGGACCCGAAACACCCAAAACAAGAAGCCGTCAATGCACCGAACACAAGTGGTTCAGGCAAGTCCAAACGGCGTCAGAACGCAACAACACAGAACTAATCCATTGGCGGCCCTTAACGGGGGATGGCGCAAACGGGGTGTTTGCGGGTGTTGTCCCGGGCAACTTTGGGCAGACCTCTCATCCGGTTTATCGGGCTCATTTTTTTCTCCTTAAGCTGCCGGCTTTGGTGTCCCCCGTTCAGGGCTCCCGAAAGCAAAAAATCCCATGACCAAACCCACAACACCATCAGAACCCATCCAACGACAGCTTGCACCAGTTCGGAAGGTCAGGACTTTGGACACTCCTTTTTCGTTGATACCCCTGGCACATTGCCAGACATCACAAACTGGCAATTGTGGACCCGGGGAACTTCATGGGTATCCCCCCGTTTTGCTAATGCACTCAGTGAGGTGCACAATGTGCGCGTCGACCCAGTGCTTAAAGACATATCCTTGTGGCTTCCCTTTAACGAGGACGAGGGGTGGTTTGTTTTTGGACCAACTTTGCAACCAACCCTGGTTGATCAAATCTGCTTGAATAACCAGACCCTGACCCGCTTTTGAAAGGAACCCCAAGAGATTATTGAAACAGGCGGGTGGGTGGCCATAGGTGTCCAAATCAAGCCATCAAAGCAACACAAACCCTTCGTCCAACCTCACATGCGGCGCTCCCGTTTGGCTTTGGTTCGAGCGGCTTCTTCTTCTCAGCGTCCCATTCCAGGCGTTGGCCCAGGTAGAGCAACTTGTCTCCGACCTTTTTCTTGTCGATGCTCGTGTCATCCTGGGCAAAGAAAAAGGGAGAATTGCGATGCAACCGATGGTATGCCAGGCTGCAAACCATGGGCTGAGCGAAATGTGTTGTGGTTTGCCTTTAAAGGAGGGCCAGGATCAGACCACAGAACAGAATGAAGGAAAGAGGGCTCCGGTGTTTTGTTTCTTGGAATCACATATTATGAAATCACGCCTGGGGGGTCCCAGTGGTTTGTTTGAAATCACGCCTGGGGGGGTCCCGGTGCTTGTTTTTGCCGCATTCATGCCTGTGGGCCGTTGAATTCAAGCCTTGGGGCTCCGCTTCTTTCTTTGAATTCACGCCTCTGGGCCCTTTTTGGGGGCTCCGGTGTTTCACGCCTAGGCTTGATGTAAAAAAGAAAACACTAGGACCCCCAGGCGTGATGTCCAAAAAGACTAGGCCCCAGAGTGATTTCAAAAAGAAAACCACCTGGACCCCCCAAGCACTATTTCACAAAAAGTGATTCCAAGGCGGGATTTCAAAAAAGAACAGGACCCCCAGGCGTGATTTCAACAAAAAAACAACGGGATCGAGGTGTTGTTTTTCTTTGGAGTCACCAGTCGCTCACTCACTTGCTTGCTCGCTTCGTCTTTGAAAAAAAAAACAAAATGAGAATCCAAAATGAGGAATTGCAAAATAAACACGGTGGGTGTAAATTTCAAAAATAAAGCACCGGTTCCAGGAGCAGAGCGAAGGGCGGAGAGGAGAAGAGCGCAGCGGGGAGTGGACAGAAGAGCGGGGAAGAGGAGCGCAGCCAATGCTGGGGACCTGACGAGGGGGGGATGCCAGAAGCCAAACTTCTTGAACCGCAGCGCGCAAAACTTGGTCTGTCGCAGAGTTGTAGGATTCACTGGCCCGTTTGACTTGCTAAAGCAACAGAGACTCCAGCTAGGAATCTAGCTTTTGTGACAAGGACTTCATTTTGCTCGACTGTTTAAATAGTGTTTGGAGTTCCCTTTCAAAGACTGCTCAGTTTACTGGGGATTCTAATGATGCACTGTCCTTTTTGGACGTAGGGTACCAAGAATCACATTTGGGAGAAAGCGCAACACCACCGTCCAAGTCTTCGAACTGCCCCTTTTCAGTCCCAAATCCGGGCACTTGGGGTACCATTTGATAGCCCTTTGAAGGCAGTGCCGGCACAACCAAACAACCACCAGCAAGACAAGGGACCATAAACGACAAACAACAACCAACAACCAAATGCAAAAGGCAACCACACAGCCCTTGAAAGCGCAGTGCCGCTTGCAACTGGGCGTCCACCAGGAATTCCGTCTGCCACGGCTCCTTGTTCTTCTCCTCAGATTGGATTGGAGCCCCCATTTGGACATGAGAACCGGACGCTGTGATGGCGGGGATTTGTGTCCAACCATTTGAGAGTTTCCCTGTGAAACTTCCAATGCCATTTGGCCCAAAGATGCCCAAAGTTGAACCCACTTTTCCCACGTCGGCCCAACAAGTTCGCCGGTTTGCCTTGTAGTAGATGTCTTTGAAGAGCATGGGCTGGTTCACGTCGAAGCACCTGGGTTGGTGCTTGGACCTCCTAAAAGCGATCCACCTTTGCTGCTTGATCTGCAACGAGTTTTTTCCCCTTGTTCAAACGCCCACACTGCGTGCTATGTGCACCACAAAAGCCAGTTTTATCTGCTTGAGCCTCCTTTAGGACCATGCGCCACGGGTCTGAGCCTGCAGCCAAATATGGGTTGGTCTCAAGGGGTCCTGACCCCAAAAAACGGATTTCGGTTTTCCTTAAACCGGCGAAGCAAAACAGCTCCGCGCGGTGCTTGCGAGGCACAGGCCATCCGGATTCATCTCCCGGATGGCCAGCACGCTGCCGGCCTTGCTGGGCTTGCCACCCATGGCGCACCATAAGCCGGCGCCTTCGCTGGCTTCAAGCTTCAAGCTCGCGCCGGACGCGGTGAAGGAGGGAACCCCTGCAGTTGAGGCCTGGACTTCCTTCCCGAATAGCCGGTGCTCCTGAAGGGTAGCAAGATGGTGCCCTTTAGGCAAAACAGACTAAGAGACCCCTGACCCGCAGCTCCGTTCGGCCAACTTCCCCGAACTGACCGTGGATGATGCTCGCCGTAGCTCTTGGCTCGCGGTTGGTCGGTTGCTGCCTGCTGCCTGAGAGGATGGGCCCTCACGCTGTGCCCACAAAAAGCCTTCGGAACCGACACCTCCTGCGCGCTTGGCCCCAACAAGTCCACTCTGATGTAGCGTTCCCACTGACATTCGGTCCCACCAAAGTTGAAAAGTCCCAAAGAACAGTTGAACCATCGGGAACCTTAGTGGTTTCTCTTTCTTTTGCAATGTATAACACATCCCTCCAACTAAGAGTCTAAGTCTAGCGAATGGCTGGGAGCCATGGGGAACTTGGGAAGCATTTTCTTTCAGCGCTCTTGATCCCACAGCTGCGATTGCGCACAGAAGCAGAGACTCGATCGCTCTGCCAAATGAGCAGCGGATTGGGTGGCTCTGCACTTCCTGCATTTCCCGTGTGCCCCATGGCAGTTGTTGATTTGGCTATGGGTCAAAACCCCGTACCCCCAGCGAACATCTCAATCCCCACCAAAATAAAGCCTAAACTGGGTGGTGCACCTACCCCAAAATGGGATCCCATTGGTGTTGACCCACGGCCATTTCTGTCTTGGGCGTTCACATTTTTTGGTCCTCCCCTTGCTCAAGTCCCCTGGAAAAACATGCCAGTAGGGATAGATTCCCTTTAGAACCAACAGGGACAACAAAAAGGATTCTTAACCCGGGCTGTGGGGAATGGAATCCACTTCTGTGATACAACAGAAAGAGCTTCCCAACGACTATCCGAAAAGTATCACAGAAGTGGTTGGAGAAACCCCGAGCGATCAACCACAACCCTGTTCTTACCCAACTGGAAGTTCTTCGCCTTGCGGGAAGCTCAGGGAGCGAGTCTCCAAGGGGCTTTGCCGAGGCCGACTTGAGTGGAGTGCCCGGAAAAAGTCCCAACCTTTAGACTGAATTGGTCCACACCCGAAAAGTGACTAAAGTCCGATACGGGACTCAAAAAGTGAGCAAAGTGAAAACGCTGTCTGCGCGTGCGCTTTCGCCTCTGCAGGAAGTACAGGATCTTCGCCTAGCTTCAGGGCGGAGTCGGTTTAACCCATCCGAAAGGGAAGAAAGCTTTCCGTACCTTCCCCGCAAATTAACGATCCAACAAGGGGCAAGAGGAGATTCCTCTAATCGGTTCCATGTTCATCTGGAGAGTATCTGGTCTCAAAGACGGCGGCCCAGGTCGGATGGATATGAGCCCAGGCAATCAGCATCCCTCTTCAAGCATGCCAATGTCGACCCCGCCCCCCCCCCCCCCCACATGTCATCCCCTTGGCCACGTTAGATCTGGTCATGAGCTCGTTTAGGCTGCCAGGCTCGTTATGATTTGCGCAGAGTAGATGCCAGCTCGTCTAGGCCGTTGCATGCCGTTGCTCACATCTGAAGTGCGACCACACTCATTTGGGTGTGAATTTTCACTCGGGAGCCTTTAGTGGAGAGTCCACCAACCACTTTGAGGTGGTTCCAACTCCTAGGCCGGCCCTTGGGGCGGCACGAACTGAATCTGGAAGGCGATGATGTCCTGGCCGAAGACAACCCGACACCATCGACTCCCCGCCCACGTATTGAATCGCCTTAGTTTGGATGGTTTGGAGGTCGGTTAAACGCGCCTGCATTTTTGGAGAACATTCCTGGTCAGGTTGGCTTCGCTTTTCGACACATTCCCACGTGGTGAACCCTAGTTTTACGGGTTTCCAGTGGAGCTGAGTGGGGTTTAGCTGCTGATCGCCGGAGCATGCGGGCTTTGGATCTTTGGACATGTGTGTTAAAATAGGTGACACTCCCAAAAATGGTGCATGTCCATTCCAGTTGCCCTTTTTTCACAAACCCTAAAAGGGTTCCAACTCAAAAAAAAGACACACCCATTGGATTCATACGATCTCCCAGTTCTCTGTTCCACATACGTCATGGCGTAACTTCCATTTAGTCGAGGTGCTCCTTCGCCCCAAGCCAAACATGCGCAGTCATGAACGTTTCCCTTTTTCAAGCAGGAAAAATCAGGGCCCGCCCAAACAGAAGGTGCGTGCCGATTTCGGATTGACACAGGTCGTCCAAAGAGACCCAAAACCGCATCGCGGCATCGGCTATCAAGCCCGCAAAAAACGTTGCACGGATCGGCAGCAAGTCTGCGCAAATGACAATTCACCAACTGGAAACTGGAAATAACCTAAAACTTCATATGAAATATAGTCAATACAAGCCATGACACAAGGCAACGTAGCATTTTGCTGCCTCAGCCCCCGGAATGGCTCCTTACAAAGGAAACACCGCCTGGAACCCTGCCGATCGGTAGCTTCGAAAGGCCCTTAAATCAATTTTGGACAATTGCCCCCAGCTCCGGAATGACTCCCTAACCACCAGCTAGAAATCTGATGGAGTTTGATTAGACTGGGCGTCCTCATATCCCTTGTCAAAAGTCGAACGTTTCGTGGGCTGAATGGACACTCAACCACTGAGCCCGCCAAAAAACCGAAACATCCAAGTAGAGAGGCTCTTGTTGGTTGTTCCCCAAACCATCCCCCCACCCAACGCCCCCGCCCGCTAACCGGCTCGGGGCTCCTCATCAGACATGGTGGACTCCGCCATCAGGTGCTTTGGATCGAAGCCGTTGGTGAAGAACTTCCCGTTCGACCTGAGCAACGCCCACAAAACGGGGCTTTGCTCTGAAAAAAAGCTTTGCTTGGTTCATTCGAGGGCCGTGAAGCGGTCGGATTGCAAACCTCTTCCAAAATTCCCCCCTCCCCTGACCCCGTGTCGCGCAGCCATCCCAGCTGCCTCCAGTCCGCCTGAAGGCGGGGAGCGGTCTTTGCGCTGCCCGCCAACTCCGGTCAATCCCTTTAGAAACCGATCAAATCCCCTTTTTACCAGTCATCTAGACAGTGATCAAATCCCCAAAAACCACAAAAGGCCGGTCCAGAAACCGATAAAATCATTGATAGAAATCCAATACTCCCCTCTAAAAACCTGTCAAATCCCCTCTAAAACAGGTCCAACTCCGGCCAAATCCTTCCAGAACAAAAGCCCCCCCCCCCCCAGAAACCAATCAGCTCACTGCCACTCTGTAGCTCTCTGCAGCTCTCGTTCTGACCGTTGAAGCCATGTGGAAACACGCAGACATGCACCCACCCTCTACCTTGGAAACCAGCTCACGCAAACACAAGACTTCAAGGCAAACTAAAGCACGGTGTATACCTCAAAGCCAGCAAAAAGCGGACTGGCCGAGGCGGGCATATCTATATATACATATGTATAAATACAATGGGATCATATCGTTTTGCTTCTCCGGGTGAGGGAGTTTATGAGACACTGGGGTAGGGGGGAAAAAGGGAGGGCTTTTTCTGGGCGGGCTTTCAAACAGATCATGCTCTGGCCCCATTAATTTACCACGATGAAAGTCACCTAGCAAGTGGTAGGTGAGAAGGGAAATAACCCCATTTCCTGACTTTGACAACCCCCAGAAACGGGCAAAATGATGAGCCCGCCTTTTCGGAGTGGTTTTCAATTGAGAAACCAAGAGCCAAACCGAAATCCATCTTGGGGGTCCATATCCGCTTTTTGACACAAATCCATAAACCTGTAACCATCGTAGAACCAAACGTCGGGTGTCGGCGCTTGGCCCAAAACAGTTCAGGAGAACTCCATAACCACTTTGGTTCCGACTTGCCATGGTGTGGAAAATTCACAGCCGCCTACCAATTGGTGCGGGATTCTGTCTATTCTCAGCCACCTGTCCACAAGGAAAATCAGTCTTCCATTCTTTGTTGGAAGGGCAAGCCCAAATAGATGTTCCACAAGAATCGCCTCGTCACCTCCAGAAGGGCTGAATGCATCAGCGTATGAACGTCTATGCTGAATGGGCGAATGGTTGGAGGACAAGGGTCGTAGCAGGTCACATAATTCCAGTAGGCAACCATGCTCGAAAAGAGTATCGAGGGCTTCCTTGTTCACTGGTTCCCAAGATCCATTGCCCCTTTCCGACGAGTCCCCTACCCTCCCCAGAAAAAAAAGAAAGAAAACACGCACACCAACAAAACGCAACTAGGTCCTCCAGTAGAGAGGTCAGAATAACGGTACCCTTTTTCCTGCAGTCCATTTAGTCTATTTTAGTAGCAAAACCCTCCCCCAAAAAAAGAAGCGGTAAAAGTTGGCACCTAGCTGGACCTAGTGGCATGCAGGGCATCGGCAGATCGGCCCGGTCGCGCGCATTTCTCTCGAGACTCCGGCTTCAGAAGGACGACTCTCACGTCACTCCGCTCCTGCCGTGGACTGGGCGTGTTGGGGGTCCCCGGGTTGATAAGCCCAGGTGCGCCTTAAGACCTTCTCAAGGGCTTGGTTGGAGAAAACAAACACCTCCCCATAAGCCCCCCTTCAGGGTCCAAGCAGCAAGCTTGATCGTGCAACAAGTTTTGGGGTCACCCTGAGGGTGACCTCAGATCTAGTTGCCTAGTTACGGTAAAACATGGTAAAACCCAAAGGGTGGCTGTGCCTCAAAACAGGGGGACCGCTCCAACATGAATGGTGTTCCTTGTAAGTCCCCTTTAATCATGATACAGGGTCCCGCCAAATACATAAACATATGTACAAATATATATATATATATACATACATATGACATGTGTACAAATATGACACGTGCTTTTCTCAACCCTCTTGTTTGGTCCAAAAGGGAAGCCAATGGGAAACCTACCATCCTGGGGGCCCACGACTTAAAGGGACCCTCAGTAATGTTGGCCCCATATTAATCAACCTCAGTTTATGAATATGGGGCTGTTCCCCTCCAATAGTGATGATTCCCCACTCCCCCACTAGACCCGCGGGCCGCAGCAAGCTGGTGAACGCACCGCGGAAGTCTTCTTCCTGGAGGTAAGTAACACCTCTCCATCTGCTGAAGCGGTTTCTTCTGCTGCGCCTGGTGGAGTGTTCAAGAAATGGCAATTCGCGCGTGCGCCGCGCATCTGTCTCCTTGGAATCCAGGCCGAAAGGCCAGCACACGTCGCAACACGAGGCCCTGCAGACTAAAAACACAGAACAGTCGCAGTCAAGCGAATCGCCCTTTGGCAACGAGTCTAAGCTTGACCAATTATGATTGACACCAAACACCCAAACTCTTTCCCTGTAGCCTTAGGACGATTGCTGCCAACCAATACTTCAGTGAACTTCCAATGAACCCTGCCAGGACTCTCCACAACCCTCCGGAGCACTCACTTGGAGCCGCTCCGGAGCTTTTCTGGGCAGTTCAGCTGTTGGGGGTCACGTAAGATCGACTTCGGATCAATCCGGAAAGACCACCTGTTCCTAACACGAATACGTTCCCCACCAGGAGGGAATTTCCCTCCCTTGGTATGGCCCAGATAGATCCGAAGACCCACAATAAGAGTCTAAGTAATCCTCGATTCCCCTTCATCCGAAGAAACCCAAAGTAAGGGAGCTTCATGGGCGCAATCGTCCGTTGTAGCCCCGAATTGGTGAGCATGCAGGAGCGAGCGCTCCCATGGCTATGATCTGCAACCAAACGGCGGCACAGGGATTCCAAGGATGTCCACCAGCTTCTTCGTCCTAGAACCCCCCATTCGTTCCAACACTTTGTCAATTCCTCCCAACATTAGGGTCTGGCCGGACCCGGGAGCTTCTCAAAATGGGATTCGGACCCCTTTCAGTGGGCAATTAAAGGTACTCCAAGATGACACCTTCCATTTTCTAGGGGTTGACTTCCCACTCCTTTCAACCATCGTTCTTTCCAAAAACCGGATCCGTTCTCCCTGGGTTTCTGGAGATTTTCTAGAAAGAAGGAATTTTGGAAAGAATGAGAAAGGTACCCCCAGAATTTGAAAGCACCCGGCACCGATTCCGTTAAGAACCACCCACCTGAACCCCAAAAATCCAAGCCCAGGCGAAGCCTGAAGATCCTGGATGGCATCCTGGGCGCTCCGAGAAGACGACTGCCACGGGTTTCTGGAAAAAGGGTGATCCTCAAAGTAAGGGCTCCCCGGTTTCCCCCAGGTTTTTGCGGGAAACCTGGAAACCTGAATCCCTTGGCTACGTGTGGCTATGTTCTCCATGAACAATCGGAGCTGAGGGCACGTGCTGCGGGAAAAATTATGGGGCTACCATGGCTACCCGTGAAGACTTGACACATTTTCCTTTGCATGCCCCCTGTAAGCATCCAAGGAAGATCACTGGCGGTTCTTTGTAACCACCGAAAGGGGCAAAGTAAGGAATGCTGAAAAGCCAAGCTTTTAGCAGCAAAAAGGACATGCAGGTTTTGGAAACTGGAACTCGGCATGTGTACAAGCATGCTTTTTCCCAATAAGCGAACCACCAACCCTGGAACACAAAGCAGGAGAATCCCTGCTCCTCGCACGCCCCACGCACGTCCGGCGCAGCAACAGCTCCCGCAACCGCAAGTTGTTAACTGCTCACACGCTTGGGCAGAAGAATGTTCTGGGCACGCATGGGTTTCCCATGCGAGGGTACCGCCAGGTTTCACTGAGGCTTGCGGCTTGCTTGAGGATTAAACGAAACTCGGATTTGGTCACAGAAATAATTCTGGTTCCCAAGATTATGTGGGCCAATGTAAAGAAAGGCAATGACACCATGTTCAAAACAAATACAAACAAATCCATCCAAAACCCTGAAAAAAACTGCGCTGAACTGGGGCCAGTGCCTGCAAAGCATCCAGCATGGCCGGGTTCAGACCATTCCCGTCCCCTGGCATTTGATGCATTCGGCGGCCATCAGGTGGGGATCGACTTCTTCTTTTTTTGGGCGGCCTCCGCATGGGGCGCAAGACCAGATGTGGTAAATTATTGCGGGTGTTTCTGTTTTTTTTTTTTTTTGTTTCCTTCTTTTTGTTTTTTGTTGCTTTTTTGGGGGTCCTTGTATATCCCTAAAGAGTCAAATGGTAAACACTCTACTCATCTGCTTGGATTACTGCAAGTTGCCAACTGGCCTTTCGATCCCCAAAGAACCGCTGTTTGTTCAAAATCCTCCAGTCACGGGAAGTATCTGTATATGTTGCTGCCGCACGCGACGTTTGGCACGCACCGGTTTGTGGCCCCTAGGCTTGCATCTCCGTCCCAAATGAACTGGCTTCCAACAATATTGTCACCTCTTCGTTTGTCAGCCAGCTCTTCGTTTGTCAGCGCGGTATAGCTCAGTGAAAGACCCTAAGGATTTAACTCAATCCCGCAAATTGATCAAGTAGCAGTAGCAGTAACAGTAGTGGCAGTAGTAGTGGTAGTAGCCGCAGCAGGCGCTTACAAGCCACCTAACATGAAAGATCCCCCGACAACATGAGGAATGGTGAAAACGAAGCCGTGTAAGCGTTGGATCGCAGCCATGCCAGAAAATCCGCCTTTGCTGAACCTACCCACTGGGTTGCGGAGATAACGAGATCGCTGGTTCTCAGCAGCAAATGAGGGAGTGACCCTGGAAAAAACCATTCCCTATGGTTTTCCTTTCAGGGAATCCCTAGGTTCATCCCAAACCTGGGTCATTCCCAAACCCTGAGCACCAGCAAGATAATGCAATGCTGGCCTGCATCCATGGTCAGGGTGGCGCACTGCGTGCCGATCTTGTACTTCAGGCATTGGTGTCGCCAGTTCTGGCCGCGTGTACGGACCAATTATAGCCTGACTGAAAAACCAAGGGAGCCACATAGGCATGTGTCTGGGCGAGGGGCGAAGTCGCGATTCAGTTCGCCAATCTTCTCAAGGGAGATCCTCCCAGATATGGATCCCATCAGATCTCCATTTGCTTCAGTCTGGAAGCAATATGAAAGAGCATATTTCTAATAGTGATCTCTCCAAAAACCCACCGAGCAAATAACCAAAAAAGCATATTCCTAAGCTTGCGAATTGAAGTAGACGCTCTCGATCCGGCTGAACTCATCTGACACACACGAGCCATGGGGCTTGGGTCCCTGAGCAACCTTTTCCGGGCGAGCGGGCAGGTAGCCCTTTGTAAACCACAAAGAAGGACAGGAACAAAACCCTTCACCTACATTGATTTGTTGATGGGTTCATCTTGGGACACACCCCTGCCTTACTTGAAAGTAAATGCTGAGCATTGGCTAACATCAAAGTGCGGCGCCTAAAGTCAGATCCAGCTGTTGGGCAAGACCTCGGATCGATTAGTCTTCCTCCCTGCTGAGGTTTGGGTTGGGACTCCGAGTAACGTCGGATAGATGAATCCGGTGGATTGAGGGGTGTTTCCGCACAGTGAAGGAATCAATCCAAAGGTCAATCCAAAGGTCAATCCTGATGCTCAAATACTCACCCAAACAAATCAAACTCAACATCTAAGTACGACGACATGAGAAACGGGCTTAACGTAGATACACTACTGAGAACTGGGTTTCCCTTTGGTTTCGCTTTCAACCAACCCACCGCCTCAAAACAGACACCTCAGGGGTTTTTTGGGCATTGGAGGGCCCTGCGGCCTTTCCTTTTTCTTCTCGTGTAAAGATGAAATCCAAAGCAAAACCACCATGTTGCTGGGCTGTCCTCAAATCCCTGCAACAAGTTTAACTTTCTCTAGTTAAATCAGCCCCCACTTGACCCGAAATGCCTAAACACCCAAGAGGACGGCTGGGAACAGACCCCACAAACTCCCCCCCCCCCCCCCCGAATCCCCTCTCAGTTGGCCTTGTAGGTGCAAGACGCGGGCTTGTCGAAGTCGTCCACCTGCCAAGCTGAAAGGAACCTTGGTCATTCCTCCCATTTGCTTGAGCCAGTTTTTTTAATGAACCGACCCATCAAGCGATTAATAAGTACATGCGTTGACTTAGTGGTTTGTTTACCAGTCATGACCATTTCCCTTTCAAAGTGATGCCAGGAAACCACCTTTGGTCGTTGGGGAAGCGTTCGGGCAGCTTCCACTCTGTTCGATTTTGAGGCAACACGGGTGCTTCTACCCTCCGGCCCGAGGACAGCGGATCCATTCACTCACTTTCGTGGAATGGCCCAAGGGGGTTCGCCCTCCCCCCCCCCCCCAGAAATCAAAAGGCGCCCCCTGTGAAAATGTAGGCTTCCGCCCATAGCCATCTTCCCACATGAGGGGGTCTCTTGAGGGGGAATCTGTTTTGAGGATTGTTGGAGGGCACGCCAGCCCTTTTTGACGGCTGATCCCCACTTAGAAACATCCCAAGTACCGGGGAACCACTTTTCTGGACAGCGAATCCAGAAACTCACCCACAGATTCCAATGCGAAGCAGGGTCGGGCCAACCCCTTGCTCAAGCCAAACTATTCTCCTTATGACTTCCTTCAGGGGACCAGGCACGATTGGAGTTAGGCCCAGTTGTAGAATGTATATTTTACTGTTTGCTTCACTTTGAGTCACTGGTGAAATGTGTCCTAAGTCTACCCCAGTAGGGGTCGGTTCAAAGAAAGTTGCCAGCCTCTGCAAAACCGAAAACACATCCGATGCGGATCCGCAGTCCGCAGGCGGTGCGAAGCTCGCCTTCTCTTCCCACGGGAAGTTGCTGTACAGCGGACTGCGAGGCGCTCAGGGCACTCCCTCGTCTGAAAGCAAAACAGCCAGGCTCCATGCGGAGCCCGCAAACGTGTGTTGATAAGGTTGTTTGGGGTAGAAATTTGCAAACCCTTGGCATGTTCGCAGCCGGGTTTTTGGCTGAATTTAGCAGCCATCCCACCCTCCCTGTCATTAAGCCGGCCAACAACAAACACACAAGAAGCCTTGATCATTTACACGGACGTGAAACACATTGGTTCTTTGCGAGGGAACATCACAACCCTTGGGCTCTGGGGTACAAGCTGGGCACAAAGCCCACGCCCTCTTTGGGAGGGCTAGACATGAGCCCCTTTTGAAGCATCGGCGTTTAACCTTCAAACGAGATTCTTGGCTGGACGCTCGGCATCGCCAACATTGCATCCAAAAACTTTCGCCAGAAGGGGAAACCACGCTTCTAAGTCTTAGGTGCAAGATCAACATCAAACGGCCCCAAACAGCCAATCCTGCCCCCCAAATTCTCTCCCAAGTCAAACTGCGCAACCAATCTTCCCTCCACCCCTACCCCACCCCCACACGACCTCCCAGCAACTCACTTAAATGGATTACAGCTTTGCAACCCGCAACTCCCAGTGTGAGTCCATTTTTTTCGGCCCCTCAAGGCAGGGGAAATCGCCTGAAGGAAGAAGGCCTTCAGGCTCCACCTTCAATCCAGGCAACTGAGTCGACCTCTCCCCAACGGCCCCACCCTCCACCTGCTCCACCCGCTCCACCCGCTCCACCCGATCCACCCGCTCCACCCGCTCCACCCGCTCCACGCGCTCCACCCGCTCCACCCGCTTCCTCGGCCCGGGGTTCCGGGCTTGCAGGGCTCCTGGAAGCTCGGCCCTCGCTGCTCCGTGGCCTCCAGGTCGTAGCCTCGGGAAAAAAATCCTCCGCCCTCGGCCGGCGGTGAAACCGGTCGTCAGACCTCCCGAAGGTGTCGGCTTTAGGCTTTGCAGCCTGGGAACGGACTCATGTTCACCCAGGATTCATGTTGAACCCGTCCCATTAATTGGGGGGGTGTTCCCTCCAAGAGTAGTGACTCCCCACCAAAAGGGGACACCCCTGTATTAATCAACCAGGGGTGTATTAATCCGGGGTTAACATTACCCTCCCACCAACTAACATGGGTTTGTGCAAAAAGGCCCTTTCCAAGAGGACAGTAGTCTTTCTGCAGGGTCTGTGCGCCTCCATTTTAGCTGGTGGGAGGGTATGCCACTCTTTCCAACTATTTGAGTTGACAATGTTCTCGAAGACGATCCAAGTCTTGTTCAGGCCTAGGGCTCATGACATGAACACATCAGGCGGCCAAGGTGCGAAAACCAAAAAAAGGACCACATCCCTCACTCCAGCAATGGAGGCTGACGGGGTGCCCACTTTCACGAGTCTTGGACAGATTTCGGATCCCTGGCCCGACTTGTGCCTTTTTTCCACCTGGAAGGCTGATTGCCTCCCTCCTATCCGGGCCTTTTTGCCCAAGCTCGAGGGCTCGCTCGACGACTTCAACCACCACAGCTTTGCCATGTGAAGTCTCCTGAAAGCCAGAGTCACTATGGGTACCCTGCCAAAAAACATCTTAGGCCCTAAGGATCTTTTTGTGCGTCATACTTTTTTTGGGGGCCTCTTGTTCAAGGGGAACTCATGGTGGGTTCATGACATTCCAACTTAGCCAGCGGGATTGTTGAACTCCGCCTAAAGAGAATCACGGATCACTTCAAAAGGGGCCTTTGGCCAATTCTCCAAACTTGGTCTAGGAACATACTGGGCCCAATGGTTGCCACCCAAAGAGGACATTGAAATGGACCCTTGAAAAAAGGCACCCAAAAGGAAGCGACCCTTTTAGTCGCAAAAATCACCTGCCGTTCTTGGGACTGTGAAATCAATTCGCCTCTATTGGGGGAATCGGCCCTTGACAAACATAGGGTGCTGTCGGGTTGTGTTCACCCGAGTTCCAACTACCCACCAGCCTTGGGTCAGGAAAGCCGGACCTTGTCTTCAAACCCCTGCAAAGGTTTCCCACCCAAGAAAGAGCCACAAGAAGGGGCGAAAGGCAACAGCGACTTCCCTTAGCCACAAGAAAAATACCGGAAGCAACACAAGTAGCCAGAAAATACCGGAAGCACAACATAACCACTGCCTCAAACCAATGACTGGCCAAGGCTTCCTTCGGGCCGGGTCAACCGCTTCCGCTCGCGAGCGCTCCGGGTCGCTTCTTTGCGCGAGGCACGGAGTCTTGGAGGGGCCTTGACGCATTGAAGCCAACGCCCGGTGCAGGGAGCCACTTGCGAAGATTGGGTCCAACAAACATGC